TGGGGATCTTGCCTTGTGAACATTTCTTGCATATAAAGAATGAAAGCGCGGATTGAAACGAATCGTCGAATCGTTCTCATACTGTGACATCTAACTGACACAAATCCAGAAGCTTTTTGATTTGTGCAAACAAATTCAGAGCAACATCACTTAGAGAGAAGGTTAATAGTGACAGTGACAAGGGGAAATATAACGGGCACATCGTACAGTGGGGGATATTGATGTTTAATATATGGTAGATAAATAGACAGGAGAGACAGGGAGAGAGAGACAGAGAGAGAGAGAGGGGAAAGAGAGTGTGAGAGAAAGAGAGAGAGAGAGAGAGGGAGAGAGAGGGGGCAGAAAAGAGTGAAAGAAAGCACTTTAGTAAGACAGAGGGAAAAAATGATAGCTAGATAAAAGTGGGAAATAAAAATAAATGGGGGACATTATAGACATAAAGAGGAAACAGAGGAAACAATCATGACGAATCAGAAGAAGGGGAAAATGAGGGAAGACCTCGAGGAAAATATAAGAACATAAGGGCAGATAAAGAGAATAAGAAGGGACGGAGAGAAAGAGAGAGAGAGAGACAGTGGCATTGATAGAAAGAGAGAAAAGGAGGGTAGAAGGAATGAAGAGATCAATTTGTACAGGAGAACAAGAGATGAATGATGTCCACAGAAACAACCTTGTGACAGATAGATTCTCTTATACATGACGTACCCAGAACATGCAAACTTAATGAGGAACGTGTCACCGGTGCTGCTCCTTTTGTGACATGATCGTTTGTTTTGTCATAATGTGACCCTGACTCTGACCCAGATCTATTGAATGTGATTTATCGCATCCATTCATCTAGCAACAAACCCATGTCTTCCCTGAAGTTCCCTCTCTTTCATAACATCTTCTTCCTTTCAACAATTTGATCAATAACCTACAAAACTTCTCTTCCTCCTCTAAATAATGCTGTGGGGTATTCAATGTGGTGGGTATGCTTCTCCAAAAAGGGTTGCATCAATATGTAATTACTATCAATAATCATTGTCATTACATATATTGGTATCATAATAATAAAACCAGCATTGTTACTATGATCATAATGAAAATGATAATTATTAATATTTGTATTATTATTTTTCAATATTATCATTACATTATAATTATCATTATCATCATCATCATTGTTAGTTTTACTAATAATTATCATGATCATGAAATATACCACATAATAATTGCGGGTAGAATCACCTTCTGAGTGGAAAAGCTGGAATTATAAAAAGGTTGACACCTCAGGTAATAATGCCATTAAAAAAGCAAACTTGTGTTACCTCTCACGGGTACATCTCAACCTTGCATCTTTCATGAAGGCATTTCAAACTAGAACTCAGATTGGCTATATAGATTGCATATTTGGGTTGTTAAAGACAGTGCTTACATCAATTTCTATGTATTTCATGGAAAACCAGAATTTCTGATTTCAGGGGGTTGAGAAGCGACAGCTTAGCACACCGAGAGCACGATGAGCATAACATCTGAAATAAACTACTGTTCACTTCAGGGAAAAAACCTTTATCAGATCATTTCATCAAGGTCAAATTTCAATACTAGGAGTTGTCGTCTACAGGGGCATGGCTCCGACTGATATTCACCATTTTCCATAACACACATCTTTACGAAAGCAGGCTTATCTTGAGACATTCAAGAGAATGTCTTATTCAATATCTTATACCTCACAGGATTACAGTGTCCAGAAACGTTAATTGTCGTAATCGTCGGAGACTGTAACCCTTACAATCATCATTTTCCTTTGTTCATTACTCCCTGCTAAAAGATACTTCCCATCATCTTATTCCATCTATGTACATTTGTCTACCTGCATTACCATCACTTATCAAAACAGGTCATCAACCCGTCCCCAATTTTCCCCCACACCGACTATGGAGGTATATATTTATTTATGTTCTTACAGTTGAAAGCAAGCAGGATCTTACATCAGGCTTCAAGAAACGAACATAAGAAAGCTCTAGCAAGGGTCTTAAGAGCACATGAATTTAAATTAGCTCTTATCCCATGGCTGCGGGCGTGATCATTGTTGTCGAACACCAGCTAGCGTGACCTCTTTGCAAAGGATCAAGAGAGACATGGAAAGCCGTGAACTAATTTGACATTTGCCGAAGTGATTCAACATAGAGGGTGCCTAAGGACGCTGGCTCGCTTTCCATTCTTTGCAATACCTATACGATGCCTTGGAGGAAGAGAAGATCTGCTTGAATGATCAAACGAGGAGTGTATTGCTCCTGCAGGATGAGACAGATAAGAAGGCCCGTCTTCATCAGCTCCAGATTGCCAAAAAGCCCGCTGTTTGTGATTTGGGAAATAATCCTGAAGTTACAAATTGCGACTTCATCAGCTCGAGACTTGACCTCGAAACTTAAAACTCAAGCTCGAGAAATTAGCTTGAGATATTTTGCTCAGAATTCGCGCATAGTCTTCGGGCTGGTGAAGACGGACCGGACAAATTGCAGGATATTTTGCAAACTAGCCCAATTTATCTCAGGATGATTATCTCGACCAAATATCCCGCTAATTGCAACTTTGGGCTGATGAAAACACAAATGAACTGGATATTTTGCGATCAGGATAGTTCAAATAGCGGGATATTTGGCAATCTAGAACTGATGAAGACAGGCCTAAAGAGTAGGAATGGAAGACATTCACCTCCCATGGGGGCGTAGCATGCCTCAAAACCATTACATTTCAAGCTTGATGTGGATCGAGGGTGACGTTGAATGGGGATTCGGGGTCGTCATACTCCCTTCCCCTTTTAATACCATTGCTAACAAATCCTAACTTGTTCACAAAGTTGTACTTTTCTATCCCTGTACACCAATCAGATCATTACCTTTTCCTTCTTAGGAAAATCCCCACATAAGATGTTGTCATCAAGTCGACAGCTAGTTTTTAGGTTGAAAACTTCTGATTTACAAAGCTTTATATTTTGAGTGTTGTTGGATGTGGATTCGGGGTTGTCATACTCCCTTCCCTTTTAATACCATCGCTAACAAACTTGTTCACAAAGTTGTACTTTTCTAGCCTTGTACACCAATCAGATCATTACCTTTTCCTTGTTAGGAAAATCCCCACATAAGATGTTGTCCTCAAGTCGACAGCTAGTTTTTAGGTCGAAAACTTCTGGTTTTCAAAGCTTTAGATTTTGAATTTTCAGAGGTGTTACTCCTCTGACAGACACTAAAATAATGTAATATATGGCTTATAAGCTCTTTGTTGTTATATAATTCATCTGTTTCAATTTTCACTTTCGACAGGGTCTTCAACTTATATCCACTAAAATGAAAGTAAAAGAAATTATTATCTACTAAATGAATAGTCTATATTGTCTATAAATAATGAAGGAATATTAATGCATCTACTTTCACATTTCTTCTGGTCAGTGTCCAACTTCCATTACACAAATTTGGTCATGTGACAGAGACAGATATTGGTTATTGTCGAAAACTTAAGAGGCTCTACTACTCTAAAAGCATTATATATATCTCTCTTTAGTATCTTGAAGAAATCTAGTCATCTGATTAATCGAGTCGTGATTTTAGCCATGCCCGCCTACCGGTCAAAACTTTTTTTCAAGATGCCCGGTGCACACTCAGGGTTATATCAGGATGTAATGTCCCCTTGAGCCTATAAAAACAGGGATGCCTCTCACAGCAGTCAATATATCTATACTATTAAAGTTAACACTTTTACTGCTATTATTTTTGTTTTTTTACCTCATAATATTAACCCTCTGGGGATTCTGATATGAATAAACAAGGATTAAAGGTAAAGACCAGTATTGGAAATGCCCCAATTTCAAAAAATGAAATGGAAGCTCTCATTACCAATCATGTGAAAGAATATGTTTTGACTAATACATGACGATAACAAATTTGCCGGGAAACCGCCTCCTAATTCATATATTTAGTAAATTTGTTTCTCTCATGGTCTGTGAGAGATATACATGTAGGGTAGTCCCATATACATCTTTCTGTGTATAGTGCTTGTAACTTTACGAAGAATGGGCCAAATTTCTTATCATTTTGATGATTCCAGAACCTTGCAGATGCTAGATGCTAGATGATCAACCTTTTCTGATCGATTCCACAACGTTTCTTTCACAATGCAATCGCATGACCATAACTGGTCTTTACCTTTAAGCAAACTAACATCACATTCCATCAGTCTTAACCCATTGGATTTCATTTATTTTCATTCAAAATACAATCCTAATGGGTTCTGACCAGGGTTATCACAGGCTTGCTATTTCACAGGTTGATAATAGATTCATGCTTTCATATATACGCTAATAAAAATGGTCAGCTTAAAGTTCATATTGCTTTCTCATGCAGAGGTTCTCCAGACCTTGCAAGAAAGAGGGTTAAGATATAATCTGATTAAAGAGTTCTAAAACACAAAATATTCATTAAACAATCACAAATTCAGTGACTTTCATTCATTCAAACTGAACTGTCACCACGTTGAACTTTACAAGGCACAGTAGGGCAATATTTCACACAATATTTTTTACGAAACCTGAAAATACGCACAGTAGGTAAAATATAATATATCAATGTAAAAAGTACACACAGTATGCCTTGATATAAATAATTTCTTGTGTAAGTTAAACAAGATAGATTCAGGCAAGGCACTGGACCACACAAGTAGAATAATAACAAATTTACATATATACATTCACAAAAGTTGAAGAATACCACGTGTAAAAAAAGAGTACCGGCAATTACGTAAAAAATGCTTGAACTTGTTTCTCAAAGTGTCATGTTGTTCCACAAGTGTTTGTCTCCTTACCATCATGAAAATTGTTGTTCAGAGATTATTTGAACATTTTGATTGGATCTTCTTGGCACTCAGTTTCTTTGTTCTAGTTTAAACCAGAAAACTATAGAAAGAACTAAATTCCTGTCAGCCACATACCAATTATAAGACACAATATCTATACAAAATTGTTTTATTTCTATTTCATTGTTGTTGTTGTTGTTTCATTTCAAAGGCAATCATGAATGTTGTATCATTTTTTATATGAATCATATCACACTAGTTTCTGCGCCAAGATTTCGTAAAGATTATCCCTATAATTGGTTAAATTAATATGGTGAATTAAATCATGTACTAAAATTGTTCATAAAAAATAATGAAATAAGAAATGCATATGACACAATGAAGTTGTCAATTCGTGATAACACATGAACAAGAATTTTTCTTCAGGAATTATAGCAGTTCAAATCTAAAATATATAACTTTTCACAGAACAATTTGAAATATATGGCTGGATTGCCTACTGAATCATCCTAGACTCTAAATGACAGGGTTATTTAGCTCTAGATAGATTCAACACTTTCTAGCAGAAGGCAACTGACAAAATAGTGAGGTTAATTCAGCTCTAGAACAGACTCTTTGGTAGGCTTACCGCTGTGTGGAAGTATACAAGCATGGTTTTCACAAACTGGTTCAGCTCATGCCCCTCTCACACCACGGATGGGGGAGGTGAGGGGGTGTTTCACATTGGCAATGAACCCTGTTCAGTGTCACATTTCATAGTCAGGACATTGTAACAATTCCATCTTAGAGGCACAAAGTCCCACTGGCTACTTTTGGATGGTGGTCAGGTAGAGCACGCCTTAAGGATTCATACTCACTTAAGGGCACTCAATGGCTTATACCGCTCTTTAAGTGTGAGTGTAAATGGGTCTATGAAGGCAACATGGTAACACACAACATTGGATATTTCATATTGACGTCTCCTTAACGACACGAACCTCTGACCCCCTTGTGCTCGGTCTGGTGCCCCTACTGATTGCCTGACTGTAGGTGGGTAGCTCCGGCGACGCAGCAGGGCGGGGCGTGTCCAGGGCATTCCCAGGGGTGATGGGCCTGAGGGGAGCGTGGGAGGTGAAGAGGTCTGTCCTGGGGTCCGGCTCTGATTTGGAGTGATGGTGGTGGGCGTGGGGATGATGCCTGTGACTGTCCGTCTCATCTCCATGGAGACGAGATGGTGAGGGCAGAGTAGGAGGAGATAATCTCTGCTGGGAGAGTAGAGGCAGTTGTTTGGTAAGAGGCTGGAGGCGAGACATCTGTAATACCAAACAAAAAACAAAAAAAGGAAGATGATTATGATTATGATCAAGAATATTGTAGCTCTCACTAATTTTTTGAATAAAACTGAACTATTTTTAGGGAGATGGCATTAGATTAAAGACTGATGTGTGACACAGCTTTTCTTTCTATTTTATATTTGATATTTAAATTTACATAAATGAGTAGGATGTACATTTACACAGGATACACAGGGATCATAGGAATTAGAGACTTGGACATCATCTGCTTTAAAAAAGCAGAATAATTCAATCCGATTAACAGAGTAATAATAACTTACAGTAAAAATGTCATTATCACTGGTAATTATAATAAAACTACAGTGATCTTTATTATGTGAGTTGAAAATCTCAAGTCTCTCACCTTATCAGAACTTGGTGTCTGTGAAATTTTCCTGAGTGACTTCTGGGCCTTGACGTAATCTGGAGGGGCGCGGTCTCTGTCCCACTCTCTGGCACCGTAGATGGCTCGCTGCACCCCTATCCGATCCTGGGTGTCGGTACTCAGAAAGGACTGCTAACACACAAAGGGAAATTGAAATGATTGTTACAGCCACCATCAGTCAGTCATGTGTCATTTTGCATTCTTGCATATTTTCTCTTTATGACATAATGAGGTAAAGATGTCAAAGAAAAGGAATTTAATCATTTGGCTGGGAATGCAAAGGTCACTATTATTATTATTATTGGTACTATTATCATTATTTTTTCTAATGCTATTATTACTACAGTTAATACTATTTATTTATATTATCGTAATTATCATTATTACATACCTGCCAACATTTTTAAATAAGAATTGGGAATTTCTAGCATGGTATGCCTTTGAAAATAAGAAATCTGTACCCTCAACAGGGGGTCGCACATGCAGCGACGGTGTAACTGCCAATACGAGGTAAATCAGTATACAAATTCGCTGCTCGATCATGCAGCCATTCCACGCACGCAATACTTTAACTCTCAGATTGCGGCCCAGGATAAAACAAGCTTAATTTGGCTTCAGCAACAAACAAAAACAAAAAAAACAAACACTAAAATCAGAATTTTCTGAATGTTTGGTCCTAAAAATCAAGAAAATCAGAATATTCCGGATTTGGAAGGGTTGGCAGGTATGTTATTATTATTATCATTATTATTACTATTACTATAACTTTTACTATTAATATTATCATTATTATCATCAAATAAGCATTGTCTGCCTGGTAGGTGAAGATCAACCTTCTTCATTCTCATCCCCTGATCCCTCTTCCCTGTATCCTGACTGAGATGTACAGGTACTATTTGTATGCACAAAACACTGAATGCAGTATAATTGGGTGTGGGTTACACGAGTTCACTATTAGGATTGATAAAGACATTAATCAATACCAATTCTGACTGATAATCTAATGAAGTACTTGAATGATGAGTCTCATCCAATCTGATTGAAGGACAATCAATTAAAGACACTACATTAATTGAACATGAGATGGATATGATCGAAGCAATAATGAATGAACTGACAACATTGTGTACATAGCTGTATAAACATGTGGAGAGTTCAAACTCTTGACTAGATGACTATGTTCCAGAAGACGGGTGCTCAAACAAAATATATACAAGGCATACTATAAGAATAGTCCGATCGTCAAGAACTGGGCCTCACTGCCTGACGTGGTCACAATCAAAAGATAAACATTCTCATTAGGCTGCGCCGGTACGGAAAATTCTCTCCAAAATGAAAAACCCGTAATTGTTTTCCTTGTACATGTAGTACACTTGACAGGAGACCTATCTTCATCAGCTCAAGTTTGCCAAATAATCCGCTATTTTCAGGCTCGGGTATTATCCCGAAGCTCCAAATTGCGTCTTCACCAAACCAAACTCATCACAAACTAGCTCTGACAGGCGCAAATTAGCCCGCTATATCCAAAATAGCGGGATATTTTGGAAACAAGACCAAGAATTCTCGAGATATTTTCAAGACCAAATATCCCGCTAATTAGCTGGATACTTTGCGATCGGGATAGTAAAAATAGCGGGTTATTTGGCAAACCCAAGCTGATGAAAACAGGCCTATGGTGACAGACTTTGCAATAAATTCACACTTTATCTCTTTTGCCAATACTTCAGTAAATGCATTTTTTGTTCTCCTTTCTTTCTAGAAAAACAGTAGAAGTCTGAACATTAACAAATATCAGATTTTTTTCATCTCCTTATGACCAACAAAGAGTATCTGGAGCAATCATTATCCCCCTGAAGCATTTACACCACCTACATCATAAATCAGGTATGTACAGCCACCTCTCATATGCCAACAATTTCATATTATCTAGATTTATAGGTTAAATATTGGAAAATTTTGATTAACAGATGTGACATGCACTGCACAATGCCTTCAGGCAATGGAGTATGGAGAAAACGGAGAAATATGATCAGACTTTTGAAGAAGCAAACGACTATCTGGTGACACAGCTGCAGCATTGGCAGATCTATTTAACAGGGCTAAGGTACCTAGACAGGTATTAAAATTGAGGGATAACTCAACAAGAAGCCGTCCCAGGGCATCAAAATTTTTGATCCAAGCATAAATGGTACAAATAAGCCACAACTAAAAAAATGGTGGTATAATTATGCATTCACTTTTCGCACATTAGAAATCTGATGCCATCTAACAAAAGTACTTAATGAACAATTTGGTCATAATTGTCCTTCAGTTCTCCTTTCATCATTTTATATATGGTTTTCTTTAATGTATTGAAATCACTGCACCACTCAAATCACACTCATTATTTGTTCATAATCAAATAAAGTCAGGTTAGAATAGGAAAGCAAAATCAATTATGAATAATGTTTTTTCCCCTGCACTACATTTAATGTATGATTGACATTATGGATTTTCTTTAGTTTTGAAAAGACTATTGAATAAATTATGCAGCTTTGCTAAGATAACAAACATGACCTGAAATTTCATTCAAAGTTTAAACCTACAAAGATGAAACTCACCGAAGACTTTTTCTTCTTCTTTCTCTTCTGCACTTCTTTCCATTGCTGGTCTGTTGGGAAGGTATTGTCCATTGTTTTCCTGCAATAAATCACAAGAAAGAAATACAAAATTGTCAATCAATCCATCCATCAATCAGTCGGTCAAAAGGCAATCCAACCCTTGTAATAAGTTGATTTGTATGAAAACAGAAAAATAACAGTGACAGAATAGCAAAAGTTTAAAAGGAATCAGACCAATAGTAAGGAAGTTATGCATGCTTAAAATATTAGATCACTAAGTCTATGTGGATTTCAAATTGGTAGTTTGGTCAGTGAATTGTGACGTAGGACATGGATTACTCTCCCATTTGCTGTGTTAAAAAATACCTCTAATTTCTGTTTTTCTCAAAAGTTCCTTCTCTCTTGGGGCACTACTCAAAATATATTATAGATAGCATATTATTATAGGTCCTCTAAACAGATTAGACCCCTCTGAGCCATTATTTTTTGAAAAATTTAAATTTGTAGTCTGTCTGAACAGATGGGGAAAGTAGTACGGTACTACACCATATTGCCATTACCGCTTCAGCCAATTTGAGGTGACTACAAATTTCAAAATTCACAACTTTCTCATATTTAGTTAGTTTCTAATTGAAACTTTCATAAGTTTGCTTCTCTGACTTTTCTGCTTTCTTTTAGAGTAGATGTCTATTTGGGTAGGATTTCCCTTTAATCAAATACACAAGATATCAATAAATGAAAGTATTAAGCCTTCTTAAGCATACTGTGATACCCAATGTGTTCAGTACTTATGGAGCAGGGGTTAAAGCCACATATGAGTCAATTTCCATGTGTATTGCATTATAATTTGCTGACACCACCAGATTTGGTTGAGTTACCAATTAATTTGTATGAGTGTGCAAAGGTCTCTGAAGCAGCAAACCTGTTGTCCCACCAGAAAATGCTCCAAACTACTAGCTCCTATATCTGAGGGAAATTTGGTATTATGATAAGAATTCCATATGGTGGTAGGCTAGGGCCCAGTGCATTACACAGGACCTGTCTGTCATAAAGCGAGGTCCACTCTTGGTGACTGACAACACCTGCTATTGGGTAAACACCCAAATGGTGTCAAATTCCCCATAAAAACCCACTTCTATCAGCCTTTAAAGGTATTACAAAGTTTTGGTATGGGGTCATGAATTTGGTTCAAATGAACATATTGGAAGTATATGCGATTTTACAATATTCCATTTTTTTGTCGCGGTTGAAATCGAATCTAAAGTGATGAAATTGTAGATAATAAACTCTTTATGTTGTATAGCGCCCTCTCAAGACAGATATTACTTTAGCTCTAAAACAATGTTTCTTGACTACGATCGACAAATTTGCTATTCCCGTTTGGAAATTATCAGAATTGCATATTCCGAGATTTTCACGGTCGCAGCTACCAAGGAATGGCCTTAGGCGCTATTTGAAATATTTGAAATTTACCGGGTGCACCGGCAAATTTGTTATTATTCAATTTCTCGAAAGCAGAAGTGTTTTAGGGGCTAAATTTTCTAGTGCTTATAATACATCCACAGGGGCATCCAAATATATCAAAATTTTAAAGAATTACTAAAATCCAATTTTCAAAATTTCCCAAAACTTTGCATTTTACCTTTAAAGGTAATACAAAGTTTTGGGAAATTTTGAAATTGGGTGGATAATGATTCTTTACAATTTTGGTGTAATTGGATACCCATGTGGATGTATTATAAGCACTAGAAAATTTAGCCCCTAAAACACTTCTGCTTTCGAGAAAAATTGAATATAAAAATTTACCGGTGCTCCCGGAAAATTTTGATAAATTTCAAATAGCGCCTACGGCTGTACAATGGTAGCTGCGACCATGAAATTCTCAGAATATGTAGTTGTGATATATATTTTCCAAACGCAAATAGCAATAGGTCGATTTTAGTCAAGAAACCTTGTTTATAGCTTAATTAATATCTTGACCTTGAGAGGGAGCTATACAACATAAAGAGTTTATTATTTACAATTTCATAACTTTAAACTCGATTTCAACCAGGACAACGATCAATGAATATTGTAGGAGCGCATATGCTTCCAATATGTTCATTTGAACCGAATTCATGACCCCATACCAAAACTTTGTATTACCTTTAACATTATAGAGAAGACTGAAGGAAAGGAAACCTACTGCAGTTAGTAATTCTCACCATGTGTGTGTCTCCACAAGACTGACAGGTTTCTGATCAAATGGACCCTCCTTCCTGAATTGAGACGGCTTGCCGGTAGAACCTGGAACCACTTCAGGACCAGGAACCGGTGCTTCCATCACAGCATCAAATTCTAGTAAGAGTACGAGAGGATATAGATAAAGGTACATGTAATAGAGGAAAAAGCTTGCAACTAAAATACATGGTCTGAAAACAAAGAAGGAAATCCATGTATGCACACCATCATCTGAAAACTTTCTTTCACCTTGGGGAAAAGTGGAGCGTTTTATATTTCTTAACATATTCTATTTATTGCCATCTAGGATAACAACTACACTCAGGGTACATTAGTACTCTCCACGGATAGAGTACATAGCGTACGACATCACACAAGAAGTGAGTCCTGTAACGTGATGTCATAAATGTGTGTGTTTCTATTGTTTTAGGCACAGACATATAATGACCATTAAGCATTTGATATCTGCACAAATTTATCACTTCTTCAAAAGTTGTTTGTGTGTATGGTACTTTCAGATGATCATCCATAGATCTAGGCTTTAGTTAAAGATGACGTGAAGATGACCACATAAATGAACAATCATAGTCACGTCATCTTCCAGACCCTCTCATAGTAATCAAATGTACCATGCACTGAGAGGCTCCCGTTGGTATTATGGATTCCCTGAGGTGAATAACTGGCATAGCACTATTTTCTGAGGGGAGCAGAAAATAGTCACTATGCCAGTCACAGGACATCTGTTATTTTACCTGTGCCTCAAAATAAGAACATATTATATTTAATTTACATCCTTCATCAATTTTGTTTTAAATAACTTCTTTAGTATAGGATATATAACAGTCAATATTTATTTGTCAAAAATAGTGGTTGAAGTGTTACCTATTGTTTGTATCTGTTGTGGAAGGTTTATCTTGCCTCGTCGTTCCCTAGGAGCAGCAGGAGGTACATGTCGCCCTCTATCACCGTACGGCGGAGGGTTAGATCTATTATGACTGGTTCTCGGAGCATCCTCTTGAGTGTGCTGTTATGAGAAATTGAATACATTAGAATTTAAAGAGATGTCAAATACAAAATTGCTTTTTAATCAAATGTCATTCCTTGTGGGGTAAAAACAAATCTTTTCTAACATAAATCCAAGGTTGAACAGGTCCTAGCGGTATAAATTTCTTTTAATTTTTTTCTTCAAAATATATCATTTAAAGAGAATTCAAATGCAATTTTTTGTTATTGATCAAACATCATTCCTCACGGGGAAAAAAAAAAGCTCTTTTCTAATATAAATCCAACCATGAACAGGTCCTAGAAGTATACATTTCTTTGAAAGGAACTTTCAAAATATATCATTTAAGGAGATGTCAAATGCAAAATTGCTTTTGGATCAAACGTCATTCCCTGCAGGGTAAAATGCTCTTATATAAACATAAATCCAAGTGTGAACAGGTCCTAGCAGTATACTTTAATTTAAAAGAAAAAGTCAACAAATATTGTCATTTAAGAGTCAGGAGGTTGTTAGGCTTGTGATAAAAAAAAATAGGAATTGAGGCACTTTTAGTTCTTACCATACAATATCATTGTGAACAATTTCTTTTCAACATCAAAATATCATGCATGTTTCAGTACCTAATCACTCAAATTGCAAAAAAAAATTTAATGGGGGTTTTGGGGGGGAAATTTCTGATTACCAAATATTGAGATTAAATTCAAACTTCACCTTCATGACTAATTTTATTTAGCAGAAATATTTCTGCAAACTTTCTATACCATGAACAAATAGGTAAATTTGATAAGGTGTAGAAGTGAGTACTTGGGAAGTGCACAACAAGCCCATGTCTTCATTTAACAATCAGCATAAAAATCTCTAAGAACTGTTCAGATTTCACTTTCTTTTGAATTAAGTTTCACGCATTAAAAAAGCCATTGAGAATATTGAAAAGAATGTCAAAAAAGCAAATATCCAAACATGTATTACATTTACAACTTATGCCCTTTTTTGAAAAATTTGTTTATGGCTACGAATGGATCTTGAGAAAGAAAAAAACACTGACCTTATCCTCTTCTTCCATCCCGCCTCTCTCATCACATCTATCACCAGTGTCACCTACTGTCTGGTAGTCCATACCCCGATCTTCGTCCATGTGGCCCTCTGAGGTACCGAACTGTTTGGTCTGGTTAGGAAGCACAGTCCGAGGGGTTTCAGCCGTTATCGAGAGTGGATGCTTACTGCTGTCATAGTTGGATACCCTACTCCCATAACCCTGCGGATCCGGAGTGTCTCTAGCGCCGTATGGATTTATGCTTTCTTGGATCTCGCTACCCCTACCTTTCTTTTCTGTCCTATGAGGTAAAGGGAGTCTACCGTGATCATGATTGACTGTCCTGGTGTCCACACCCTGATTTGATTCGGAGACCCTATCACCAGAATTTTCATTCCCAGGAATTCTGGTGTCTTTTTGATTGGCTTTGTTTGAATCCCGTTTACTCTGCAAGACATCTTGATTGTGAGCCTCTCTCTGCGATCTTTCCGCGTCCTTACTTTGTTTCTTGTAGGCACTTTTGAGGTATTTGCCAAAAGGGTTTACCCCCTCGTTGTCCTGCTGTCCTGCAGGGGTCTGGTTATGTGACCCAACATGGCTGCCATCCATGCTCCAGTGGGATATGACCTTACTCTGATCGTTATCACTATCCTCTGTGTCCGACTTTTTCTTGTTCAGCGTATTCTTTGAGCTTTTAACATGTTCTACCCTATTGTTTGACGGCTCATGGTATGGTAACGACTCTTCATCCATTGAGTACTGTTTCTTGTGTTGTTCATGTTTCTGAGATGTTCCGTGGTGGCTCGTTTCCTCTCCTTGATTCCGTTCCGACAGAGCAAGGATGGATCCTTTGTGATATTGAGAGTACTTAGACTGTCTGGTTGACCCAGACATATCAATCATCTGTTCCTTGCGCTCCCCAAGGGTGTAACTCTTCAAGAACCCTGCTACGTTCTTCCCCGACGGCTGCAACGGAGCATGTCCCGAGGGATCGTTGCGTGGCTCTGCCTCTCCTCGGTTCTCCTTGGACGCCTTCTTGGACTTGGACTTGAGAAACTTGAGTTGCGGTGTTTGGATCTGGGACATGATGTCTGGTCTGTTTGAGGGACTCATGTCCATGTCTGCTTCGGACCTGGTCTCAGAGATGTGGAGCCTGGACTGGAGCTGCTGCTGGTATCGTCCCGGGGCATCATTCCTGGACTGTTGGGATTCATGGTTTTCCATGAAGACTATCTTTGGCTTCCTCTTACTCTCCCTGCAATTACACAAATCAAAATTACAAAAATAGTGTAAAAAGGGTACTGTCAACCTTAGATATAGATGCACAAATGGCTCCTGTACCATCACACTTCACATTGAACAATACTATGATACAACCTTAATACTATCATCATTTTGTCTCATTTCCAAAGTAAGTTGGTTGGATTACTACTACTTCCAATAATAATAATAGTTGGTTCTTGTAAATAGCGCTCCATTATTAATACCCTGGGTATAGCATGGCTGCCTTAAAGCGCTATAGAATATCAAGGAATTGATTCATGCCAGGTACCCATTTACCTCACCTGGTTGAGGTGTGGAAAATGTAGATTAATGTCTTACCAAAGGACATTAGTGCAGAGACTGGACTCTTAAACGGCGAACCATGCGATCCACAGTCCGTGGACGTATCCACTAGACCGGGACACCTCAACACCTAATACTACCTCTTTCTACTCCCCTCCCCTGCCCCTCCACAAAATCTTATCCATGCAGTGATAGCCCCATGGTTTATACTACCTATTATAAAGGCTCCTTCTAATATGACGCTAAACATTGTGGCAGTTCCCTACGTTAACTGGGGGGGGGGGGGGTCAATTTGACCCCCCCCCCCCCCCGTAGAAATTTCGCGACTACTCCGAAACCGCGGCAGATTTTTTTAGTCTTACGCATATTTTAAAACAATTTTTTCAAAAATTGGATGTATAGTTACAAAGTCACGTGACCTTTTGTCTTCGCATGTCAGCCCGAAAATCGTTAATTTTTGTGATTTGTGTACAAAACATATCATCGGTGGGGTGACAAAACCTTGTATCTCAATTTTTTGAGATTTTTATTTTTTTGCATAATTTTGTACCTAATGGCCTACGACACCACCTGATAAATCCATGGAACGCCTCCTGTCTCGGTTTTTTCACAAATTCCAAACAAAGGACGGTGTCACAGCACTAAATCTGTTGAGACATGAAAGGTTTTTGCGCTCTCCTGAAAATTCATGATTTTTGAGATACAAGGTTTTGTCATCCCACCGACGATATGGAAATGTCATTTTTCTTAAAAAGAGATAAATCATTGGTTATTTAGTCTTGTTTAAAGTTTAGGTGTTTGTTTTGGGGTAAAAATGGTGAATTGTAGTTATAAATGAAATAAAACAACAAAAACAATAAAATACATAAGTTAAAAAAACAATGAAATACATAAGAAATTATCAAAACAAGAGATAACATAAGGAATAACCTGGCTCTTCCAATGTTTTGTGTTGTATTATTATTCCAAATGGTCTAACAAATATATGTATTGAAAAAGAATGCTTAAATATGAATAATGTATGATTTATGGGCAAAAATGTGAATTTTATGAACTTACTTACTGCAAATGAGTGAATTTTTCAAAAATTGAAATTACCATAGTATTCTATACACTTCACTTTGACATGCATGCAAATTTTCGCGGCGATCGGCAGTGAAACGGCCAAGATCTTGGGGGGGGGGGGGGGGTCAAATGACCCCCCCCCCCCAGTAAAAAGCTGGTCTGAAATACCCCAGTTAAAATAGGGTTAAAGTGTTATATGCCTCATATTTCTATATCTATAACACAGAGCTCAGTGAATACATGTGAGCCCTTTGTTGCAGGTAGTTGCAGCCATTCATTTAGTTGTCATAGAATATTCTAAAACTTATGTTTTAAAATTGACCTGATACATGTAGGCATTTCTGTAGTTAATTCCTGTGGTAACTCATTCTATTCAAGGCAAATTAGATCTATAATGAATGAATTTTTATTCAATCAGAATCTCTTTCAATTCAATTTTTTCCTTTTCAGAAATTTTTTCTTGTTTCTCCACATTAGATTTTTCTTGTTTCTCCAAATTGTCATTCAAACTTAATTCTTGTGAATTTAATCCTTCTTTTATCATAAATGAAAATATTTTAATTAATTTCGGAATAAACAGATGGAGCCAACTGTAGCGAGTTAAAATGTCTGAATAGTTCACATTGGTTGGCTGTATCCCACTAAGATTCAAGGATAAATATCTGAAAGAAAATCATGAACAAGCATTTTCTCATTATAACTAGAAATCCTGCATCATTATTGATTTTTTATCATTGATTGTTAATTGATCATGGAAATGGCTACTCTGAATCCAGGATTTCCTGTCAGTAAACTGTCCTGGCCAGATCAATAAAATCACAGGCTATACAAGACTGAATGAAAACAAATTGATTACACCCTTCCCCTATGCATTCAGACACCTCTGTAAGCTCATCAGGCCTGAAAACACCTGTTTCTCTTGTATCCCCCGGTTACGTACCTAGGTGACAGCTCATCGGTGCCATCGCTGTCCTCTTCTTGCCGCCGGGTAGTGAATGCAGACTTAGGCCGGATCTCGTTCCGGAGTAACCTCTCAGTGTGAAAGGCCCTGTGGTCCAGGCATTGGTCTATGGTGTAGCGTTCAGACGGGTCTAACCTCAGCATGTGCTGTGAAGGGAGAAAGAGGGGGTTCAATCAATACTTCAGCACAGAGCACTGGTGTTAATTGTCCTGAGATACTAGGTATGGATGGCTTTAATATAGAGAAGTTTTGATAGGATTTCTAACTCATTATTTCTCAGAAGATAAAACAAATGGGCAAAGAGTAAATTTAACTACAGTGATTACATTAAACACAATGGCATCACCATCAGCATCATTCAAACTCTACAATCATTACAACCACCATCGTCATCAAACATAGCAATCTACTTACCGATAAGAAATCCAGCATGACCCCATTAATGATGCCAGCATACTTTTTCTCGATTGGTTCTATGACTGACATGCTAGGAAACTGTAACAAACAACAACAAAAGACAATTATATCATTTGAGTTCTACATTTTATTAAAATTCAAAGGCATACATGTAATAGAGTAGATTCTACCACTTTGATCAATTTGATTGCTTTCTTTTTCTATCTTTTCTCCTCCTCTCATCTCCCTACCTTTTTTGTTCTCTCTCTCCCTTTCTCTCTCTATTCTCTCTCTCTCCCTTTCTCTCTCTCTTTATCTCTACCTTAATTCCTTCCTCTCATTCATTCATTCTCTCTCTCTCTCTCTCTCTCTCTCTAACTTTCTTTCTCTTTCTTCCCCCCCCCCTCCCCCCTCCCCCACCCTCTCTCTCTCTCTCTCTCCCTTTATCTCTCTGTCTTTGTCTCTCTATCTGTCTCTCCCCCTCTCGCTGTCTCCCCCCTCTCCCTCTCTCTCTCTCTGTCTCTCTTTCTCTCTTTCTCTCTCCTTTCCTATAAACAACGCAGAGGGCTGAAGTTAGAAAAGAGGGGTTTGATTCCCACTACTTTACAAAGGAAGCACACTTTATTTAAATTCAATGTTACTCCTTCATTTACATGTGAATATGGTTGTTTTTCAGCACAGCTAACAAACAAGAAAAAATTCTAAAAATACTTCTTTTGAATTGAATCGACAGGATTGTTACCTTCAGACCAGAGAACCGAGGACTGTTGTCAAAGATGGCCATCTGGTAGTGGGGTAGCGGACCTAGGATCTTCTGGATCATGTAGAGTTGGTCTATCTCACTCTCCCCGGGGAAGATGGCATTGCCGTCACTGAGTTCTCCTAAGATACAGCCGATGGCCCATACATCCACTGCCTTACCATATGCAGATCTATAAGAAAATTTGTTTAAAAAAAAAATGATTTCTTATGAAGAATAATTTGCATTTCCAATCTTGCAGAAGACATATATAACATACATTCAATGCAAAGTTTGATAAATTCATCCACTGCCTTCCCATACACACACCTATAGACAAATCAGCTAGACAAATTTGTAAATTAAAACACTTGCAAACTCTACAAAATTCTCTTGGTTTATCGACATAAATAACATTTTTTCTTTGATTTTTAATGGAATAAAAAAAATTAACATTATCTTAGCATCACAAATAACTTTAATTGGTATTTTGGGGCCAACTAATTTTCATACAGCTTGACAAACTGTAAACAATATTCTGTTGATACCTCTAAAGAGGCTACTTTTCTCAGTTGCAATATATGAACTGGCATAAGATAAGATAACTGGCATTAAAAGCTACTGCTTCACTATAAAAAAAAACACAACTGTAATTGGTTGGCCTTTATCATTTAGTTTAAAATTTGCATTTCCAATTTTGCGAAAGACACCACAAAGATCCAATGCACATTTTTAAATTTGATAAATATTCCTCAAAATTAATATTGGAACTGTTTAATACTAGCTTCTGAGCAAACTTAATGTTTTCTCCCCTGGCTTGTCCATGTGTACTACATTGCTTGCTAATTACTTACTCCCACAATCTCCATGTGTAGGGTGATTGTTATATTGTTGTTGGTGTTTTTTACTTTCTTTTCAAAGTAGAACTAATAGAGAGACTTTTCGTGTACAGTCTTTGCTTATACTCACCCCAGTAAAAGTTCTGGAGACCGATACCATCTTGTAGCTACATAGTCTGTGTAGTTGGCCGAGCTATTCCCATCAAGATTTCTTGCAAAACCTGAATGTTAAACATGAGGAGAACAGTAATTAATACACCATGCTAAAATAAGAAGTATTGACCTATGCTCATCAGCTTGTACCTAATACAGCTTTAAAGCCCCACTGCACTACTTATAGCTACTTGCGCCCTCTATACAGCCAACAATGCCTAAGTGGTGCCCATTGATCTCCATGATGCCCTTTTTCTTATCTTAATTGAAAGCTGAGTTGATGAGATAACCAACTGTCAGTGACCTCGCAGGGAGGTCTAATCCCTCCATGCCAAACTAGTACAGAGGGGCTTTAATGGAAGGATCAATGAGTAACATACTTAATAATGATAATACTAATAATAATGAATTCATATAGAGCATTTTTCCTTATACATGCTCAAATGCGCTTTACAATTGTGTTATTAAAGGTATTACAAAGTTTTGGGAAATTTTGAAAAATGGGTGGATAGTGATTCTTTACAATTTTGATATATTTGGATGCCCCTGTGGATGTATTAAAATCACCAGAAATTTTAGCCCCTAAAACACTTCTGCTTTCGAGAAAAATTCAATATAAAGATTTACCGGTGCTCCCGGTAAATTTTGATAAATTTCAAATAGCTCCTACGGCCGTACAATGGAAGCTGCGACCATGAAAATCTCAGAGTATGACGTTGTGGTATATAATTTCCGAACGAAAATAGCTAATCGGTCGATTTTAGTCAATAAAAATTGTTTTATAGCTTAATTAATATCTTGACCTTGAGAGGGAGCTATTCAAAATAAAGTGTTTATTATTTACAATTTCATAACTTTAGCGTCGATTTCGACCACGACAACGATCACTGAATATTGTAGGATCATATATGCTTCCAATATGTTCATTTGAACCAAATTCAAGACCCCATACCAAAACTTTGTATTACCTTTAACAGAAGAGATGAGTTTTTTGATTTTTTTTAAAAAAGGTATCGAGAGATTGCTGGTTGCAAAGAAATTTGGGTAGTTTTTTCTACAGTTCGGAAGCAGCAGTTGTGAATGCTCTTTCACCAAGTGTAAGTACAGTCAAACCTGCTTTAGTGACCACCTGTCTACAAAGACCATATTTTTTCCCCCCTTGAAAATGGTTTCTCATTGTAAAATGTACTAAAGGAACCTGTCTACAAAAACCACCTGTCTAAAAAGACCACTTTTTGTTTTTCCCTTGGGCGGTCGCTATAGACAGGTATGACTGTAGCATCTTGGGAGACGGATGGTTTAGCATGATGCTGAGAGGAGTGAAGGGAGTACCAGGATGGTCACCTGATAGTTATGAGTTCAGATAGGTAGGGAGGAGCTCTCGCATGGATGCATTTGAAGGTGATAAGAAGAGTTTTGTAATGAGTAATATCGGGTTCCAGCTCATAAGACTCATACAGAAATGAAATACTGTTATACTGTTTTATGTAACAATAATAAAAGTGGGTTCTTGTATAGCGCTCATATCGGTCAGACTTGACACTCCTGGCGCTCCGCAATTATTAACCCGGCTTTTGTATGGCTGCCATAATGGCGCTCTAGCATTTCAAGGAATTACGTCCTGCCAGGTAGATGTAGATCTTAACAACAAAACTGATTGTAATACGTATACATGTACATTTACATTTCTATGTGAGAGGTACATATACTTACCAAAGTCACAGAGTTTCAATGTGTCTTTCGCACTGATGAGTAGATTTTCAGGCTTGATATCTGCAATGAAGTGATTCAAAGTTTCATTTTAAACTGTGCAATACTATGTTATTTTTAACAGTGAGGCAATATCAATCAATCATTTTGAATTCTGTTTATATTTTACTATAATTTCCCCAATCAAATTTTAAATTATGGTTGTACATATTACATTTATTCCTTTTTTTCTGGTCTCATATTGTTATTTTATACTTGACTGCCGTTCATGTCTTAACAAACCTTGATTGAATTGAATTGAGTTGAACTGAGTAAAAGACACAATAACTGGACTAGCGTCAATGTGAGTTTTATTTTAATGATTATAATTCTTTATTTTTAATTTGATTTGAGTTAAAGATTTTTCTTTATGGTCCTTTTCCAGTTTTGTCCCTAATCGTGTGACAGTGGAATTGGCCAGTTGAAGATTCACATAGATTAGTGATCTCAGCTTTCAAAGATTATTTACTTTCTTATCACCCCAATATCTTTGAAACTTTCAACCAATGCTGCTCTGATTGTAATGCTTTCACAGGATGCCATTTGTAATAGAGAAGATTTGAAAAAAATATCTTGCTAGACGACAGTAGTGCAGAGCAGGCAAATATCGCCCTCAACCATTCCAACGAAAGTCAAGTAAATAAACTACCTTAATCACAACAACTCTACGAATGAAATATCACAAAGTTTTCTGTTGGATGAAGAAAACCTCAATTTCGTATTTTTTCATCAATATTCGACTTCAAACACATTTGTTTTGAAAATCCTTGCAGAAATGTGTCTTAACTGATATTCTTCTTCACATTATGATACAATTTAAGTGAAAATTTGCCATCATATTTTTGGGGCTCCCAACACTTTAGACAAGCTTTAAGTCATGAAAAAAGCAACAAAAAAAACAACATCAAATTAACAAGGGGTACAAATAATTTAGTTGTTAACAGTAAATTTAAAATTCAACTGGATCTCGTAAATCCTATTTAAAATGGTAGAGACACATCACCCCCTTACCTCTGTGGATGACATCATTCCTATGGCACCAGTGGATAGCCTTGATCAACTGGTAGATGTAACTCCTGGATATGGAACAAGAAAGAAAAAAGAGAAATTGTTTAAATAGGGCATTCAATTCCTGACCCGATATACATGTTATTTCACACATCTAAACATAAATACAGCCCCCCCCCCACCCCCCCAAAAAAAGAAAAACACTTAAAACTTACCCCTGTAGTCAATCTGGTGATCTATAACACCCTGCATGTTTCATTTCATAATAAATACCTATCAAAACTCATTCTAATATTTAAAATACAAATTGCTTTAATTCATTGAAAAAGGCATCGCATTTCATAGATGGGGTCATAATCGCATGAACATGTGGTTGTTTTTTCTATTAAACATGTAGGCATTAAGAGGTACCCTTTAGATTGGACAAGGTTTACCTGAGTTGTTCTTATAGGTACATGTACACACAATAAACTGGAATAAGAGATACTGTCGTAAGTGCTGCGCTTTACAGATATATTACCCCGGTCATCAGATTCATTCACGCACAATGGTACACCATCTCCACTCCCTGGGGAGCATTTCTACTATGTGGTCACTGTGAGGGCATATGGAAGTTAGTGACACAAATATATTCTGTATTCCGTCCACTCACCTGACTTTTTCTGGCGGTACTCCTTTGGGATTCTCTTCTAATAGTTCAAGCATATTCTGATTGAGGGAAAGAGGAAAAAATACAAAAAATACAACAACATTTAATTTCATGTTTGAAGTTTCTCATATGAACCTAATGATTGATTTAATATTGTTTATCAACAGCCTTGCTTTACTCCTGTAAGTCCTACATTCAAAGATACACACTTTAAATATCTATGTGAATGCAATGGGTATTAAAATCAAGTTGAATTAATTAGCATTATTATATGAAGAAGTAATTCAGATCTGCACATTTATGTACAATCATTTCTATTTCCTACATTAATTACTAAATAGACACAAAACAAGCTTATAGGAAATCTATCATAGTTAATTACTTGGGGTATGACTACATTCATATTGCTGAAAAGGGATCTTAGCATTTAGTCATTTAATAATTCATAAAGCTTTTACTTTATAAACCGAAATCCAATGATTCTCAAACCAAGGAATACAACTCTATATGTACATGTACAATACATGTTTCTGTACTTGGCTTATGAATATGGGGGTATTAAAATCAAGTTGAATTAATTAGCATTATTATATGAAGAAGTAATTCAGATCTGCACATTTATTTACAATCATTTCTATTTCCTACATTAATTACTAAATAGACACAAAACAAGCTTATAGGAAATCTATCATAGTTAATTACTTGGGGTATGACTACATTCATATTGCTGAAAAGGGATCTTAGCATTTAGTCATTTAATAATTCATAAAGCTTTTACTTTATAAACCGAAATCCAATGATTCTCAAACCAAGGAATACAACTCTATATGTACATGTACAATACATGTTTCTGTACTTGGCTTATGAATATGGGGGAATTCGTTCACAAGGAATTGATTCTTCTTCAATCATTCATAAAGTGCACGTTTGAGGCTGGTTGTGCAAATTATCCCGTGGCCGCTCTTTTGGTAACAGAGCTTTAATCATTCATGCTGGCTTCACCTGGCATCTGCTTCATCAGCTCTGGCGCCGGGAGATCCACTTACCTTCTCTACATATTCAAAGACGAGATAGAGCTTCCCACGCCGCCTGAAGGCTTCCCTGCAAACAATAGGAAATTGTAGGCATATATATCAAAGCCATCATAAAGAGCATTACTGAGATTCGAAATCTGATTTTTCAAATCCTAATTAACAATTTTGAAGCTCAGTCTGTGTGGGAATGAATGCATATCCGACTAATTAGTAATTATCAAGTCACTATTGAAATCTTACAAGTTGAGGGTTTTTGTGTACAAAGAACGTTGATTAGTTGCTGCCCTATAGGCAAGGATGGAAATGAATAATGGACAGAATCAATTTGATAGCAAAACCAGAGGAAATAGCTCAATAGAGAAAAATGTTAATAAAACAAGCTAAAACAAGCTAAATCAGATCTATGAGATTTGAATATGGGTTAAGCAACAATGAAAGACTTTGTTTTGAAAGATTGGATACACATAATATTTTTTAATGGAATAAATAAAACAATTAGAATGACACTCCCTACAATATTTTTACATGAATAAAATATGTGAAGGAACGACCAATATATAAATAAATACAAAAAATGCAGTGTGAATACATAAACAAACCTTTGCTTGTTTGTTCATCTGTTTGTTTTTTTATATTCATTGGTCGAAATATATATACTTTATTCCAAAAAAAATGTAATCAATTTCCACGACTTCTTTTAGGGCAAAACAATTTGTTTGCTATTATTTTCTCATGGTTATTGATCCTGCTGCTCACTTAAATTGATTATTTTTACGTCACTGGTCTGAACAATTTAATCAGCGCCTTCACAATGTCCCATATACATTATTAATCCTGTTTCAATTAAATGTCCGGAACCAATAATGATTTCTTTTTATGGCCCAGTCATAAGGATAATGTAATAAATGTCAGGAAGGCTATGAGGCATTAGGCCACAGGCAGTTGGGGTTGGCATTTGGCTTTTATTGGTAATCAACTTGGGCTATATATCTCGCAGATATCAATGAGCTGCTGTATCCATAGTACCAGTACTGAAATGATAGAACTGTTTTTGATGCACTGTCATTTTATATCTCCACAGTCATCAATAGCCTGTATTCAGATATTTACCATACTGGTATACTTAACATCAAAATACACAGTACATGTACGTACTTGTATTCAAATAATTATTTTGCATTTTATGAATGAACTAATGTTAATGAGAATCATATGACCTTTTTCTAGAAAGAATTCATTCTCATGCTTTTCAGTTCATCATCAATTGTATCCATAACTTATTACAACAGACTTATGAAATTCACTTTTTATTCTAATTGCTTTAAAGCTCCTCTAAAGTGTTGGGAGCCCCACAATTTAACTTAAATTGTATCATAATGTGAAAGAGGGTGTCATTTAGGACACATTTCTGCAAAGATTTCCCCCCAAAAATGTGTTGGAAGACAAATATTGAAAACATAATTTGGGTTTTCTGTTGTACACAGAAAACATGAATTTTGTACTGGTATTCTTTCATCTTTCAAGACCACAATAAGTGTGGAAACCTTCGATAATATATCCATTTTGAAAAGCATGAATTGCAGTTACAATGACTATCAAACACTTCATGCATGTTTTATTCACAAGAAACAGAAACCATAAAAGTGAAAAATTTGCTGCTCCTACATGCCTTTTCCGCGATGAAACCGAATGAGAGTATTGTTGCCTTGGGAACAAGCTAATTGTCAACCTCCACATAAATAATTTTCAAACACTCTTTCAAAAGGCATGGTATCATCTCTTATATATGATGTGATAAATTGATGAACTTGTATACAATGTTGTTTTTTAAACTTTTTTTCTTTTCTTTTGAGGTGTTTTCTAATATCTGTGATGATGGTTTCATGATGGTTTGATCAAATTACTTAACTGTGTTCAACAGAGCATCATAGCTGTATAACTGTATACATGTATATAGGCCATCATTTGCCCTCTACTTTCATTACGCTATTACATAAATTTCTATGCATGAAAGAAAAAAAATATATAAATACATGTAGTACGTGCAGGTAGAGGCATTCTTGAAGGCAATTATTTGTTGGTATAATTATCACAAGGCCTTAGAGAGCCAAAACAAGGATTTATACAATACTGACACAAAGAGAAATTAGACCAATAGAAATTCTCCCACACAAGAGAAAGGTTGGTTGGATTGTATGACACACTCTGTTGATAGTTGCTTCGCCTTCAATTTCTAACATTGGCCATATTCCTACAACATGGAGCCTAATTATCCAAATCCTAATCCTAACCCTAATCTGAAAACTCAACCTCAACACTAGCGTAACTAAATCCCAATTGCAACCCTAATCCTAACTCAATAACTTTTATGACAGCTTTATAATATATATATATGCAGAGCAAATGTCAGATCACCATGCCGGTACTTACTTGAGTTCTACAATGTTTTCTTGCTTCAGTTGTCGTAGGAGTTTGAGTTCTCTCAGAATTGTTCTTCTCACATCTTCATTGTCTGCAAGTGAAACAATGATATGATATGATATTCAAACTTTAAAGAATCACAGTAGGCTGGGCTACCTACAGGTACATGTAAATCAAGATGTGTGACAGATCTTAGGCTGCGTTCATGCTTAAATTTTGAAGGCAGAATGAGCGATCTGAAACGCTCATCGTAAACGCTCATCGTGATCGCAGTTCCACGATGCACTGTTCATGCTTACTACTTCTCTGGCTCCCCCAGGCAATTCTCAGTGTGTGGCCTTAATTGGTCTTCCAGCTGGATTCGCAAACCTTCACTGTGCATGCTACGTAGACCCACTAGAGGTCAGTGCGTTGACCCCATTTAAACGCGTTTACAAATTGTAAACGCATCTTTTTGTGAGTTTACGATCGGCGATCGTGATCGCCGTTTTTCGGTGATTCTACAAAAGTGAGCATGAACGCAAGCGTGTTTTAAACTAAACGCGTAACAGATGCCTGATTCTGGCCGTCAAAATCAAGCATGAACGCGCCCTTAGTCGATCATACGTCCTCCAATCAACAGAAAATCGTATCGTCTCTTTAGAGGTCAAGGTCTCAAACTAAAGTTAAGTTGTGATTAAAGACGAAAGTCAAAAGATGGAAAAACTTTGTTTTGTAAAAGAGAGTTAGATGATATTGCGCACTTTATTCTAAATGTGAATTTAGTACAAAGGTTTGGAATGAGACAGCACAATGGCTATATGAACATTCACGTTCACAGATTGAGTTTGCAAGAGAAATTGAAATTTTGGTTTCGATGAAAAGAGAAATGATGCACTCAATTGCAATATTTAGTTATTAACATTGATATGGCATCAAATTTTCTCAGTAAAGGTGAGCAACAGGGTTTCCTGTAATTGGTGTAATGAAGAAGAAAAACTTGTTCAATATCATGAGGATGAAAGATATAATCCATCTAGACTGGTGTGTATAGAAATTTTGATATTAAATGACAGTCGATCACTTCAATTTTCATTTGCATGAAAAAAATGAGAGAATCACCTTGTAACCAAGTGAGTCAAAAATGTGTAACTTTATGATTGTTTTTATTTTTTTTATTTTGACCTTATCCATTAAATGGCCCAATCAGCTGAGAAAATAACACACCCTCAATGCTATAAAGGGCTAAATGTTATTTTTTGTTAAAGTTGTGATTAAAGATAATGTCAATAAGCATGGAAGTTAATTGTACACGTATGATTTATTGTTAATCATATTGAGAAATTGAACACAGAGAGCCTTGTCTTATCAAATGATTTAATTTCATGTATATTTGCATAAAATTGATATGAATATGATTTACAATGTAATGGTCCACATGTATAATATGAACAAAGATATATATAATAGATCAAAGTAGAACTACAAATAATTCAATAACTTATTGAATATTAAACTACTGAATAAGTAAACAGCGGCATAAACATGTACCTGTATATCTGCTTAAACTATACATCCAAGTCTACTCTTTGAGATATACATATTCATACAGTCAATTCAATCTCATATAATTACAATTCACAGATAATGTAACTATGTAAACTGTAGCAAAAAGATAAAATTGGGGGAAACACCCACAGATATTGATGGATGTTTGCTCACTCAAGAATCGGATACAATTATCACATACATGTAGATGATTTAAAAAAATCAAATTTTTAACACTTGATCTTCAAACAGCTACAATGGTCATATCTTAATAATCTGTATTTGCATTTTGTACCTCACTAAGCCTATAGCTTTTACATTGTTAATTGGCATGCATCCTTCTGAGAACCTCGTAATGATGATGTTTGCTACAAGGCAAACAGGCACGTTAGTATCTAAGATCAAACATTGATATCTGAGATCCCCTGACCGAAAGTCAATTCAGGGCCCCTTTCACACTAAGAAAGCACGATCTAGATCACACTAGATCAGACCATCTTGGTGGTGAATAGTGATCTGGGCCATGTTTCATGAAAATTAATAACAAGTTACAATAACTTTTATAAGCTAGTGTAATCATGGCATTTGATAGGCTGAGAGCAAATTTGTCATAGAAATTTAGCATTTGTTATTGATAACAAGTTTTATGAAACAGGGCCCAAAATAAGGCATATAAAGAGCTACTTGCAACATGAGTTTTAAATCATTGCATGAATGGGTGGAAGCTCATCAGCCAAGCAAATCATTTTATAATGTTTTATAATGTATGAGGAAATTAAGTATTTTGTGACAGTATATCATTTCGTTTTTTGAAAATAACAATTTATATATACAGTATGTATTTGCTTATTTATGATTTATTGTGAGAAAAATGCTTATTGTATTCTAAATTATTATTTTTATCAAAAAACAAATCAAATCAAATCAAATCAAGTCAAAGCCCACTTCACACCATCAAGATAACAAGATCTAGATTGCACTATCCATCTAGTGTAAATGACCCACAAGCCACCCGCTTTACAGCCTCTGTCAAAATCAATTACTAACATTGCGCCATCTCTCAGACAACTGCCCTTGTGATTATGCAAGACTGTATGCGCTTTACGAGATGTGAACAATGAAATAAAGCGAGGCGAAATACATTTGTAAGTCTCGCTTGTACTAGCAATTACTTCCAGTGTAATCAGGGTCTCTTCAGGTTGGTCCCATCATCCAAGCGATCAATATTTATTTATGAAATAAAAAATAATGTCAAGTGCATGGCAAATATGCATTGGAGGAATAAGGAATGCTGCATGTGTGCGCCCAGTCACGCAGTCTCTTTAAAATATGATTTACACCATGAACGTTGCTAAGCTTGTAATATAGCCTATCGTTTATAATTTTGAAATTCATAAAAAGAGGTTGCCAATTGAATTAAAGTAGTTTATTCACCAACTACTCAATATTTCATAAGTCATCTTTTAATAGATTAAAGGTACTATGTCCCATTTGCAGGCCCAAAAAATGAAAAAGTTAAATTCCAACTGCATTTGAAAGATAATACTAATTTAGAAATTCCCTAAAAAAGGTGGGGCTTGAAAATGTCTTCAAGTGGGAAAATAATGACTATTAGTTGTCAAATCGACTTTAGGGCTATAGAGCCCAAAAGTAATAGTCTTGATTTTCAGACAATTGTACCAAATGGTCATACGTTTTATGCTGCGCAAAGATTCAATCAGTTTAATCTTGGCCATCACAAGAAGTGGGTTATTGATGTAGACAAATGCTCATGTACCCTTTACAACTTTTTTCATGTATGTTATTACCAAAGAAGAAAAAAGGCCAGTCAGTCACTTAGTGTCTGACAGTGAAGTCTAGCAAGTAAACGGGTTTCCTTGCATAATTTGAATATGAGGACACTGCTAACGTTTACATTTCACAGATAGGACATACATGACATATTCATAATTCCTGCAAAGTTCTACAGAATTTGAGGTTGGCTGCAAAAGGGACATAGTACCTTTAATAGAGCTTTAGGGGTATATTTTAGAAACAGAAACTAGTCAGAATATATTTTTTAAATCTATTAATGACATGGTTGGTTGCCAGTATCTGGTGTATTGTAAGGAATGTTGCATGTGAGCGCTCGATCATGCAATCACACAGTTTCATTAAAATATGATTTACACCATTGATTCTCAAACTTTTTAAACTCGAGGCCCACTTTGGCTAATATAAATATTTGGGGGCCCACCTTACAAAACATGAGGAACAATAATACTTGACATGACATAAGAAAGTGGTGAACGAATTGTGTGGTAAATATGCATTGGTTGAGAAGCGCTGATTTACACCAGGTACTTGCTAATCTTGTATGTGGTTTATAATTTAGCAGTTCATAAAAAAAAGAGGTTGCCAAGTGAATTACTAATACTATGTCAAGCAATGAAACCATGTGTCATATGGATCCAGCAATCATGAAGTGAGATGAACTGGTCTTTATTGTTCCTATACTATAGTATCCATCAATGTTTTGTTACTCTATGTGTACATACTGCATGCTATGTTGTCACTTGTTGAGGGCTGTTTCATGTCAAAATTCCACTCGAAATAGATATCTAGGTACTCGGCAGGAATTAGATATCAACACCTTAGACTTTATTCAAATTTAACCTGTCTTTGTTTGTCCAGCTCCCTTTATTCATGGACCTACTGTATACACTAAGATATCGGTCCATGATTTATTTTTCCGTCCTTTACATTTACAGCATCAACCATAAAATAATTACTAATTGGCTCTTTTCAAAGTTTCAACACATATTTAAACTTTTCTTTTAAAAGAAATTTTGAATTATATTTTTATCCGACAAGACAAAGCAATATAATTTGCAAGAAATTATACAGTGCTAAATTTGAAATACAAACATGTCAAATATGTTTTTTTTATCTTTAAGGGCAATATATTTACTAAGTCTGCTTCTGCTTGTAATAATGAAAGTAGTGAGTGGAAGGATGGCAGTTACCTTCTAAAAACTTAAAATGGTAAATAAACAACTTTGTGCAGAGGAGAAAATGAACTTAATACAGTTCTTTAGTTTCTAATTTCAATATTTTCTATTAAAGGTAAAGACCAGTATTGGAAACGCCCCAATTTCAAAAAAATAAAATGGAAGCTCTCATTACCAATCATGTGAGAGAATATGTTTTGATTAATACATGATGATAAAAAATTTGCCAGGAAACCGCCTACTAATTCATATATTTGGTAAATTTGTTTCTCTCATGGACTGTGAGAGATATAGGGTAGTCCCATATACATCTTTCTGTGTATAGTGCTTGTAACTTTACGAAGAATGGGCCAAATTTCTTATCATTTTGATGATTCCAGAACCTTGCAGATGCTAGATGCTAGATGATCAACCTTTTCCACAACGTTTCTTTCACAATGCAATGGCATGAACATAACTGGTCTTTACCTTTAACAGAGCCATAATGGCCCGAATTCATAAAGGAGGTTTGTCGACAAACCTCCTTTTGTTATTTACAAACCAGGTTTGTAAAAAACGCGTCAAAACGCGTCATATGACGTACATAAACCTTGGTTTGTCGACAAACCTCCTTTGTGAATTCGGGCCAATGGGTCTGACATAGTCCCAGGAAATTATGAATGGGGTCAGAATAAACTATGTGGTGCGTGATGTTATAAATCTTGCAACTTTGAACAGAAGGTTTATACGCTCACAGTTTTTCTCATCTCTTTTTGTATCAGGTAGATGGGCGAATCTTTTTAAGAGAATGAGGGGCCCGGTTCCCCTTGAATCACCGACTCTTTAGTTCATAAGATAAAAATAAAGACCCTATTGCTTCTCTATACCCTTTGGAAACACATATCACTGCCAATATTTTCTTATTTAGTTAAAAATCCAATATTTGAAAATAAAAGTTAAAGTATACTTATTGGTGTAGCAATTTTTTTCATAGCCTGAATCATTTCTTCATTTGTTTGTTTCTTGCTTATTTTCCATTCTTTCTTGTTCTTTCTCTCTCTCTTTTTCACTCTCTCTTTCCTTTCCTTCTTTGTTTTTGCTCTCTTTATTTTCGGAGGGAACAGGTGAGATTTGCGATCATGAAATAAAATAACACGTTCCAGAATCTGGAGTATACCTTTGCCTCTATCCCTGCCACCTCCCTGCTCTTTCTCAGCCCTCTATCAGCTCAGGTTTCTAGTACTCCGTAGGCAAACCGATCATCACTCATTCCGCTCATCCTTAGCCACTCAGTCATCGCCCCCTTCCATTGCTAATTAGATCATTTGCCTTGTAAGGCACAAACAGCAGCTGCTGTTGCATCCTGTTGCTATGACGACATCTTTAAACATATCTTTTCCTTTTCAAGTCGTTATACCAACCTGCTGTCTTTCTTCTCTTTGGTACTTTGGCTCTTTTAAAATGCTGGTATGCACATGCATAACCCTTTCATCATCATAATTTCTTGAAAAATGGAATGTTAATTAAAAATCACAATATCTAACATTTATATAGCGCTGGTAAACACATACAGTTTTATTAAACGCTTGTTATGTTATTACTCTATCAAAATGAGTTTGTTAGTTAAAGATATTCATATAAAAGATGAATTTGAATATTTCCAAGAATGCAACTTTGTCTGCATATGTTAGATACTAGCTCTACCCAAGATGTTTAAGGCAAGTTTGTGTACGTATACATAACTTGTACATGAAATCTGCCCTAGTGGTGCTACCCCCCACCAAGCAAACAAATTGTAAAATAATCTTCCTTTGTAACCAGTTCCATTTTCTATAGTTTGGACATTGTATACTATTCTCTCCTTCTCATTCATATACCAGAGCAGTGGCCGGGACTAAAATCATTGACATATTTCACAACACAATAACCCGTCGCCTTGACACTATTTATCATCACTCATATTTTCATCTCTCTTAAAGAGGCAGTGTCTACGTTCTATTCTCAAAGGAAAAAAGAGAGAAAGAGAGGGAGAGAGAGAGAGAGAGCGAGAGGAGAGAGAATAGAGAGAGGAAGAGAGAGAGAGAGAGAGAGAGAGAGAGAGAGAGAGAGAAAGATAGAGAGAGAGTGCAATGACATCCTCCTCTTCATCAGGCTTTGTGATTCCATTAAGTTGATCCTGCAGAAAATGTTGACTATAAGGCTGTGTTCATAATTTTTTCTCAGCCAGGTTTCATTGTTCTGATGCACGTTTAGTTTGAAAAACAGCTGCATTCTCACATTAAGCTTTAAACATATTGAAATCATTGATTTAGATCATAGAACTGAGTTTTGAGTATTTTTGTTCATACTTTGGTCAAAATCAGATTTTCTGAAATATGAAATTTCATGAATAAATGTAGCAATTACTTTATGGTGCAGCTACATATACATGTAGTCTAGACTCTGCAGGCACATAACCTACATGAAAATTTCTCATCATACACAGTGACACTGTAGCATCTGAATTACTTTGGCTTTAGACATCTACAAAGAACCAGAGAGGAATATTTTGTTGTGTACACCAAAAAAACCTATAAACTTTCTAAACCATGGCTTAAGCCAAAAAATTTATATCTTACATTAGACTTTGAAGTAGAGTCTGTGCTAGTAGATTGTTTCATAGAAAGAGATTTATTTACAAATATTATACTTATAGAATCTGATTCTCCACTCCTTCCTAAAAAAAAAGTATAAATGGGATAAAGTGAGTTTTAAACCACAGTTCCGATTGGCTTTCACTTTCCACATTCTGGCTTCATAATAGCCAATGAACGCACCCTTGCACATACAGTACATGTACAATGTAGCCGCTTTAGTGAAGCTTCCATTGATGTGCAGTTGCTACGCTCCGCAAATTTCATTGTGTTTGTTTGATTGGCGTATACAGGATGTCCCATCATAATGCTTCACCCAAGTAGCCTGAAATTAAAGGGTACTAATTAAAGAGTACCTTTCATTTAAAGGGTACCATTATCTACAAAAATGATTTGTGTCTTGCTAGAAAGTATAGAATTGACCTCAACAAAAATTTAATTCAAAACAACTTGACTTGGTTATCTATGGCTTAACAGTTGCAGATTATGAAGAAAAGTGCTAAGATTATCACAATGTCAGTTCCCACACACTGTGGGCCCTATATTCTATGCAAGCGACTACATACATGTATATGTTCATGTGTATCGACTAGTGCAATCACGAATCCTCTTTTTTTGCTTTTCATTGAGAGAAGCTCGGACATGTACAGTACTATGCATGTAAATATGTACACTGTAGTTGTACCAAACCCCCAAAATACAAGTATATGTGGAAATATATTGGGTGGTTGGTAGCCTTTAAACAGTATGGAAAGCAAATATGGCATGGTCCAAACGTAAACAACTGCAGATGTCGGCAAACAATTTTCGGCATAGCAAACATCTCATAATTACCTTTCCCTATTGAGTAGATCAATCTACCCATACTGAAGGCCAAGTTTGCTTGGCAACTATCATAAAAGTGATAATAATAAGAGTTGGGAATGCCTTACAATATCAATTTCTGCAATCAATTTACAGATACTGTAGGGTATTACATATTTTAGGGTCATAAATATGCATAGGAATGTCTGCCATGTATTAGAAGACCTTTTACATTGTACGTAACATGTACATGCACATGGGTTAATTTAACAATTTAATTTTAAAAAACACCCCGCAGGATGAAATGTTTCACTAAAAAATAAAAAATTGCCTGTCACTGTGGCATTCTTTTCCTGTTTACACAAAATGATCTACAGTAACAAAGAAATAATTACTGGAGAGGAAAATGTTCACTTATTATATATGCATGATCAGCTGGCTGGAAACTTTTGTCAAAATGCCATAAGGCCTGTCTTTACTATCTCGAGATTGCCAAATATCCAGCTATTTGAACTATCCCGATCGCAAACTATCCAGCTAATTTGCGTCTTCATCAGACCGAAGTAGCAATTAGAAGGATATTTGGTCAGGATTGTCATCCTAAGATATCTTGGGATAGTTTACATAATATCCCACTATTTGGCAAAATATCCAGCTATTTGTCCTGTGCATCTTCACTAGACCGAAGATTCGCAATACGCGCTAACGCTGAGTAAAATATCTTGAGCTAATTTCTCAAGGTCGAGTTTCAAGTTTCGAGGTCGAATCTCGAGATAGTGAAGACGCGATTAGTTACTTCAGGATTATTTCCCAAATCAGAAATAGCGGGCTATTTGGCAATCTCGAGATGATGAAGACGCGCATATAGATTGTTTTCTTGTTTTGCTACTATAGAATAACAAAATCAACCTTTTGTATCAAATCCTGTTATAAGTTAATAAAGAGTACTTTTAAATGTGATGTCAACTTTTTTGCATATTGAAATGAATCATTATTCAGATAAATTCTGTACATGACAGACCTGATTTCAAGTAAACAGAATGCAGAAGAATAGAAAATCTCCCAGAAGTGACATAACAGTAACGTTTTTGTTTTCATTGAAATTGAAAATTATTATTACTTATTATGATGATGCAGATAATGAATTTTTTCAAGCTGTTGCATATTATTTTGATACCACAATGCTATTGCTTGGCAAAAGTGATGATAACAAGTCATCAATTATGGCTTAGAAGAGCATGGTAATAGCCAAAAAGATCACGGAGACTAGCAATCTAATGGTCATTTCATTCTCTTGCAGTTTTTCCTAACCAGATGTATAAGAAGAGATACAAAGTACACTGTACAGCAATTAAATTACTCATACCCCTTGTAAATTTGATGTTTTTGTGTTTTTCGTATCAAGAATGAAACAGGAACTGGTTGAACTAGGGCTTTTGTTGAATACTTTTAGATGTAAGCTCTAATATGTCACATTCTCAATGAACATAAAGTCAGGACAATTCTGTTTTTCACATACTTTAAAAATTACAAATCTTGGTAAGGGTATGAATAATTCAGATATTAACTTGCTGTATCTGTAACCTGGAATAAAACCCATTTAAAATGCTCATCAAATGCAAATTGAACAGCCCCTGATGTATAAATAAAATTAATGTTTCCCAATCACTTTAAAAAATGTATGTATACATTTATTAAAGGAGTGTGAAGAAAATAAAGGAAAACATAAAACCAGCACATGAAACCCATATTGAACTTAATTCCATGTTAGGGGGGGGGGGGCTGCCTATTTCATGGGAGCTTGTAAGGATCTGTTTAATAACTACTCAACACATACATTAAGACACTTTTAACTGTCATTTATGAATGTAAACATGTTATTCTGATTATTCAACAGCACCTTTAACAATAGGGGTTCTTTTTCCTGATTTTTTATTAACGGCGTAATTATTGTCAGTAGCTACGGTACACACTCTAAGCATGTACTACAGTGTGGTATTAAAATGCAATATTTCAACTGCATAATGCTGTCTATACAAACAAATTTTTGAAGCATTTTTCTTAAATACCTTCACTGTCCTTGAATTTCTTGATAGCCATGACTTCTTTGGATTCCTGCAGAAAAATAAATTTGAGAGAAATCAAGGATTATAGTCAAATTTCCTCAAACACTTTACACATACAATGTAGACAATGAAAACTATAAGAGGTTTGTAACAAAAGGAATAAAAGATGAAAATTTACATAGTTTTACACGTATGCCTGTTTTATGCAAATTCTATGCAAAATTACCATGAAATAAATGATAAAAGAGGAAAGGGAGTCAGAGAATAAAGTTTATTACAAATTTACAAGCTTACTTACAGTAACTAAAATCATTCATTAACCTTCAGTTAATTTATCGTTTCAAACTATAAATGTAAGGTAGGCCTACATGTACATTACATAATGACATAAACAAATACTCTAGCTCCTTAAACAATAGCAATTAAAGTCAACAGTGATTAGTGTAAAACCAAAAGATGTAGCGTATTGGAGCTGATATGGCCTTTATCATGACATAACATGTTGATGTATTGCCGACCATTGAAAATACAAAATTACAATAACTTTGATACATAATTTACTTAAAATCAAGATTACATAAAAAAAGGAAGATAAAGAAAATAGAGTAAAGAAGGGGGGAAATAACATCATACATGTATGTTAGAATTTTTCAAAAGAAATTGCGTATAGTCGTTATTGGGTGATTATGGACCACTATCCAAACAACGAGAGGTATTCACACTGTTTCAAAAATATCTAGGTCAGAGCAATTTCATATCCTTAAATCCAACCCAAAAGTATGCTAGTGAATATGAACACACTGACTGTTTATCAACTCCATAGCAACAATAAACACACACTTTGCATAATTTCCAAACTACCCTTTTGAGTCTTCAACCCATTTGCGCAAAATTAAAATTACTGCAGGGTGAAATGAACGTATGTACATGTATGTAAAATGTACATCAATGCATAAATTATCCCATTATGAACAGCTTTTTGAACGCATATATTTTTCATTTTGTGCATGGACCCGTAAAGCTTTATAATTGGTGGAAAAGTAGATTTGTTTGATGTGAATTATTGAGCAATGGAAGAACGGTATAATTAATCTGATCTGAGAAATATGGATGGCACAAACTTCACAAAGGACTGTATAATCACTTAATTACCGAGATAACCATTCTACAAATATAGCAACAGGCTATCTGCCTGTAGCTAGGCAACTTCTTTTATCTTCCAATTACATGCGAAGATGCAAAATATCGCAATCATGTGAGATCAAAAGCACACATGATTCTTCAGGTACAAACACACTGAAATAAAGATAACAGAAGTATAAAAACAAGAGATACATGTATTTTAAAGTGTTTTCTACAGAGTACATACTGTATATGTTTAATACTGTTTAATCAGCGTCTTGCAAGTGGAGTGTCTGGTACATGAACATATATTGTTTCACACAGTGTCAGTTGTTTGTTATCAGTTAGTTACATAATATCAATTACTTGAGGGACTTACATGTAAGATAGCAAAATGAAATTGAAGGTAATAAACTTGTACTGTACACAGCTCCTTCACATCAACGTACTGTTCTGTATGCAAATTTACCACATTGTAGCACTTTTCATTTTCAATATTCAGAATTTACAAATAATTTCGAGCAAATTAATTCTAACTTCATGTACTGCACATGAATTCACCATTTTACAAAGAACAAAATATTATCATTAAACGCTCAATAACTAGTGAAATATATTTCATCATTGCTGCTTTGAAAGGTCAAAGGAAATCAGAATGAAAAACAAACACCAAAATGGATTTGCAAACAAAAAAGTTGAATAATGTGTACAAACTGTATGCTCCCTACCCCCCCCCCCCCCCCCCACCAAAAAAAAATCAGGATGCCCATACTGAAAAATGGCCATATAGAAATAAAGAGTCTAATATTTGTACTTAGACAATCCTACGACGTTCAGCGAAAGGGCCAGGCTGAGTGATTCTAAATCAAACTCTAATTACTCAACCCAATATTTACAAAACTCTCCCAGCTTTGTATCAGACTGTTCATTTGGCTAGTACTAGTCTATTTTTAAAGGGAAATCTAACCTTGATAGCAAACTACTCTAGGGGAAAGTAATGGGCTCTTCAAATTGACTGAATCTGTCGTTTCTCTGTGATGGTGTGGTGGACAACTTTCCCATTTGTTCCATATACGTGTTTCCAAACAGAATTTTGATGTACATCAATGGAGTTTAATAAATACAATACATGACACAAAATGACTAAAAAATTTCACAAATGTATGGGGTCTTTTCTTTTTAGAGGACCTGTAATAATAAACTCTTCATAATACCTTTTCAGCAGTGCCCCAAGGGAGAAGGAACTTGGGAGTATTTAAAAGCAGAATTGAATGATATTTTTGCAAATGGCAAACGGGGGAGATATCTGTGACTTTGTCACAATTTATTGACCAAACAGCCAATTTGAGATTTGCATCCATAGACTTTAATAGTGATCTGATTTTTCAAACATTCTCATATATTTCTTATTATCGGTCTGATATAATTCAAATTTTCGCCATTCTGTTTATCGTAATTTTTCTTCTTTAATACACATGAACTTATTACAAGGATTGGATTGCTCTTTAAGCAAATTCCCTCTCACATCGGTATGCCCAAAGTTTGCCAATATACATTGTACTAGCCTTACTTTCAGGTGAGGTGAAATTTCTCCAACCACTCACCCTTCCCAATGAAAATGCAAACTTTTTAAGAGAGTCTGGATTCAAAGAATAATCACAAGTATCCAATAGCCTCTCAGAGATGCTAAATATTAGTCTACTTTCTTCAAACTCTGAATGTAAAATTTTCATTAAGCAAGGGAAACATCTGTGAGCCTAGCAGCTAGACTAGCAAATACTAGCACAGGTGAAAATAAATCTGATAAGCAAACATAACGGCATGATGTTGTCGGTGAAAGCAGGGAGGTGAGACTTTAAATGGAGAATCCGTCTCGAAAGAATTTCCCGAGGGAAAGATATTCAAGATTAACTTGGCTTAACAACAAGTAATGTAACCCTCTTCAGCCATCAAATCCATCAACAGCCGCCCTTATCAGACCACAGATGCCCTCTGGCGATCCAAATGTTACGAAGTGTTACGCAACGCGGCCTGCTTCCCTAAGCTCTCCAAACACATGGTCGTAAAAAAAAGGCTTTGAAGCCATGCGAGTCACCGAGAAAATGACGTCATACTCATTGAAGATGTATATAGCTATAACAGACAAAAATACAAAATCGACAACTTATGGCACAAGGCAACCTGCTATTGGTTATCAAATGCTTTCGCTGTGCTCGGATAACTCTTCTGAAGACGTAGCCATCTGAACCAGCGAAATCGACCAAGGAAATCGTGAGTTAGAGTGAATGCAAGTTTCTCATCATCATCACGTTCTCTTCTAATTATTGACATTTTCCGAAAGTTTCCGAAATTTTTACATAGCTAGGAAGGTAGTCCATAAGTTTATCTCTTAAAATAACTAAATGAAACTGTGTTGTATAATTGCGCATTTGGTTTAATGAGGGTTAGAAGTTGTCAATTCATCACCACTTTTCACCCCGAGTACGGGCCGGCGACGCGAAAGCCGCCGTGCTCGCTGGGCTGTACATGCTGGATGTTGTTGGTGGAAACACACATAGCTGCATTTCTACCCTGGCCGTGTATTGAAAGTTGTGCTATTGATTCTCAACATTTCAAACACCACTGTACAAAACTCAACTGATTTCATTCAAAGGCAGTACTATAGTGACGATTGATGACACCTAAAGAGCATTAAAATACAATTTGTTCAACTTTCTGATGTTAGAAAGAATAATTTAAAAATTAAAATTGTGAGTCTACTGTCAAACTTGCCGATCAACCGCATCGGGATGATTATGTGCATTTGTACTGTATGTTGTGAGTGTATTGACTATTCATGTATTCAAATGCTGCCTATTTACATGGAGCGGCCTACGCATTCACGATGAAACCATTTAACCGTACATTCTGGTTCGCTGCAACGAATAAGATTTTCCGTTGATGGAATTTCACACGTGCATAACTTGTATTGGTCTCCAACTTCCCATACACCAGGCTCAAGAAAATCTTCCTCAAAATCAGTCAGAAAGTCTAAATCGTCGCCTACCAAATACTCTTCCCTACTGTACGCCGCCATTTTTGTCGATAGCAGCCGATGTGTATTTCCAACAATGCATTTCGCGAGCCCTATGTCACTCAGTTTCGGGAGTGAGATTTACGAGCTGTGCGGTCCGGGTGGGGGATTAACGGGATTATGATAGGGGGAAAAAAGACTCTCGGTGCAACGGACTGCTTCAAAGGGCCCTCTTAGATGCGGAATCCATTTATTACAAGCCCTGGTGAAAGTAGCAAAGCCTGGCTACCTATTGTGCTAAAGAGTGTGAATACCGTTAACTGTATTGCAATATTTACAGGAGCTTGCTTATACTTTACCATGATACATGGAAAAATAAGTGCCCCCAAATGACATTTAATTGGGACAAAGACTGAAAATAACAATTCATATCTCTATGCGATAATGGCTTAACAGAGGATTTCGTCATCCTACAATGTACGTACCAGCAGTACCAGGGCGGTGTTTCACAAAGATCCTAAGTTGAGCTTATCTCTAAGTTGGACTTAAAAATTATGGACAGCCATTGGAGTCTTAAAACGAAATATATTCAAAAGCAGAAATTCAAGTATTTTAGACTTTTTATAAATTCCACATCCAGAACATGAACTCTCCTTGATGATAGAAAATATGAATGATTTGAATCAACATTTTATGCCTTTCAAAATAACTTTTACAAAATATTTTCAAAGATGCTAATGGCTTTCCATAATTTTTAAGTCCAACTTAGAGTTAAGTTCTACTTAGGATCTTTGTGAAACACCACCCAGGTCCCCATTTCTCTCCTGGGTATAGAGTGACAAATGCCAGATCAATGCCTAGCCAAATCCATGTCAGGGATCGAACCTGAGACATTTGCATTTCAAGTCAGATGCTCAAACCAAGGATTGTGTTTAAGTGTTAATTAAGCCTCTAAAAGTGTTTTAAAAAATAAAAATAAAAAACAATCTTACCTTGTGTCTGCATTTCATGACCACTCCATAAGCTCCTGAAAAAAGGGGTAGAATAAAAGAGTAAATTGAATGGATGAATACACTTTTTGGTCAAGAAAATCAACCAATAATTTAATATCTCTTACAGTTTCTTTGTTACCCTCCAATTGTAGTGTACAGTCGGTCATAAATTACACATCTCCATGTACATGTACATGTAAATGTACCGTACACAATGTATGCATGGCAATTGCCCGACTAATTATATTTCAAGAAATTGCTCCAATCATCAACATCTCTTTAAATACAAATACTCAAAGACTACTTCAATCATTTCTGTTCAAGAAAAGATTTCTTCAATACCAGAGTAATAACAAAAGATTTCAGTGTCTCTAGAAACACACAAGTAGACAATGATATATTCAGAATGCGAAACAGTAAATGGAAGTAGAACTGGCAGATGTATAATACTAGCCAAGTACATGTAGGCATAGGATCTATAAAGAGCAAGAATTGGCTGGAAATTTTGAAAGGACGTTTTCGAAATCGTTAATTTCAAAACATCTCATACTCTGTAGGATCAAACCGAGCGAATTAGGTACATAGAGTCGGTTTGTACATGTGTACATGTACATATTTTTGTAGGTATACTTGAGGATTCACTTGATACAGCAGGTTTAGCTCTCAATATGTGTGTATGTATATACAGTATACATATTTCTCACTTTTAAGAACAAATTCTAGTAGGTTAAAGTTCCATCACTTTTTGTAGGATACAATTTTATTGTTGTTGCCAAAACTTTAAAACCTCCTTACTCTGAATTGAGAAGTTTTGCAAAAATGATAACGAATGCAAAATCTTGTATCTTTCAAAAGGTACAGACTTTATAAAAACACCTGCAGTGCTGAATTTATGTTTTGTATAATTTCTTTTGCAAGGGAGTTCCAAGAGAAACTGCTCATAACAAGTTGTTTTATGACAAATAATGTTTCAATCAATCTTCCTGTAGGCATGTATGAATGTTTTGATCCCAAAATAAGGATGTCAGTCTCCGTGATAAGCCCCTACAGTAGGCCCTACACTGTAGCTCAAAATCTTCCACACTACAGTATCAACAATTCAACATGTTGATAAAGGCTTCCAAATACTTTCTTACTCCAATTTAAATCAATCCCCTTCCATCATACAGGGGTACTGTATCGCTCCCCCGTGTCATAACACAATGATCACTTAATCCCCTCACCCCATTTGAGATGTGCACCCATCCAGGGCCTCTCCGCATTAATCAATAGGCGCAGGCATTGCACCCATGGTTTCTAAACGATCCACTCTTTTAATCTAATTCATTTAGTGTAAAGGGGATTGCTAAGAGTTGACTGGGGTATGGATTAGATGTGAGGTATCAATACATGTAGATAGTGGCGTGGCCTTGAGATGGGAGGAGACTGGTTTACCTCAGTACAATTAATATGAATGAGTAGAAGCCCTCAGTAATCAGTATCAGTGTTAACAGAACTGAAGAACACATATATCATCTGCTTCCTATTGTTTAAACTATATTCAGGTCACATATTTGTGAAATACAATCTAACCCAAAATTGCAATAGTATAAAATCAGAATTCATATTAAGACTCAGGAGTATGTAGTTTATATGAATGCTTGTAAAGTTCTGAACTAAATATTGTGTAAAAAAGTTAGATTCATAGAGGTGTTAAAACCCCCATTACTTCATGATTTTCAAAGGTGAATGTTAATAACTTGTAACATATTTCTAACCAACATTTTTAAATGTCTGTAAAATCATTAGGGTCAAATGATAGATATTTTATATCAAAACGAATGATAAAACCTAGAATATAACTGAAGAAATATTATTTTATCTAAATTTGCCTTTTAACTCTGAACTCTAATGTGTAATCAAAGATGACCATTAATTTTACATGACCTTTAAGGCTTTTTTTAAACGTACCTGTAACTAAAATTTGAGTTGCCAAAGTCTGACTGGGCACAGTACGCTACAAGCGGATCCAAGCTAACTCGGACCTGGGGACAACTCGGCCCGGTGCAAAAGCAGGCATTTTTTGGTCATTTTACCTGAACTCTAACCCTATACCTGCAAAAAAATGACTGTTTTTGCAGCGAGCGGAGTTGTCCCCGCCTCTCTGGGCCTGAGTTTATAGCCTGACTCCCTCCAAGCAGAGCCTACTACAAAGTGCTAGGCCTACATGTAGTATGTTCAGTTTGAACGTGTGACCATAATTCGCACATGACCTAAGTTCGCAATCTCAAAAGGAAGTAAGATTTTGAAAATCTGATATCACCAATGGAAAGAGGAACAGAGACAAAAGTTTCTTTGGAATTGTTGCGAAATCGTGAAAATATTGACAAAAGATCAGCAAATTTTGCAGTCCTAAATTGCATCCGCTCCAAAATATTATCAACTTACCGATATGGCCAGGGTCTGAAAATCTTAATTTTTAGAGCAAATTTCCTCAAAATTGTACCGGGGTAAGTAAAAAGTAGGCCTAGTAGACTTCTACCAACTAATTGTATGATAATATATCTTGCCTTGCAAATGATGATATTACCTTATTTTTTAAGGATCACTTTTTTGGTATAAATCCCTGTACAAACCCCTGTAAGGTCTTGATGTTTTGATGACTTTTTTAGTTGCAGCATCACGCCAATCCAAAATCTCTGTAATCCTTTGATGATAAATGTTCTATTTGAACCAATTTGTAGTAAAATAACTTTGCCGTCCATTTGGTAATAATTTAAATAAATAAATTTGTGTAGAATATGAGAAATCATAGATTGAATATCTCATTTTATAATATGTCAAAATCTTCACAAACTTTGGTCACCCCTTCATACAATTGAATTTCTTATTTTCACAAGTTAAGGTCTACACAATTGCACAAGAACTACCATTTTAATGATTGGTTTTAATAGCAATTGAACATTTGCTATTTAAACAGTCACTAATACTAGCTGAAGGAAAGAAAAAAGAAGGAAAAAAAAAAGAAACTGTAAACTTTACTCACCTTCCCCAACAATGCCCAACACCTCATACTTGTTCATCTTTCTGGTGGACACTTTCTGTCTCTGATACTGATAGATCTATTTGAACGTCTTGTTTCACAAATGCCTCTGCATTGTAATATTGATAATTCCACTGTAAAAGTAAATCAATCCATCTGTGACGGGGTGGTCAGCGAACTGTTGCCATTTTCTGGCACTGTCCATTTTGAAGAAACAATTTTATTTGACAGTTTCTATTTGAATTGAAAGAATATCCCTCAAAACAAGTTGAAAATGTCAATGTGATTCCTCTGTCTTTATACACTTAGATCTGTAGACACTTCTTGCATCGCATTAGCTTCATGTATGAATTTTCATTCATAAATTAAAGTGGCCCAACACAAAATCTAAAAGTCTCACGTCCGGCGACCTCAGTCGATGAAGTACACGGCCTGTGTCTGTCGGAGTCTTGGCGGAGCTACCAGTTCACGGCGATTTCCGCGCCGCTGAGTCTGGCTCACAGATCAGGCAACGATTGAAGCGGACTTGCAGTCCAAACGGCGGTTGTTTTCATCGAGTAACAGGTAATCTGTGTGATATCCAATATGTTTCAGTTCACTTCCAACTTTCGTTCCTTCTCAATGGAAAAAACCACAAGAGTGTTGTTCAATCCAAATTATGAAATGGTGAAATACCAGAATATATTTAATGTAATTCTTTGAACTTTACTACGCCGAAGCGTTCCTAGTTGCAAAACTCCGCCTTGCCAACAAACACTGTACAATAGTCCGACTCCAGTTGGCGTGCTTAATAATCCTAATTTTGTGCATTGAGAGTTTCAAAGATAATAGAGAATTGTTATACATTTATAAATTGAAATATTATTTTAAAGAAATTAATGATTTTGGGAAATATGTGTCTTTATTCGAGATTAAGATTTGCCTTCATCCTATCCTCTGCTCAATTGTCACGCCATGAATATGTCTTTTTCTGTTCCCTTGTTGTACCCCTTTTCACTTCTCCTTATACTTGTAGTTATAGATTATACAGTACTTGAGTTTTGGTAAATATAGAAAAGGAAATCCGGGTACCTAAGTAGGCACGACACCAGGTCACTATGTGCAAATGGGAGTTAAGGATTTTATTGAAGATGATGCCCAGTGTGGTTAGTTTAATTTTGTGGTTTGTTTTTATTACACTATTTCAAACAACCTATCTACTGCAGGATAAACAATCCAGAAGAAATCATAGCAATTTTCTCTCAAAATACGATTCCCATACCAAAGCTCAAAATTAGCTTTAAACTCACCTCATTCCATTATTGTATTCATGTCCAATATAAATATTTAAGATTTTAAGCAACCCACAAATTCATCCGTTTCACTATTCACCTTCTATTCTTTTACACTTATTGCTTGCATAAACTACGCATTCACTCTTTTACAATTTTCTATAATTTTACCCGTACTTTTATTCTCATATCTCTCTTCTCGCTCCTAGGTCTTTCGTCAACTATTTCAGCCTGTTTTTCCCAATGTTCTCCCAATAATCTTCATTAAAATATTTACCGGTATTTAAAAAAACATATATATATCTCTTTTTTCTTCTCTCATTCCCACAGTGATTACCTTAGTCGTTTTGCTTTCCTAATCTATAACTCTCCTACCTTCTTCACATTTCATTTGTCATTCCATGCATGGTTATCCTCCTGAAGTTATTCCTCATTTCTCTCCCTCTCTCTTCCCTTGTCTGTCTGTCTGTCTCTCTGTCTCCCCCCCCCCTCTCTCTCTCTCTCTCTCTCTCTCACACACACACACACACACACACACACACACACTCTCTCTCTCTCTCTCTATATATATATATATATATATATACAAAAATACAAGAAATAATTACGCTCCATACATGAAGAAATTGAAGCATAACAATAACAATTGTCCAAGTCAAATAAAATCATTACTTGACAAAGCCCTGAGGGAAAAAAAATTTGTAAAACAATTTATTTGGTTCATGGAGCATCATTCAAACTCCGAGCAGAAATCAAGACTGTACATATATATATATATATATATATACATGTGTTTATCAGCATCTACATTCATTGATCTATCTATCTGCTATGCTGTCTTAATTTCACTTTTCACCCTATTGTAAATATTATTCCTCCCCTTCTCTTCTCTTGTTAAGCAGCAACTCTTCATTCGACCTTCGACCATCTCTTGATGAATTCACATCACTATAACACAAACATGACAAATTAATGATGACAAATCAGGACAGTTAGGGTTTATATGCTATACATATATATATATTATGACATATTCATTTAATTTCTGTAAACTCACAGATTTCATCAACTAAGGAATCCCATAGAACATATATATTTATAATCTTTTTTAAATTTCTATTTACAAGCATACATACACAACGATTCATACTGCTCTGCAAGATATGCTAGAAACGTCTACAACAAACCAAATGACACTGCTTCAAAGAATATCTATTCTCTCATGAGTCATGAGTGTTCAATTATATCAACAAGTTACTGCACAATCTTACATATTTTAAAATACACTTCTTTGATTAGAATCATGACAAACCGAAAAATGCCATTTTCTTCAATTTACATGGAATAAATAATCAAACTTCCTACTTTATCAACAAAGGATGCATTCTTTAATATTTTTTTTTATACATTATGGTTTTATTTTATTTGGTCTTTTTTTAGATTATCACATGAAAATATATTAAATTGACAATGAAGATAGCATAGCGCACAAGAATTGTAACATCATTCATATTCCAAAGAATGAACAGAAGGTTATCTTCATGCGAGCACTTCCTTTACTGATCAGTGAATATCTTCCAACTAAACTAACTCAAATTCATGAAGGAGTTTATGATAAAACATGGTTTAAAACATCCACAATGGACTCAAATAAACCTGAAAAAGTGTGTATTGGACATGAGAACACAAATGCATCACACTTCTAAATGGCTAACAATGAACCTTCATGCATGCTGAATGATTAGGGTACAGAGAACTTGCCCTTTCAATATGCACAGGTCTTGGGTTGAATGGAAATCAATCAATCAACAAATGATTTCAGAAAGACAGGAAACAGACAAATCAGTGAAATAACTTAATATAAATGTTTTTGTTAGAAGAAAAAGAAATAAGACAAGTAATTAGGCTATGAATTTTGGTAAGTTAAGATTACTATCGATATGGGAATCTCCAATTGGCAATTCTATAATGATATGCAATGTCATACATGTACCAATCTCAATTTCCTCAGTCAAATTCATTCAAAGAATTGACAACATTAAGTAGGCCATCTTCCTTGTGTCTTAAAACATTATTGATTATTCCAAAGCTTGCCACGGTTATGTGCAGCAAAGCATTATCTGTTGTGCATTTGATGGGTGAGAAAATGTTAACATTTTTACAATGATAAGTATTGCAAAGAAAAAACATTGAAGCTCAAACTGCGCAGAGAAAGAACAGTAATACCTGAAGAAAAAGAGATAAGAATGACTGAGTGTCATCAAATGCTACATTAATGAATACACTGAAATGAAAATAAGGTTGTTTGCACAATACAAATGTATCCTTAATTGACCAAAACAAATTCTAGCTACATTGCACTAAAATAGGCGTTCCAAAAGGAAGGCTACCAACACTTATACACATTGGGTGCTTGGTGTTAACACCCTTTTAAAGTACGGTGTTAACCTAAAACCATTATCATCTGGCACAGAATAAGTGGTTCCCCAAAGTGGGTGCTGTGTTTGAAAATAATCTTACATCTCCAGTTCTGGTAATGAACATGCAATTCAAGAAGACCGTCGCATGCGTGTTAGATGAATGAGACTATGCTCCACTCCTTTGTGAAATTTCATCTCACCCGTAACACACGGTCTTATGGCAATATACTTGAATCCGGTCAATTTATGGAAAAACTATCCAACTCCCAAATGAATTGCAACAAAAGGTTTTTCAACGGTTTCCAGTAGTGTTTGAAATTCAGGGACAACATAAGAAAATCAAAGAAAACCAAACCCCTGGAAGGTTTTTGTTTTCTTTCTCAAAATGGCATCCAAGGTGGAAACCGTAGAATAACTTTTTGTTGCAATTTCTGTTTTTTTACTGGTTTACTTGTACCCATAGGATAGGAATGGTTCTAATCTTATGACTTTACTCATTTCAAAGTACATACTTGGAGAGAGAGAGCAAAGATTTAGAGTGGATCCACCTATTACAGAAAGCATGATATCATGTCTCCTACTGCACACTCTTGATTATGATCAGGATTCCATCCATACCATGATCACAGTCCATATAATTCATGAGCGCATTTGGTGCATGTTAAATAAAAAATGCACATTGAAGGTAACATAGAGACTTTATACCGACTGAAGTGGATACACAGATGTATTAAATTTGTCATCTTTAGAGTGTACCATTTGAATAAAAAGTATCATTTGTTGAATTTGTTGCTCTTCCACTTTTAATCTTAATGACGTACAGTAGTGGGCTCTCATGGGGAATTCGACACCATTTGGGAGTTTACCGAATAAAAGGTGTTGGCAATCGCCAGGAATAGCCTTCAGTTTTATGACCAACAGGCCTTATTTAATGCTCTGCATTTTCCACCCATTAAAGTCAATATCTTTCATTTTCAACACCCAAAGACTCATTGAGAGACTGTTTTGTTTTAATGGGGCCAAGTGTTTGCTGTGTGCAAGACTTGTACACCCATCATGATATTCCCACCAAGTCTTGTGTCAGTGAATAATGACCTTCTGCACATAGACACTGATGACCATCTCGCTCTAACCTAATAATATGTTTCTATAATTTAGCATGCAGGCTGGAAATGAGACTTAATTCCAATCCTTTGCTAGGGAATGTTTACTTGCTATTCACATACAGGACGGCTCTATTCAAATAATGTGCTCTGCTGGCGGGTGCAAACAGACAGACGAGTAGCAGTTGACATTTCTAGAAATACACATTTTAACAGAATTATCTTTCTATGACTCTACATTGCATCTGCACATCGAATTCCACTCCATACAAGTTGCCCGAAAAGTGCTAACAGTGAATGGTGATAACTTCTCTCTGTATATTTGTTTTTCTTTTTTGGTGTTTGCGCTCTTCTACAGGACATAATGATGCTTTGATACAAACACACACTCATTAATATTACTTACGCTCTCATAAACTTTATCAATATCACACATGGCTTCATAAACATTATAACAAGGTCATTATATTTAATCAAAACTTGACCAAAGTTTGAAAAATTATTTGTTTGCAAAAATAATGCAACATTGCTTTAAATTCAACATATTTTTTTATCTATTACAGGTTCACTCATTTGTAAACTGGGAATGTTAGCTCATATCGATAGTCAAATATCTATTATACATTCACATTACATCATATTCATACAAGACTTGGCAAGTTTTTTTTCATTAGATTCATACAAAAATATCACAATAATTATCCCACTAGAGATTTAATATTGAATGCCATGTGATCTCCCATCTTCAGCCACATAATTAGTGAGCAGTTTTTAATCTGCTATGTAAGAATTCTCGAATGAAATTAAAGATAATCTTGAGTTTTTGAGACGTCTTGAGAAGGAAGTTGAACTGTTATTAATCTGAATGAAAGGGGGTAAAAATAATATTGATAACATTTTCAACAAATCTTATTTATTTTTAGTGAGAAAAAATCATGCAGATTTTTAATGGGAATCATCATCATCATTATCATCTTTCATACAACAGCGCTTCCCATTTCCTTTATGACTGATTTAACACCATTCATCTCCAAAAGTTAAACAACAACTGCGTATTAGACATTCTCCTTCCTACCTTGCTTCTAACTACAGTGTGAAAGAACAAACTGTCCTTTTTTCAGTAATTGTGCGTGAAACATTTATCCAATGATATACGCAATAAGATGAAGTACATGTACACAGTTTATCCATCAACTAACCAACCAATCAATCAACCAAGTAGAATCGACCTATTGACCTATTGACCCTAGCGCAAATATGATGTTAGACAGTAGATGGCGACCTTCCTCCCACACTGCGCGGGTCATCACATGCACAGATACAATACTTGGGAAGATGATATTAAAGACTAGGTTTCTTCCAGCTTCCAAAGAGAATTCACAGCAGTGTTAACTAATTCCTTATTTTACTGAACTATGGTTCAGGTTTCATGCACTCTAAGTAGGCACCATCATAATCTGTTACTTATAGTTTATTGGTTCTGAAACTATAATTTGTATTAGACTTTCTAGTTCTTGACCCATTGCATCTGTATGGGAAACTAAAGTGGCGTTGCTTAACATACCCATGGCAGGTACTGCCCTTTATTGCCAAATACCCTAGTTACGGTAGCGAGAATTGTGTGCTGCACACAGACACACTGATGAGGTTACAACTCTTTAAAGCCAGGCATAACATACACAGCAGCCCAGGCACCGTAAACCATCTAACATATATCACAGGGCAATTTCCAAGTTGCACCAACAAAATAAAGACAAAATGAATGTTATCCTCCACTGTGCAATGCACAAGCCCTCAAACACTGAATTTGGCAAGCTAAGCAACTGTGTAGGTAGCCCAGCTGGCAACCCCCTGGCAAGCCAAGCATGAAGGGAAGCAAAAGACCTCTAGAATTTCAATGCAAACCTTGACCAGGGAGGTGTTTCACAAAACTTGTCATCAGTGACAAATGACAGCTTTTGTTATAAGCTACTAAAACCCTTGCTTTTGACTGGTTATCAACAGATTTGTCACTGATTTTGTCATTTGTCATTGAAAAAAGGCTTTGTGAAACACCCCTCAGGTTGCCTGCGTTATTTTGGCACACGTTTCAAAGTGTTGGTGGATCTTTTATCAATGAAAAGTTGTTTTGTTCACTACCTACAAAAAGAAAGAGCACCAGATATAAATTCATCCCTCAAAACTTCAGAGAATAGAAATGCTTCTGATAGCAACCTCTGAACAAAACTTTGGCATTGTCTGTACATTTTCTAAAAATAAAAACAATTCTAAATGTATTGGATCCTGATGTTCATTGAAAGAAAGTCGAAATTCTATGTCATTATTAATGAGTAAGAAGATACAAGATTTTCTGAGCCTTCTAACCATGTATTCATATTCAAGCAGAAGTAAACGAAAATGAATGGAAAAGACTGTAAAGTTAATGTGAAAGCCTCACTAAAGAAAAAAAAAGAAGAAGAAAAATATATTTGATTTACTCTCTGCTGTATTCTATAGATAATATTAGATAACCAGCTGAGGATTTCCTTATGTCATGATGATACTCATACCCCAGGCACATCTCAAAACCTGAATCCAAACAGACCAATGATCGATGAATCTCGCACATCGGGGTGATGTGATGCGTTGTTTAGTTATTGTCAGTCCGGTGTCGGTCTCTCCGATGTGACTGGAGCTCGGCCTCTCATTATTCCTGAATCTGGATGGCTCCTAACGCGTTTGTGATGGGCGACGACGGCGATAATGGACCCCCGGCTAAGATGCGCGTGGGTGAGAGTCCCACGGACGGAGAGCGTGAGGGTGTGCTGGGCTCCGAGCAACCCGCTTTGAGTTCCCGGTAGCAGGGCCGACAGACGGGGACAGGACGCTGGGATTCGTGACCAGGTAGCTGGGTCTGTTTGTCTATACAACGGATGCAGAAGACTTCACCGCACTTCCAACAGTGGTACTGTGAAGGGAAAAAAAAATGCAAATATCAGGAATATGAAGGAATGCAAGACTCCAACAATGACAAACGATATTGATTGCATCAAACATGCTCCAGCAACAATTGCTCCAAGGTAAATTCTAACACCCATCATATTTCTAACTCCCACCCTGGATCCCCCAGTTTACCTAACCCTAACACTTACCTTAAAACATATCCTAAAACCCAATCAACTAATAGGAGAGAACTTTATATGCTTGATGCCTGGTCTTAGGACATACACACCAGACAAGGACAAGAACCCCAAACCTCCTAATTGAGAATTAAGTGAACAGACCACAACACCAAGCTATTCTCTTTAATAAGAGGTGAATAAATCTTACACACAGGTACTTCGGTGTAGAATTTGACCATGCTGTGTAGAATATTACCATGCAGTATATTTTCTTTTTTCTTACTAGTATTTACTTTTTGTTTTTCATTTTTCCCTAATAATAATAATAATAATAATAATAGTTCGTCCTTATATAGTGCATTTTAGGACCGCAGGCCCTCTCAATGCGCTTTACAGATATATATTATTACCCCGGTCATCGGATTCATGCTTACCTGCACACAAGGTATGCACATTCTCCACTCCCTGGGGAGCATTCCAGCCAGTCGCCATTTTACAAGCGCCATTGCTAATCAAACCACATTTAGCTTTCGCATCCTACCGGGTACCCAATTAACACCTGGGTGGAGAGTGGCAAATGTAGATCAATGTCTTGCCAAAGGACATTAGTGCCGCAGTGGGACTTGAACCGCGGACCTTGTGATCCACAGTTCGCTGACATATCCACTCGACCACGACACCTCTGCAGCGCATAGAGATGTTAACAAATGTATTATGCGCTTTATAAGAACTGTACTTTTATTATTATTCTTTAAAATGCTGACCTTTCTGCTGAAGTAGTCAAACGGAGAGGAGCAGGAGCACTGTCTTATATGCCTGAAGCTCTGCCACTCCGTAGCTACACTCTCCACCGCATTGTTCATGAGGGATGCAGAGAGTACCTCGCTGCTATCATCCCTTCTCAGAGATGGACTGGTCTTCAGGGAGGACACATCATTGTCCGGTGTGTCATCACTGCTGATTGCACTTGAGTCACATTTCTAGTCAAAGGGGTACAAGAGGACACAAGTGCATAACTACAAACTTCTCTTGATTGTGTAATTCTTCCAGCTTTTAGTGATTCTACCAGCTTATTTATTTTGTATTATTTGTTTATTGCAACCAAACTTAGGTAGGATTTCAAATACAAAATACAAATACAAACAGATTGACATAAAGTCAAATAAACTGTGAAGTCTGATACATAAATATATAAATAACAATGTGCTACAATCAAATTATTACATTTTTATCAAATAAATTGATATAAGCTCATTTACAATGATTACAATGTTTCATATTGATTGTATGTAAAATGTGTAGTAATTATCGCGATCCAAGACTGAATAAAGAAAAATAATTAGACCCGATGCATAACATGCATGTTCAACATGTCGATGAGAGTTGTAGTATGCAGCGAATGTGATTTCTAGCTCATTTTCATAACTCTCTTTCTTTTTTGTTGGTTTATACATGTACAACCTTTCTATTATCTGCAAAACAAGTTAGAATCCATTTTAGCCATTTACTCTCCAAATGTAATGTCAGAACTAGAGACAAGCTCCTAGTACAATTATCATCCATAATTATTTGCAATTAAGAAAATCATCATTGAAAACTATTTGAACTTATCAAAAATATATTCCAACCTAGAGTTTTGTGATGGCTAATAATAATAATAATTCCACTTTATATAGGGCTTAATACATCTATGATGTCTCTAAGTGCTTTACAGATATACTATTATCTATGTACTATGGCTAGGCTCAACCAACCATGATTTAAAAGACTTACTTCATTAGAGATGTCATCTTTGGTTGATATTGTGGTGTCTTTGTCGAGTGAATTGGAATTCTGGGTGCTACCGTTCTCAAAGATGTGATTGGTATCGGGTTTCTCTTCTCTGCTCACACTCTCAGAGGCCAGCATCCTCTTCAGTGATGAGATTTGCTGTAGCAATGATGATAAAAACCCTTCATTTAAAGCCCCGCTGCACTAGTTTGGCCAGGAGGGATTAGACCTCCCTGCATGGTCACTTACAGGTGGTTATCTCATCAAATCAGCTCTCAATTAAGATAAGAAAAAGGGGATAATGGGGGACCAATGGACACCGATTAGGCATTGTTTGCTATATAGAGGGCACAAGTTGCTATAAGTAGTGCAGTGGGGCTTTAACAAACTTCAATCACTTAATGATTTATCAATTGCAACCAAAAAAAGTTGAATTTCAGTATGAACAATAGAAAATACAAATATATAGATAAGGAAATGGTTGAAATAATTGACAGTATTTGCACAATAATACTTATCAAATTTTAGTGATGCAAACAGATGCAATCGCAACATTTAAATCACAAGTTAACCATCAAGACTATCAAGAATATAAAAGACATCCAATTCCACAGCATGGGAAATACTGACTTTAAACGATGATCATGGTGATGAAAATGATGATGATGATGATAAATTCATACATGAAATTTGAAAATAACAATGTCCGCAACCTATGATATTTAACCCATATTCCGTGGAAAGTGGAGCTGAACCTACAGGTGTAGGATGATTATTACCTAGTCAATAATTATTGTTTTAATAATCAATATGTAACCAATACATATTGTTTAGATAATTATCTAATCATTACATAACACCGTCCACTTACATTCTCCAAGAACTGCACATGGTCTGCTAGTGAAGTACTGTGATCTTTCATGGCACTCAACACATCTGTGACCGATTCCCTGGGATGGACTCCATTCTCATACCGATTGTACATCCCTCGCCAGAATCTACAACATTCACAATTAAACAAAGGAAATTCATATTTTAATAGCCAATTTCATGGTTAAGTGTAGCAGACTCAGGCAGCTTTTTCTGGGAATGATTTTAATAGAATGGAGTTTTTATAGATACTGTACATGTAGAAACAAATTCCAGGGGCAGGTTATATAGATTAATGTTTTATTGTGTGAAGGGAAAATAATCAAAGGCGAAAACCATTAATCTTCAAAAAAATTGGCAGGTTTCTTTCTTCAAATTCATTTACAAATTCTAGATCTCTAACATATCTGCAAAAAGAGTCATCAAAATATTTACATGTACTCTGTTCTTAACCCCAGACTGACTACTGTTTTTTTTTAAATTCATTCCTATAGGCTTTTATACAGGGAGCCAGCCACTTGGCTCTTGCAGGCAATGGGTCCATAATCAAATACCTTTATATTAATAATGTGAAGAGTATGACTCAAATATTCATGCTTATGATAGTTGGCCTCTGCATTTATCTTGATTATTTTACTTACCTCAATACTTTTAAGTTTTCAATTATATATATATATATGCATTTTTATATATGTGTATTTAAGTTGTCAATCTTTATGTAAATCAATATTATATACTATTATTGTTATTGGAATGTTTTATATTTGATTTATCAATAATTGCAGAAACATCTGCTAAAAAAATTTAAAAAAAAACTTACTTGAGCATCTGAGGGCTGAAGTTTGGTTTGAGGATACCATTGGCACTTGGATGATTAGCTTTGTAGAGTGGGTTGATGTAGTCTGACATGCGAGCCTGCATGTACTGCCATAGAGAGAATGTCTTCTGGGACAACCTAAGCAACAAAAAAACAGCCATAGGTGAACTTCAACAAGTCTTTTAAGGTTTTGTCAGAACTGTTAATAATTTCTTTAAAATACAGAAGCAACTAGATCGGGCATCTGGGCCCCATTTCACAAAACTTGTCATGAGTGACAAATGACAGTTTTTGTTATAAGCTAGTGAAATCCTTGCTTCTGATTGGTTATCAGCAGCTTTGACACTGATTTTTGTGAAGCGGGTCCCTGGTGTACCCTTCATTAGACAGGTTAAACACTCAAGAGAGCTGGGGCGTAGGGTTAAAATGTGTGTCTGGGCATTCAAATATTGTGGGTGTATTGCAGGATGATGGTATCCAAAAAGTGTTTTTCTCTCTTTTGTTGCTGTTGACAAGGTGGATGTAGCATAGCTTGGATTCAATCATTGGCCAAATCAAACAAGTCTAACTTTATGTAAGTACATGTACTTAGAAATAAGCAATCCAGATGTTCACCATTTATATACCCTTTTCTAACTGCACTGATTTTCATCGGATGCATCCGGACGCATCCGATGAAATGGCCAGTTAGAAAGCAACGGAGGAGAAAGAGGCGATTAAATAGCCGATGAAAAGAAGAGAAAAAGGCGATTAAATTCTCATTCTATCGGTGTGACACCGATGAAACGGCCAATTAGAAAGCGTTCGGGAGAAAAAGGCGATTAAAACAGCGATTAAAATGGTCAAAGGTCGCAGTATACGCGCGCTTTATCGTAACCAGCTGTGTTTGTTGACTTATGGTTGAACATGCTGCATGCTAGCTATATGGAGCGCGGGCTTAATAATTACGCAATAATTCTTCACTTCCGGCAAGGGCTCGCCACAGCAAGTGAATTTCACCGGCAGTTAGAAAGCGACAGGGAGAAAACGGCAGTTTCACCTTTGTTTGCCTAAGGAAAATTCAAGTGGTATTTTCATCGGTGTGACTCCGATAGAAGCCAGTTTGAAAGCAGTATTAGTCTTTCTCCATACACCGCACTGACTGTTACCATATAGACAACTGACAATTCAGCTTAATAATCAGCTGGACAATGACCCTACCCCCCCCCCCACCCACTACTTCCTCATGACTTTCCCTAGCCCACTAGAAAAAAAACCCACCTGGACGACAACCAACTAAATACCCCCCACCCCTAGGACAATGACCCATGGATCTAGGATGGCTGTAATTATCTTCCAGGGACTACTGTCCTTGGAGGTTTCCATGATCTAACATGAGTAGTGTTTCAGCTAGGGGGTGTTTCACAAAACTTGTCATCAGTGACAAATGACAGTTTTTGTTATAAGCTACTGACATCCTTGCTTCTGATTGGTTATCAGCAGATTTGCCACTGTTTTTTTTTGTCATTTGTCATTGAAAAAATGCTTTGTGAAACGGGTCCCTGGTCATTATCTGGGGATGTGGTACATATCCTCCAGATGTTTCAATTACACAATTCAGACAATAGGACGCATCCATGCCAACTTTGTTACAACTCTATTCAATAAAGCCAAACTGGGTCAGCAACAATAGGAATCCCTTGGGATTTTTATTCTTTAACAAGGTCCAATTGTATACAAGTTTACAACTGGAATTCCATGCAAACCTACCGAGAAGGAGAAATTCCCCGCTCAGAGGACTGTTGTCTGCTAACAAAAGAATTTAGGCTTCAAATGAATGCTAATTTCTCTTGACGTGCAGAGTGTTCATTGAACTGATGCTTTCATTATTTCATTGAAATAGTATCTAGGTAAAGTTTGGTGTAAGTGTTTTTGTCTGAACGAGGAAAAATTGCATAATTTTTTTAATTTTAAATTCCCCCCTTGACTCGATTAGTTTGGAGGTATTTGCCACTCATGCAACTCTTTATAATCTGATGAAATAAGAAATCACATAAGAAGATTCATGATTGAATCTGGTCAAAGGGGGGTTCACTGCCAAAACAACTCCTTGCAAGCTCCCAACTGACAGGTTCTTGGTCATTAAGGTTAATGTATTATTTTTGTTAAGTCTGTTCCCTGTCTGGTGCTGGTCTAGTCCAGATGACTGGGTATAAGACACATCGATCATGTGGATTCTGTGATTTTGACGAACGCTTAAACCTCGGTCTCACTGCCAAACCAACTTCTTGCAAACTCCTGATCAATTGGTTATTGGTCATTTGGAATAATGTAATGTTTTTAAATGAGTAAAATGTAATAAACTGGTAAGTATCTGATACTTACCTTTATACTTCGATCCATTCATATAATTGTATTAAAGTTTTGTTTGTAATTAACTCTACTAAATTTAACATTTCAAGTTTGTTCCTTTATTCCATGTACCCACAAGGTGTTTCTCATATGTCCAAAGGTAACAGGCTTTGTCTTTTAGTGTTATTGTTCAAAACTGTTTATACCTATTATTATGTGTTTATTATTGGATAATTAATTTCAAGTTCAAACGTATTCAGTCTGTTGACATTGTGACTTGAAAAAGGAAATGTGATGGCAAAAAAAAGGGATTCATCAAACAAAACTTACAAAAACGCGCGACAGACTTTCAATGCAGAAATGTCCATTCCTCATGCTGTTTTTGCCATGTTTTCAAGTATGTTTTAACCTTAGTTTTCTATTGAATTTGAGATCAAATCAACATTTTAGGGCAGTCGTGTGATAAACAGAATGTCAAAAAAAAATAATGATTAAAAAAACGTACTACCGTAATTTGGAGGAAAAAAACAGAATAATGCCAGGAAAACAGTAATGGTTGGCAGCTCTGCACTGCACTTGGACTCACTTTTTATCCTGCCTCTCCCTCTCACAATTGCCCAGGAAGTTGCCAAACTGGCTGGAGAAGACATGGTCGTGGAGCTCCAGGAGGAACCTCTCGTTGAACTGGAACGCGCAGGGGAACTGCTGGCACAGCTGCCAGGTACACTCAATGAACTGGGTGAAGACTGGCGACACCTCCCGAGGGTCGTACGCAAGCAGACCACACCGGTGCAGGAACTTGTGACCGAAAGCCAACCACTCCTTTTCAATCAACACCTATGATTAAAAAAAAGAATAGCTACATATATATTTTGTTGCGCTATATATCCATCTCCGGGATGCTCAGTACACTTTAGAAAGTACAGTCAAACCTGTCTTTAATAGTGGCCACCTGTCCACAACCACCACCTTCCTAATGCGACCAGAGGCCAAAGAAATAGAAATATGTTAGAATCATTTTTAATTTTTATTTTGACTAAACACTATACCACTCTTTGTCAATTGTGGTTGACCAGGATAACCCATGATATTGACCAACAATGCCAACCTGTCTACAAGACCACTTTTTGTGTTTTTGTGGGTGGTCGCTCTAGACAGGTTTGACTGTAGTATCATCTACACACTTAAACAAATTGGGGAATCTTACAATATCTCTCTCAAAAAAAGTATTTCAATGCTTCCCTGAACAATTCTTTATACAGAGCCTTTTGGGACTTAGTGGTGAAACATTGCCTACCTCTTTTTTAAACTATCTCTCCTTGTAAATGTACACAAAAGGCTGCCCTGTTCAGTTCTCCAGGAGATAATAAAATCATTAAATATTCTTGAAACTAGTTTAGAAATTCTTTAATATCAGAGTTTGAACTGATGCACCTACCTGCAACTGTCTGAATATAACATGTATCTCAATGTCACCCTGCTAACTACAGTCCCACAAACTGAAATATTTGTTTCTTACCTGGAAGCCTTGTATAGTTCTGTAGTAGGGATCCAGTATGATACTCGCCAGAGAGCACGTCTGAGCTGTCCTATCCCAGCCGTCTGAACAGTGTACCAGCACTGACAGTCCTTCATCAGCAATGGCCTACAAGTTAAAAGATGCAACATGTAAATCAGATAAACATATATCATCTGTAGCTATCCCAGCCGTCTGAACAGTGTACCAGCACTGACAGTCCTTCATCAGCAATGGCCTACAAATTAAAAGATACAACATGTAAATCAGACAAACATACATAATCTGTCCTGTCCCAGCTGTCTGAACAGTGTACCAGCACTGACAGTTCTTCATCAGCAGTAGCCTACAAATTAAAAGATGCAACATGTATTAAAATCAGATAAACATACATCCTCTGTAGCTATCCCAGCCCTCTGAACAGTATACCAGCACTGACAGTCCTTCATCAGCAATGGCCTACAAATTGAAAGATGCAACATATAAACCAGATAAACATACATCATCTGTAGCTACCCCAGCTGTCTGAACAGTGTACCAGCACTGACAGTTCTTCATCAGCAGTAGCCTACAAATTAAAAGATGCAACATGTATTAAAATCAGATAAAAATACATCCTCTGTAGCCATCCCAGCCGTCTGAACAGTGTACCAGCACTGACAGTCCTTCATCAGCAATGGCCTACAAGTCAAAAGATGCAACATGTAAACCAGATAACATACATAATCTGTAGCTATCCCAGCTGTCTGAACAGTGTACCAGCACTGACAGTCCTTCATCAGCAATGACCTACATGTTAAAAGATGCAACATGTAAATCAGATAAACATACATCATCTGTAGCCATCCCAGCCGTCTGAACACTGTACCAGCACTGACAGTCCTTCATCAGCAATGGCCTACAAATTAAAAGATGCAACATGTAAATCAGACAAACATACATAATCTGTCCTGTCCCAGCTGTCTGAACAGTGTACCAGCACTGACAGTTCTTCATCAGCAATGGCCTACAAATTAAATGATGCAACAAATAAACCAGATAAACATACATCATCTGTAGCCATCCCAGCCGTCTGAACAGTGTACCAGCACTGACAGTTCCTCATCAGCAATGGCCTACAAATTAAAAGAAGCAACATATAAACCAGATAAACATAACCCTATGTAGCTATCCCAGCTGTCTGAATAGTGTACCAGCACTGACAGTCCTTCATCAGCAATGACCTACAAATCAAAAGATGCAACATGTAAACCAGATAAACATACATCATCTGTAGCTATCTCAGCCGTCTGAACAGTGTACCAGCACTGACAGTCCTTCATCAGCAATGGCCTACAAATTAAAAGATGCAACATGTAAATCAGATAAACATACATCATCTATAGCTATCCTAGCCGTCTGAACAGTGTACCAGCACCGACAGTCCTTCATCAGCAATAGCCTACATACATCAGGAGAATAACCAGAAAAATAATACATAGACAACAGACTACCGGTAGTGACTTAATGACAAACTTGCAAGATACGTCACAGAGCTGCTTATTTGTGTTTGACTGATCGCACCTTCAAAATTCATGACTTTCTTATCTTTGATCGGAATTTGCTCAAGCAATCACTACATGACCCATTCCTCTAATTTTTTTGCTTCTATAAAAAGCAACTTAGTATCAGGGACGACTTCCAATTTAAGACGAACGAGAGTCTGAGCAGCTCCCTCAAATAAGTATAAAAAGGAAGTAATATGCCAAATATCTACATGTAAACCATTCTCTCACAATCTCTCAGAATTTGCAAACAATGTGTCAAGTACTTCTCACAAGGGGTATAGAGGCAGGTAGTTTTCTTTCCTGATGGGGGAATAAAAGAATAATAACAGAGTGGTATAATTCTATCCAATGGGACAGTGACAATATTGTAGTTGAAAATTTGGTGTCGTTGATACTGAAATTGAAAGGAAAACCACTCTTAACGATTCATCAGCTGACATTTTAGCATACAAAGATTCATTCCATACCATAGTATGGTACATGTATAGCCTTGGTATGTTCTATCCATTGACTATATAACTTACCTTGGCAATGAATAATGATGTGTCTAGTACAGCCTTGATATGTTTCATCCATTGACTTGATTCTAGACCACTCAAGAATGCTTCCATGGAGGGATTCTTCAACTCACACACTGGAGAAGGACAAAGAAATACATTAAATACTTGTAGTTATAGTCATCAAGTATTGGCAGGACAAAACTATAGTAGGAGTAATATTAGTCATTCTACAATGTACATGTCACTATGAATATGACGAACAAAGAAAGCGGACAAAATATACAGTTCCTCAGGTAGACAAAGGAACATCCCTTCACTGCTATTTTGTAAAAAGGTGAATATGCATGTGACACCTGTTCTACACATTTTTATATAATAGCAGTGAAGGGATGTTCCTTTGTGTACCTGGGGAACTGTATATTTTGTCCGCTTTCATTGTCAGTCATGTTCATAGTGTGTGAAGCACTCATTGTCAGATACTCTTGGTGCATGTATAGTATTCATGATATTTTTGTAATGATGTTTGTTTGGCGATTGCTTTACCAGACTGTAGAAAGCATGTATATGATTGCAAGTAAGCAACCAAGGGATGGGTGGTTTTAAGTCCTCTCCAAGGGACTTGGTAATGAGGATTAAAGCCTTGCTGAAGGGCAGAAGCGCAGTTACTTGGTTTCGAACCTGGGACCTCTCAGTTAAGAGACCACTGCTCTACCACTACTCTACCAAAAAGTAGTCTTTGTGGACAGGTTCCTTCAGTTCATTTTTCAATGAGAAACCATTTTCAAGGGAAACAAATAATGTGGTTTTTGTAGACAGGTTTTCTTTTTAGACAGGTGGTCACTAAAGCAGGTTTAACTGTACCTTTTCCTACATTTTATCCCTGTCCGTGCTTTTTACTCTAGGAGGTTTTCTGTCAGTTTTTTTTTCTTCTACTCCTATTTTTTTAATACATGTACTGCCTATCTGGTCAAAGCAAGCCCCAAATAACCTTATATAAGAAAAACTAGAATTAAAATGATTAAATGGAATGGTACAACAGCTTTTCTAGACATATTGTTTTAATTCTGAATTCAAATTACCCAAACTGGAAATTAACCTTTAAAAGTGTTAACATATTGCAAGAATAACTTACCATCAATAAGCTTCTGCAAACTGTTCCTCATCACGTGTATATTTTCTATTCCTAGAAATTTGAATTTGATGTTGTTGTAGACTTCTGTAGACTCGTATCCTTTCCCTGAGGCTTTGTTCACCATAGCATTAATCTAAGTAGAAATTCAATTTATTCAAACGCATTAAAAGGCCAGAGGCTAGGGCTTGCAATAAAGTACAGCGATTCCCCTTGCAATCATAGTAATGAAAACAGCGAATACAAAATACATACAAAGCACAAAACTAAACGAAAATCATTTGCACATTCCAAACAGTAAACAAGTAAATGAAGAAACGATCATCAGGAAGTATGGTAAAACTGATCACTCAAAGATTTTCACTTTTTGGGGGAACTTCATGATCATTTTGAAGCGCAATTTTGTTAGGGCTTCAATATTACACCATATCACAGACACTGACTGATAAGATGTAGGGCCATGCATCTCAGATTTAACATTGTTAAACGATGTCTATAATCAGACATTGTCCTTCCTACCTTTGGCCTTGTATCAACGATGTACATGACATCTGACTTTGGATTAGCCTTGAGGATAGCCTGTAACATCTCTTCATCTTCCACACAACGAGCACTGAACCCTGCCAATGGCTGACTACATCGACACATGGCAGCCTGGTGAGGGGAAAGAAAATGACACATCAATTTTTTGTTCGTGATCATCAAATAACGATTGTGAGGATGCAATATTGATGCTGCTAATAAATATGAGGAAGTATATGTTTAACTCACAAAAATCCCAATATAATGCAACTGATTATATTTTTTTTCCTTCTAATTTCATGTTATGTACAAAGATTATGATAAATATAAAGATTTACAGACTTGGTTAACTTGGCTGTATAACTTTCTTTGTTCCCTGTATTTACACTGTAATGTCAATCTCTCTATTTGATTATCTGTTTACATCTATACATCCACCTGTCCATCTGTTTCTTGATTTTAATTAATCATTTCTCTCAACCACCCCCACCCACCATCTTCCATCATTCTTATACATGTATGGCTGCGACGGGTAGTCGAATGCTCGAGTACCCGCACGGTTGACAACTACTCGGGTACGATTTCTTGTACCCGAATATTCGGCCACAAAAAAAAAAAAAAAAAAAAAAAAAAATGTCCAGGCCCACGCTTACCCGTGCCAGGAAGAGCGGCGTCCGCTGGCATGGTACCGTCGGTAAAAATGTTTCCAAACTCAAGCACTGTCAAACTCACCTTTCAGAAAATGGGACCAAAAGTCCAGATTTCTGTTTGGACTTGGAGGAAAATGGATTATTCTGCCATCTTTGGTTTTTAAAACGGCATTGTTTACTGTTATTATTCTTATTAAATCGGCGCCTTCAACTGCAACTCAAAGTAAAGTTGCATGCGTTTTCAGCGAGGGACCTGAGAAACTGCTGAGTGGTATGGTAGTGGCAACAAAAAAAACAAAAAAAAAAATCCAAAAATCCAAAAATTCAAAAAAAATTCAAAAAAATCAAAAAAATTCAAAAAAATTCAAAAAAAATTATAAAAAAACATGGCGTCCGAATATTCGAGTATTCGCCTGTGAGCCTGGGAGTGTACTCGGGTACCTCATTACACTGTTGTGCACAGCCCTAAGTATGTATCCCTTCATTCTCCCAAAATTAGTCAACCTAGAGCTACCAACTAAGACTGGTGTGCTGGCAAACACCCCCCCCCCCCCCCCCTCAATCTTTTAGTTTCTCTCTCTAGAGCTAACGGTAAAAGATGATAACTCACATTGTTTTCTTGATGTAGATATGATAAGACTGGTAACCTGCCTCTACTCCTGAACCTAGAGCTACCAACTAAGACTGGTGGACTGGCATGCGTAGGGACGTAGAGAGTTCTTGAATACGTGTCGCAAATCTACATTACAGGGGGGAAAAGATAAGAAACACAAAAGGATAACTACATTTAAGTTTCAATAATTGTTCACTGATTCTATGCAAGAATAGACTTTCAATGCAAAAAAAGACATTCAACACTTCTTAATTGCCAATATAATAATAATCACAAACAATAATATGTCAGTTATAAAGAGCAGTTACTAAATATAGAGGTTTTGTGGTCTAGTGGATATTTCACCGGACTGTGGATCACATGGTTTGGGGTTCAAGTCCCGCTGCAGCACTAACATCCTTTGGCAAGTCATTAATCTCCCAGTTGAAGTAAATGGGTACCCGGTAGGAAGAAATTCCTTGAATGCTCTAGCGCCTTTTTATGTCGGCTCAGCTACAGCCTACTACGTATTAAGCACAGTATGAAGCAAGACAAAGTAAGAATACAGAGTATTTAGTTTCCATAGAAGAGAAGAATCTTGGTTTAATGACATTTGTTTGATGCTAATAAAATACAAAGCATTATATTCCTCATTACTAAATAGGAATGGTTGGCAGCTGGCCTCACCTCATAGTTCTTGTTGATGGCTGTGCTACACCAGTGTGCATTAGGTATACCCATGCGTGCATACTCTGCCTGCAGATCAAACTGATCCCAACCCGTTACCATGGTGGGTACAACGGTAGCAGACTTGTAGTGGAATGCATACAGGTCCTCCAGCTCAGCTGTATGGATGGATGGAAAGAACACAGATAATCAGAGCCCCATATTATAAAGATCAAGCATAAGATCAATCTTAAGATTGATTCATTTACTTACAATCAATTGCCATTTTTTATTATAACTTTACGCTTGCTAAAAAATCAAGCGTAAAATAACGATCGATTTAAAAAGATACGCTTGATTTTACGCTTGATGTCAAGCGTAACTTTTCTATAACATGGGTTATCAAATATACGCTTGATTTGTCAAAGTTACGCTTGATTTATTAAACTTACGCTTGATCGTAAGTCTTTATAATACGGGGCCCTGTTCTTATACATGTAGATTGTTAGGAATAAACACAGATCCTACATTCCTGTCAACCTTTCACGGCAACCAACCAGAAAGAATGCTGGGCTCTAGTCAAAAGTCTTTTTTCATGTCCCCACAAACTATGACAAAATCTTACAGGGAAAGGTGATTTTCACATGCAGCCACTATTTTTTATGGAATAACGTGCCGGAAAAACCTTAGAGTTATAATTCAGAAGTATTTTAAAACATAAGTAATAAGCACTTTGTAAAATCTCACAATTATGAAACAATTCCATCATTTCCACTCTTTCTGTATTCTGTTTTGTAAAGCGCAAAGAGACGTGCTAGTATGCCTATGTGTTATGCGCGTTCAATTATCATCATTATTATTACAAAGACGAAAAAAGCAATACAGTCTACATCGTTAACAGAAAGAGAGGCATCTAGGATTCATAACATTAATGGTTATCACTTGAATTTTATTTTAATTTTATACTTTTTCTTCAAAGAGAAACTTTTTAAAATGTCTGTGAAATGTTATCATCCAACCGTGAGAAATGTTATCATCCCATGCAATCCCTGGTTCAAAAGTTCAATATTATCTTTTTGTTGAGAGCTTTCTTCATATCAAACAAGAGCTGTATTCTTTTAAATTTCCAGCACATTTTCTTCACTGAAAAACACTCTGACAAGATAAAATCACTAACAGTAATTATATGTTAAGACTAGGGTTTAGTCATTCAGCCATTCTCACCAACAAGCACAACTAGAAGGAAAATAATGCCTCAGCAATAGCTCGCACAAAGCACTCTAAAAGATCAACAGGTAATCAACCACCTCCGTATTCTTAGACAAAAACAATGTATCATGAGCAAAGTATACATGTACATCCAGGACTGTGGCTGTAATTTGCATTGACCAAACACCACGCCATCGCTTTTTCAGAGTTGAACCGGAATTGGGATTGTATTACAGGCCTGCATTGAACAGCTCCTACTATGACTTGCACAAAGAGCATCATTTGCAGAACACAAAACCATCCCATTTTCAAAGATGGATTTGCATTGGGGTTGAAATCGAAATGGACCCATTGCAGTAAAAATACTATAATACATCAACTCACAGTTGCTGGAATACATGTACCAATGTTATCCACATTTTTTTCTCAGTATATTTCACTTTCATTTTTTTTCAAAGATGGATTTGCGTTGGGGTTGAAATCGAAATGGACCCATTGCAGTAAAAATACTATAATACATCAACTCACAGTTGCTGGAATACATGTACCAATGTTATCCACATTTTTTTCTCAGTATATTTCACTTTCATTTTTTTTCAAAGATGGATTTGCGTTGGGGTTGAAATCGAAATGGACCCATTGCAGTAAAAAATACTATAATACATCAACTCACAGTTGCTGGAATACATGTACCAATGTTATCCACATTTTTTTCTCAGTATATTTCACTTTCATTTTAGCAGCCAGAAACATAACACCTGTACACTTGTCTAAAATCTACATCAGCATCCTCTTGTTATCATACAGACATGTACATGTACATGTAAGTTTTAAATCCTTTCAATCGGATGCAACTATAATGTTCGCTATTTCTTGGCATTTAAAAAAAAATACTGGTATATTTTAATTGACTACTTTAAAATATCTCAACAAACCTGTATCCTTCTACAAATAAAAGTGATGTATGGTGCACGTGACCTATTGAAAGGTGCTTCATACAATGCTCATTCAATTATTATTTCTGGCAGAGTCCAAGCTCTTTTGTCCCGTGCATTGCCAACCACATATGAATGTACATACATGTACATGTTGTATATATCTGATGATTGTAATAGCCCTGTTCCAAATCGGATGAGGCCAAACATGAAACTTGTTATCAATAACAAGTTACAAAATACTGTTAAAAGCTAATGAAATTGTGGCATTTGATTGGCTAAGAGCAAATTTGTCATAGGAATATACATGTAGCATAAATTTGTTGTTGATAACAAATTTTATGAAACAGTGCCCTTGGCCACCCTTCTTATATAAAGAGTTGATATTAATCAGAACTTATTTGCGATTGATATCAATGGCAACTATGTTCATAATTATTAGAGATAGAGGACTGCAAACTTGCGATTGATTAGGCGATTGATTGGGATCAATCACAACTCTTTTAAGATAAGGCAGGGCTCTGATGTCAAGTCATGTTCATAACCCTACAATATTTCCTAACATATGGACACCACATGACAATTTTTTATTATTTTTATTTTAAATTAAAAAAAAAAAAAAATTCTATTGAACGTACTGTAATGATAAGAAGATCGACTGCTCTTATTATTTACAAGCTTAGCTTTTTACTAGATTCCCCCATATTTCACGTCAAACATATTTTGTCTAATTTCAGTTTAAATACCACGCAATTGTACTTACATTTATATCTCTGTATATTATTTAGACTATATTATTACTTTCATGGCTTGATATTATTGTACATGTATGTATTTTTACACTCATTTGAAAGAATCATTTTTGTTCATTCTTATTATCTATTGCTTAATGATTTATGAAATGAATGTGAAATATGAAATAAACTAAACTGCAACCCTTTGTATATTACGCCTGCCTTCTTTAAAATGTCCAATTTATTATTATTACTCTTTATTTATACACACCTGGATTTGAGAGCTTCTGCAGTGACTTGTACATCTCCTGACAATCTTTCTCTCTGGGTATGACAAAGGTCGCCGCCTGGAAGGTCTTGCATCGGATCTGGAGGGGGGCTCCCCCCGTTGTCAGGGGAAGCTTCTCCACGAAGCCAATGTGCATGTGAAGGATCTGTGTGTTTACAATAGCGGGGAGAGAACACAAAAGAAAGGGATGGAATTTAATTGAGATACGTACATGTACATGTACGTATCTCATGTAGGGAATATATTGTCAGTGACAAAAATAGAGACAAGCGACTGGCAATTTAGCGTTCGAAAGCTAGAAATGTTCATGCTTGATAATATTATTTTTGAATTATCAAGCTCATTCGTACAACAAAATTGTATTTTTGATCATATAATTTATTACCAAGATCATTCTTACAATGAAATTGTATTTTTTATCATATATTTTATAAATTATCAAGCTCATCTTTACAACAAATTTATTTTTTTGACGTTGAACCATCTGATGTCTCAACATAAACTAGGATTTTACCATCCATAGAGGGCAAAAAGGCTAAAAAAAAACTCTGGGAAAATATAAAATATATATGTACGGTATTATGAACATTAAATGGATGTGATAAAATCACTGCAATAAAATCCTGCTTGTACTTTTAAAAGCAAATCCATGATAACCTAATGTAAATTAAACTAAATTTTACACTTATTGTTGTGTAGCCAGTTGAAGAGAGTCAATGAATGGCAACAAGCCAGCTAAAAGACATACATTTTTAAAACATAATACATGTACATTTTTTTACCATTCTGTGACACCATCAACACTATACTTTACAGTCAATAAATTGTCCAAAGCATAACATCAGTAATCAATATTACACAGTTCAAAAAGTTTGACAAGAAATTGTATGCGCCCTTCTGCAAGGTAAAGTTTTTAATGTGCAACACCATTACTAAATGTGACAGGTTAGATTTGTACTCGCAAAAGTCCACATATTCCCAAGAAAACAGTATGCATACATTTTGTGTTATTATACGGTACAGAGAATATTCAAATATAATTTTAGCTTCACAGTCCCCAACAATCAACTGGAAAAATTTCCAATATTTAGCTTCATATAAATAGATAGAAATATACATGTACATGTATTGTAGATAGATCCATAGATAGATACTGTAGATAATGGATAGATATTTGCAGTTAAAGGTATTACAAAGTTTTGGTATGGGTTCATGAATTTGGTTCAAATTAACATATTGGAAGCATATACGTTCCTACAATATACATTGATCGTTGTCGCGGTTGAAATCGAGTCTAAAGTTATGAAATTATAAATAATAAACTCTTTATGTTGTATAGCTCCCTCTCAAGGTCAAGATATTAATTTAACTATGAAACAATGTTTCTTGACTAAAATCGACCGATTAGCTATTCCCGTTTGGAAATTATATATCCCAACTACATATTCTGAGATTTTCATGGTCGCAGCTACCATTGTACGGCCATAGGCGCTATTTGAAATTTATCAAAATTTACCGGGAGCACCGGTAAATTTTTATATTCAATTTTTCACGAAAACAGAAGTGTTTTAGGGGCTATTTTTTGTTAGTGCTTATAATACATCCACAGGGGCATCCAAATATATCAAAATTGTAAAGACTCACTATCCACCCAATTTTCAAAATCTCCCAAAACTTTGTATTACCTTTACACTACCATTAACAAAATAAAATAACGAGATTGTTGGCATTCTTCACCAAAACCCTCCCTTACCTAGGAAAGAAAATGTACATTTTAAATGTCATTCCTCTTTTTGTATTTATTTTTATATCCTCATTTGCACTTAAAATTGAAGTGGATTGGTGATTCCAAATATAACAGGTTTCAATAGTAGTGATGGTGATCTTGATACTCAGTAACTTTCACCGCTAGTGCAGCTAGTTTCAATGTGGCATTGTATACAAATTTGTGCTTTCTTGCTTATTGCCCATAACATGATTCAAGATTCTTGCTTATTGCCCATCGCTTGTCTCAATGCCTGAAACAATGAACCTCTAAAGGTAATAAAATGAAAGGAGCTCTTGGCAATAATAGATTGTATTTGGATATTGGAGCGACACTTTAACGACTATGTTCAGAAGGAAAGTCTTTCATACAAAATATAGCCTTTTTAACCAGACTCTTTTATAAAGTAATATGACAGTTGCTTTTTGTGGAAAGCAATTCTCATAAAAAACATTCAGTGTTGTGCTTTGTTGCATTCATTTCATGGCATACAACTCCTACTTTTTACTATCTTAATCCTATTATGTCAGGATTTGATTTCAATAAATTATTTGACTCTGTACTTTGAATCTGGCCTAATTATTAACTGCAAGTGAACGATACAAAATGAGCTATTAATAGAGAGGGGCGTATGGAGAGATATAGAAGGGGAAAGTATTTACATGTATGGTACATGTAACAGATAAACAGAGGAGAAAAAGAGAAGGATAAAAAAGGAGAGAGGAAAAAAAGGGAGAGAATAGGAGGGAGAATGAACAGGAAAAATGAAAAAATAGACGTGAATAAGCAGGCGCTGTGAAAGTGCGAATAACTGCAGAGGGGAGAGATGAGATATGAGGGAAAGAGAGAACGAGGCAATCTTTTGGAAATATACACATGTACATATCAGTGTACTGGGGTGAATCATTCACAGCTAGTGCTGCTGACTCTGATGTGGTCATTCTTTCCTATCCTCTGAGTCTGACTGCATCCCTGTGCAATCGATAAATGGTATCATCTTACATTACGGGCTTGGTCTTGCTTTGACAAACAAAATCAGCCGCACAGCTAGACGTCAACTCAATTTCAAGCTGAAGTACAATGTTCATCTTCTTCTACAATGTATTTTCACATCATAAAACATGTACAACATGTTATTGCTATACAGAGTGAAAATCATAATTATAACAACTACTACTAATACTAATAATAATCATCATAATAATAATGATAATCATATTTATATCAGTTATAAAACGTGTCTGGTGCTTAGTAAATGCATAAAACCAACACGGTCTCTATAAACACCACGGTAATATGTAGAACACTTGACATTTCTACAAGAGCATTCTTTATTCCGCTACCCCCCCCCCCCCTTCCTTATATGGTTTTCAAGATTTAAGACAGGCCAGTATTCTTCTCCAATATGTAGGCCAGAAGATCTCACATTTTATTTTAATACATGCACATATACACATACTGTACTGTATAAATGTTGTAAAGTATGTACATGTATACATGCAACGTATCATTGTTCAAATACATTACATGAAGGCCACAACTATAAATACAAAATCCCTGTTGACTGCTGATGTATGAACGTACAGTACATATACTACTGTAGGGCTACAGTATGTTTCTATTCCTGTTATCCTTCCCATTAATAATCAATGATGCACTACACATATTATCACACAGGAAACATGATACTTTGGTGGTTTTAAAGCCTGAATGCAAGTGACATGCCTCATGGTCGTTTTTAAGTTGTCCCGACTGTAGGATATATAAATGCATGCATTCACAGCTGATTGAAGGATGAATAAAGGAAGAAGTAGAATACAAATACAAACTGCATGATTCATACATGTCCATGTACGTTAAATAAATAAAATGAAGCATAATAAGAATTCTATTTAATAATACGAAGTGCAAGCCGAAGAGGTTAGCAACTTAGGTGTGCAGGCAGAGGAATCGCACAAGGAATTTCAAAGTAATTTCAAATTCAAATGAGATACACAGTCCTCATAAAAGGTCGGTGTCTCCATGGTATTCATCTTTCAAAGTGAAAATGTGATGAAGGAAGGATATTTTGCAGGAAAAACACCATTTTACTCCAAATGTGGCAGTTTCCTAAAACAGAGGTTAGCCTCTTCAAAGCAGCCAATCACAGAAGATGACACGTTTCAAAAGATGGAAAATGTGTTTATCTCATTTATTTTAGGATTTTAAGATTATCATTATTATCATTATTATTATTTTCATCATCATAATCATCTTCTTTGTTGTCATCATCATCATCATCATCATCATAATCTTTGTTATTCTTGTTGTTATTAATATAAATATTATTAAGATTATATTTAGAACTTCCATCCATAAAATGTCCTTGTGTTGTAAATTGCCAGATTGTTTTTCAATGCACAGTACATATTAGGCACAATGTAGGCTCTTTCCTACATACTGTACATGCAGGGGGATACAATACTTTAATAACTAATGAATGCAAAGCTCTATCAATATATTGCAGGATACTGTCAATCAATTCTCTTACTTCTCTACCCCACACTAGCCACGTCTGCTAATCATCGTTTCCAAGAGCATTGAGCTAAAAATATAACCACAAGCAGAACTTCTCCCCAGTAATTGTCTGAAATTTGATTACAATGTTAATTGTGTGCCATTTTACGGTTACTGCTCGCTGCAAGTCTACTTCACACTCCTTCACATTTCAGGTATACCTTTAGTGGGGGGGGGGGGGGGGTGGGGTGTACATGTACTTGAGTTGAGAAGAAATCAATCATGGCCTTAGCATGACTGTACATATACATTGTATGTTGACTTGAAGTATACTCTCCAAGTGCTTTTAGACTACTAACTCAAGCCAACACAGAAGACTTGTTGTTTCATCTTTATTTGCTATTCTTTCTTTCTTTCTTTTATTAATTATCAATATTATTACGGTGTTTTTATTTCTAGGGGGGGGGGGGTACCAATTGGTTTTTATATATTTGAGCTCTACATTGGGTGCATCCACTTTCAATGTGGGTGTATGAAAGAAAAAACACATAAATGGTACCCTTGCTTTTATAAAGCAACGTTCTGTTATGTAATTTTCATAATAATATCTATCATGTTCTCTCGGTAGCTGTGTTAACTTAATATTACGGGCGTTCCCAACTCAAGCTATGCTTTCCAGGTTTTCGCCTCCTTCCGTATCAGAATTATTTACTGTATACTCTATGTTGAAAGTTGAAACCATGTTACATATTTATATACATATGTATATACATTGTGTTTCATATTGTACTGTTGAGAAGGAAATAAATGTTAATATATACAACAACAAAAAGCCTGGGTAATAATCAGGGGCACCCAGGGAGTGTCAAGTCTGACAGACATGAGTGCTATACAAGAACCAACTATTATTAATATTATAAATTAAGGAAATGTCATGTAAAAAAGAAAGATTAAAAATCTGCTCAAAGACAGCTGCAAAGGTGAAAGATTTAACACAATGAATCCTTCTCCGGCCGGCTCCACACAGGGGCAAAAAAAAAAATGATCCAACCTGCCTTGTCCGTCCTGTGTAAACTTACCCATGTTTCCTTCTTGCCGGCAGGATCCACAAATATCAGATGGGTAGCAGTCAGATAGAGCGTGCCCGAGGACGGCTTGCGGGAGTTGAAACGATCCAACAGGCGAACGTTCTCAATCTGAGATGAAAAAACGGAGAGGAAAATTGGTGATAAATAAGTCAAGTGCAAGGAGTTGTTGACTATCTTCTTTACAGGTTGGAGACTTGGAGCTCAAGGCGAAAATTAAAATTTCATCTCCAAAGGCTACTTACGGAACTATTAAAGGTAAAGACCAGTATTGGAAACGCCCCAATTTCAAAAAATGAAATGGAAGCTCTATATTACCAATCATGTGAAAGAATATGTTTTGACTAATACATGATGATACAAATTTTGCCGGGAAACCGCCTACTAATTGATATTTTTTGGTAAATTAGTTTATCTATTGGACTGTGAGAGATAAACGCATGTGTGCCTAGTCCCATATACATCTTTCTGTGTACAGTGCTTGTAACTTTACGAAGATTGGGCCAAATTTCTTATCATTTTGATGATTCCAGAACCTTGCAGTACACACCAATACTTATATGCTAGATGATCAAACCTTTTCTGATCGATTCCACAACGTTTCCTTCACAATGCAATCGCATGACCATAACTGGTCTTTATCTTTAACAAATTTTCTTTTGAGGCTTACACATGTATTACAAACATGTAACCCTTGAAATAAACGGTTAAATCCCCATGAACCAGGGGCAATTTTTGAAAATGAATTGTCCCTGGTTCCTGGCCGCATATTTCAAGGGTGGCAAACATACATGTAAGTGATACAATGTAAGTAATTTTCTCTCTGAATACATCCCATTGATAGAATTCTTTATTCATTGGAGGCCCCTTTTTTCACTCAAGATGTTTTTTAAAGACTTGAGAGGCAAATCATCTTAACCCCCATCATATTTGTTCATAGCTTCAGGCATGCAGCAGAGCGGCCCATTACAGAAACATGGCTAATAATAGACATTTATAAATGTACAGGTTCATGTACCTGCATTCAGTGTGCACATTCTGTTATCTCCTGGCAAGAGCTTGATCATGACTGAAAGTACCGGTATACAATTTCCTAAACCTGGTATAATCTTTCAAGGATATGCTAACTTATGCTTGTTTTAATTGTCAAATATATTTAAATGTTGAAAAAGTCGAGAGTAAATCAAGACATTATACTGCATACCGATATACATGTACATGTACTTTGTTCAGGTATTTTGAGCATTTTGTGGAGCTCCATGTACAGTGTAAAGTTAACAACTAAATTCATACCCCTTGTAAATTTGATGTTTTTTGTGTTTTTCGTGACTCAAGATGAGAGTCAAAAATGAAAGGTGGACTGGTTTATGTACTGTACATGTAGGGCCTTTGTTGAATACTTGAACATTAAAGCTTTGGTACATGTATGTCACATTTTTAAGATACATAAATCGGGACAAATCAATTTTTCACATACCGGTATTAGAGTATGAATAATATAGTTGTAAACTGTAATTCTGTTTATCGTCAGGATTGTTATTGATAATGATTTCCACTCAGTACTTTTTTATACAAAGTCATACTGTACATGCACATGTGGGATACTCATGCAATCTCTGCCATCTGCTTTCTACATAGTGAGTACAGTAGACTCATTAGTTATACAATGTAGTGTTCGGTGTATTAAAGGCACATACCGGGTAGTATGAAACGAAAACTAATTAATAATTGGCATTGAATTTATGAGAAGGATTTAAGCAATCTGCTTTAGAGACTTCATGTTGTATACACAGGTACATGAAATACACATTTGACTACCGGTATTTAAACATGAAAAATAACATGTTTCACAATATATGCCTTCAATAACATAAATCTAGAAAAATCAGTCCAATTAAAGACTTTGGATTATACACTTTCATTACAAAATTTAATTTTTGTTATAATTTAGTCATGTAATGGTATGCTTACTATACACATTTGTAATGTAATAATCACATTTTCTGCTAATTTTGATCCCATAATTGTTTACCAGCAAAATCAAAGAATGAAAATTCACGCAAATCCCTAATACGGGGCTCTGACATCTGCTTCTGCTTCTGCTTCCGCTCTGGGCTCATTTTATCAAAAGAATAATGTTAGGGTTAGGGTTGCCCGAGGATTAGGTTAAGTTTGAGGTTATGTTTAGTGTTGGGTCCAGGTTTCAAGTTCGGAATTTGATTTAATAGTGTCAGGAAATTATCACAGAGCAACTGTTGAAGGAGCAAGTATCGTACAACCCCTGAAATAAACCTTGTTGAAGACAAAGATCACTCTGAGGTGAATGTAACACAACATATGCACATTATGTTCTGTCTGGATTTTCATGCTCCTACAAATGTATACAGTATACTTTTGAGATGCAGTAAAATAGGAAAAAAATAAATTCTGGAGTTTGCCACCTGAAAGTGAATTTCAATGAGGCAATCATTTTCTCAATTTGAGACAGACCTTTCAAAACCATAGTACATGATCTGAAAAAAGGAAGTGCAAGAGGAAAGATAATATTAAGAGAGCGAAACGGTTTTAAATAGAAGAAAATCATATCAAAACCAAGTACTAAAGAACAATGGATTTTATTACATGAAACTAGAGTTGTTAGTCAAATACATGTACTTGAAAGATCTGTTTTTTCTTCTTCTTCTTCTATTTTTCTGTCATGCTTGGAGAAACTTCTGTACATTCATGTGTACATGTACGGGTGTACATGAACAACTGGAAACCACACACAAAAAATATTTAATAATGATGCAAGATGAAAGATATTATAAAGATCTAATGAAACCGTTTTGAATAGAAGAAAATTGTATCAAAACCAAATACTACAGGACAAGGGATATTATTAAATGCATCTAGAGTTGTTTATAGTTGAATTTTGTTTTTCTTCTTCTTTTTTGTTATTGTTATTGTCATGTTTGGAGGAACTTCTGTATGTACAGTATGTACATGAAAAACTGGAAACCAAATTTTTAAAATGTTTCAAATAATAACAACAATTGTCTAATAACAATAATAATTGCGAGAGAAAAGATATAAAGAATGGGAAACTGTTTGGATATTTCCAAATGAAAATGAAATTGGGGTATTTATGTATATTATTACGTCACATTTTTGAATACATGTTCATCAAATGAATATTATTTTCAAGTGTAGTTTCACTATACTGGGCAGGATGCGGCGTGTGTACAGTGTACATTGTATTGTACACAGACTGCAATGTAATAGCCCCCCCCCCCCCCCCAAAAAAAAAGTATTACATGTGTAGGCCCTACACTTTTGCAGAGTCAATGCTCTTTTGGCTCTAAACAGACTACCGGTACATTTATTGTAAATCCAATAATTAGGCACTGAAATACATGTAGTAAAAATGCACGAAAGAATTAATAATATTTCAACTCCCTTCCCCCCCCCCCCCCCCCAAGTAATTGTACATAAAATCTCACAAACAGCTTAATGTATCAATTCATTACGTATTGACTATTGGTGCACTTTTTGTTTAATAAAGATAACAAACTGGACAATTAGGCACTCATTTTCAACTATTTATCAAGCTCGATCAACTAAAAAACATGCAACATTTACAAGTATGTACATGTACCGTATGTTACTTGAAGATTGTGTGAAGGTGAAAGTCATAACAACATTTTATGCGTAAAAATGCTTTTTCTCTCTTTCTCTCACAATAAAGTCCATAAATAGCTTCTTTAAAAATAGCTCTGGATCTTGTCATTTTATATTTTCTGGAGGATATCCAAAAATACCCTGAAAATATTATGAATTCATAGCCATACTCTGAAAAACATGAACACTCCAATACACTGTGTAAAGGCCTCTATGTGCCAATTTTCCAATATTTTCTGATCGAAAGCTGAATCATGAACATTTACCGACCCATTTTATCTCAAAAGCACTCTAGTGTTCAACTGTACATTTCAAACAGCTACAAATGTGCCCATTAGCAGTACGTTAGCAGCATATCACTCATACAGCCTCTCTTCTTTAGCTCTCTCTCATTGTCACACTGTTTTACCCCATGACACAAAAACAAATTAGCCTGGGTGCATGCGGCTAGTGAGTCATCGCATGGGAGACTCAGCATCATGAACAGGCTGGTCTGCAGACAAAATATACACACAATACAGTAATCACATTGAATGAACTGTACACTACATTTGGGGTATTCTTATGTGCAAACTGTATCTCGTCATACATTTTCTAAAAGCTCCCATTAATAATAGCTCCCACCCCCCCCCCCCCCTCCCAGAATAAACCAGTTTACCAGTAAGCCAACCCATTTTATGTTGAATACATTTGCTGAATGTATTTTTGAAAGAATCCATTATACTACCCTAAGAATTAATGATCCAATAAGCCTACAGCAGTACATATTTAATGTTGAATAAATTGGTTTCTGATGCAGAATACTGGTACTTTGTTTGAAGTTCACTTTGTGGCCAGTAAAAGGGAAGTCCACCCTAATGTAACATGTAAAAAGTTGGTTTTGATAGGAGCAGTAATTGAGAAAAACAGGTCAGTGAAAGTTTGAGCAAAAAAATACAATCAAATATAGGAAAGTTATGAATATTTAGAGGTGTTCAATTTATTAATATCATCATTTCGCAGCCTCGGCTGAATTGCATGATAATTTATTATTAAAAACATATCATATTTCTTTCACAATTGTTTTCATATAATACAATTTAAATACACCATAATTAACGAAGACAAATTTCATAAACTTTCCTTTTTCTTTGTTATTGATGATGGGATAGATTTTTCCATACAGGGATTGTATAGAAACATACAATAATTATTGTTAGGTGCATGTATGATTGAGGGAAAATCCCCCCCCCCCCCAATTTTTTTTTCTACAAAGCATACATGAACAGTATGTGAGGTGAGCTTGACAGACATATCACAGAGTTGCCAATTTGTGTTAGACTGATCATATCTTTAAAAAATTCATAACTTTCTTATTTTCAATCGATTTTTGATCAAACTTTCACTGAACTGTTCCTCACATTTTTCTGCTTAGAACTATTAAAACCAAGATAACATCAGGTGGACTTCCTGTTTTAATATTACTGCCTAGCCTGATGTTTTGTATCATAATGTACATCATGTACAAGTAGGCTTACGCTCCTGAGTATCTTCCTTCATCTGATCAATGTATGTACATGGCCAGAGAGAAACATGGCCTGTTTAGTTGCATTTTGTGTGCAATCATGTGACTGTTACATCTGATCTACAGACCAATCATATATGTAAATCTGCATTGTACTTGTTCAATCTATAGATCAAGCTTCAATCAAATACAAACATCCTTCACAAAACGAAAGCAAAATATTGGCTGTGCACAGTTAATAGTTATACATGTACCATAGGAGGAAAGGAGGTTTATCAGAAGTTTTTGTGGGGAAGATTTGAATAGCTTATACAGGGTAAAGTTGTGCACTCTTTCCAAAAGTATCAGTCTCTATACTCATGCTGTTTGGGTCACTTTTTTGCTAAAAATTACTATAATGGTCACTTTTGGCCATGGGTGATTTTTTTCAATTGATATTATCAGGAAAGGAGATTTGATGGGCTTAGTCTACGCAAAACTGTGCCCTGATGCTACATGAAAAAGAAATGGTCAAATTACCCCCTACATGTATCAACATCAATATGGTAATTTCTGTCACTTTTCGGCAAACAGGATTATCATTTATATTTATTTTTTACCAAAATCAAGCTAAATTTTCATTTTTCAGTCAGAATCAATTGATAAGCGGCTTTTCAAAAGAATATCAGTATAATTAGAAGTTACATTTTACCAGGCTGAGAATACAACATCTGGTACAAAAACTTTCTCCCTGTTTTTCTTTATTTACACACTGTATATCTAATTGTCTGATTAATAAATCAGACATACCGGAACTGTAAGAACTGTCTTACAAATGTATATGAAGTTCATAAAATTTTGTTTACATAATTCCAATGGCGAAATTTACGGGCTTACTTATCTCAGAACCAATGATTCATGTATTTGAACTGTAATCTATGACATAACCGGGTCGATATATTTCCGGGTCAACTCACCAAAACAAAGCCAATGGCCAATCAGATCATTCGTTTGATATCGGGTTTATGAATATTCAAATATCACTGGGTCAGCCAGACCGAATTGTACGTACATGTAGCTATTGGACGTTTGAAGAAAAAAAATGAATATTCATTAACTCAAATCAAGATGACCGACAAGAGTTACTCGATTAAACCGAGCCATTCCTTCCACACACTACCCCATACAACGTACTTCAGGCTATGTATAGAGGCGGTCAGAGGAGCCAGATGTAATCTCAGACTCAGCGGAACAACCGTCGATGTCAGAGACTGAAGCTTTTGGTCTAGTTCTTGACCTACTTCAAACTTTAAAGTGCTTTGTATGAGTAGAAAGATGAGGCCACTAGCAAACTCTGAGGTAAATTGTAATCCAATGGGTGATTAGGAATGCATTTTGGGATATGTTACATCACTCTTCACACAAGGGTACGAGTACCAATAAAGTCTTGGTAATATTAATATCAATATCGAATTTCATATTTTCCCCTAGACCAAAAGCTTCAGTCTCTGATATCGACGTTTGTTCCTCGACTCTTGAGTCTGGCTCCACTGACCGCCTCTATACAGTCTTACATTTAATACAGAGACTTAAGAATCCTAGACAACCCGACCCTCGACAACCCAACCCAATACCCTGGACAACTCGACCAGGTCGAGTTGTCCAGGGTGGGGTGCTTCGGCGGACAGCTCGACCCATGTTTGAAAAGACTTCCTTTTGCAACAGCAGCCTGAACCTAACCCAGTAACCCTACCCCTAACCCTATTTTATTTTGTTTTAACATTATTAGATCATTGTAAGCTGTACCCATATTCTTTTTTAAGGGAAAAAAGTGGGATGAGCTGTCGGCCGAAGCACCCCACCGGTCCGGTTGTCCAGGGTCAGGCTGTCTGGGCCCCAGGCTGAAGTAGAGGCTAGTGAAGGGAGGTTACTGTTAAGGTTCGCAAAATGCGAAAAATTGAACAGCGTCAATTTTTTTTTTCCCTCCTTTTTGTTTTGCTTCCATTTAAAATTATTCAAAATTATTAAAAAACTTGAATTCGGCGTAAATATTCATAATTGAATGACACACGCCCTTAAAACTAAAACAACAACAACAACAACAACAACTGTACGCAATTATGTTTTCTCAATGTTCAATGTTAACATTCAGCCAAAAGATGATGACAATTAAAGACTTATTCGTAAAGTTCTGTGAAACTACATGATCGTAGTGTGCCTTTATTTGTTCATGGCATCAATGGAAACTGTGCACGGTACATTGGGCAATGCGTATACCGGTACATACAATATCATGTCTCAAGACATGCATACCGGTAGTCTTAATTTCAGACTTCATACATAACATATGCAATTGCAAAGTGCAAAGCAGTTTGTATGTGATTGCCGATCTCATCACACACAATAGCCAAACTCAGGCAAGACTCATTTAGCCATAGAGTCCTCAACGCCTGGAACTCCCTCCCTGAGTCTGTAGTATCTGCAACCTTGATTTAACAGCTTTAAAGCCAGACTTGACAAACACTGGAAGAGAAGCAATATAATTCACCCTTCTCCCAGTAGACACTTCAAATATTGACAATCCTGATATGACCCAGCAAGGGCACAATTTTCAGCAAAAATCAGGTAGTTAATTACCGGTAGGCTAGTTTTAAACTAAATAGTAAAGTATAAACTCTAAAGAATGTGTCTTTCTCTCTACTCTAGTATAGCTTCGTGTTAGTCGACTTTGTCTTTGACAACACTCATCATCATCATCATCATCATCATCATGATACGAGGAGAGGTACATCCTGTAATCCTCGGTCACTTCTTCAGGGTTGGTTACGTTCTAGAGTTAACTTATTGCACATGCGCAGATTTGGGACTAGTGCTGTAACATCACGGATATCTCCAATTCCGTTTAACCGCCAGTCAAAACCGGACGGTTTTCGGTTAAACGATTTATATAAATTTTTGAAATTTTTTTTTTAAAAACTTTTTTTTTAAAATAATAAAAAAAAACTTTTTTTTTTTTTTTTTTGGGGGGGGGGGGGCCGTGTGAAAAAGCGGGAAGGACTGCAAGGTAATTTAACTGAAGGCGCCGATTTGTGCTTGTGAACTAGTCACAAATAGTAGTAACAATGTCGTTTTAGAATAATGTGTAAGATCATTAATGTAAATTAAAAACAGTAGAGGACCTAGGATAGAACCTTGTGGTACACCATGTGTTAAACTTGGATGAATATATATTGAGAATCTATTACAAAGATTACTTTCAAACCAAGATGACAGACAAATTGGAGTGTTGTTCTAGTTTCCAAGTGGTAAGTCATCACACCGATTACTAAGCTGGGAGACATTGCCAGGCATAGTGCCAGGTGGAGGGGCATAATCGAAACTTTAAAAAAAAAAAAATTTTAAAAAAACAGGAAAAACAAAACCGAAAACGGAATCCGCCATGGGCGGTCGGATACCGGACGGTTAAACGTTTGACTACAGCACTATTTGGGACGGTTTTGATCATATCAAATTAACTTAATTTGAATCGCTCAGACCACCAGTGCTTATCCAGTCTCATCTTGAAGATATCGATGGAGTTCGAGTCAATTATTTCTTGAGGGAGACTATTCCAGTCGGACACCACTCTGTTGCTGAAAAGCATTTCCATAATATGTTTAGACGAGACCTTTCCTTGAAAATCTTTGTCCTCGGGTTTGAGTATTGAGAGATAAGGTGAAGAAGTGACTTGGGTCCAGCCTTACTATTACTAAGCCCTTTAGTATTTTGAAGACTGTAATGGTATCAAGCATCAGTCTTCAGACTCAGCCAGAGTCAGACATAGTCAGACATATCATCACATTAATGTTATCAATTATCAGTCATCACTAGACTAATAATAAAACACAAGGAGCGTGCACATCTCAACATCCGCAAGTATACAAACTACCGATGTCAGCAGTGAATGCACCAACCATAAACAGATTTAAATCAGAGGTGGATGCCCATCTTTTAACACAGCTCGACAAGTTTAGTTATAGGCCCAGCAGGTGATAATCCTGGTGAGTCTTCCCACAGATCCAGCAATGGATCTATTGGGAACGAACTCTTTGCAGTGGTGTACTGATGAACTATGGGAGGGCATTACAAGACATTGTCTTCCTAAGGAGCCCGAAAAGACAGGTAGAAAAGGTAGAATAAAATAGGCCTAGTAAAAACTGTGCTTGTAAAGCGCTTAATTACCACCAAAGTCTCTAACTGACTCTACTCTAGTGACTAGTCTCTAGTCTAAGCGCTAGTTAGTACTACTACTATTAATAAAATTATAACAAACAAAATACAATGATAAACAATTACATAATAAACACAACAAAAACAAATGCAAATAAACCTACAAAAAAGTACAAATTACAGTCAATACATAAGAAATATAGTGAACAGAGTCAGTTAATTATCATAACATTATATTAGACCCCTAAAGCAATTTTGAATAGGCAAGTGTTGAATTGGTTAACAGTCTAACAGTTTTTGACATGAACATGAAGAATAAAATTAAAGGTGGTAATTACAGTGCATTAATCTTCCATTTCATAGAGCCTGCACTTTCTTCTTCTTCTTCTTCCAGTGCAAGTACAGTCCTCTGGGTAGATCTAGAGTATTTTCGGGAAGAAGAAGAAGAAGTTTCAACATCAAGTTTGTTCCAAAAAAAATAGAACTTGAAGTTATTGATATCATTTAGCGAATTGATAGTTACCTTTGGCGTTGTTATATATTCCATAACGGAACTACTTCGGCTGGTCCTCCTCTTCGGCATTACATGAGAAATTTACGTCTATAATCTAAGTGCTGGTCAGATAAGACAGCTTCACACAATCCGCAAAGCAGCTGTGCATGCATTCATACATACACAAGGTAGCTGGCTGTCGTCGACGCGAAGAGGTTCGGCGTGAAGGCCTATCCGGTTCCCGTAAGGATTTCCACGTATGCTAATGTCATTGAAAAACCGCATAGAGTCACTTCACAGCAGCTCTTTTCTGATAACTCCTGCTGGCGCTATGGCTTTAACCAAAATGACTGTTATTCTTTTAAACACAGAAAAATAAATACATATCTGATGTTTATTCAAAAAATTTCATTGAATATTTTTAAAATTCCGAAAATATATTTTTTAATTGCATCAATTCAACATTGTATTTTTATCAAGATTAGATACATTTCCCTAACTTCCATCCCAGATAAGATCGCTAGATTGGCACTACCGGAACAAACCCAGATCGAGCAGTGCATAACATATTGCGATGAAGGGGGCGTGATCACAGAAATTACGAGGATCATCAAAACTTCAAAAACATTGGTACATTCAGAACCCCTTTTATTTTGATACGTACCCCTTTTCCTTTGACAAGTTCCCATTTTCCTTTGCAATAAGTGTACTCTCATAAGTGTCTTTTTTAATCTCAGGACGTTCCCCTTTTCAGGTAGGCCTATATGAGAATCGCCCCTTTTCACTTATGGTAAGCGCCCCTTCACCTCTGATAATTGCCCTATTCAAATCTGAGAGGTTCTCCTTATATTTCACATGGCCCCCTTTCCTTTTTAAAAAGTGCCCCTTTTCCTTATGATAAGTGCCCTCCTCCCATATAAAAAGAGCCCCTTTCCCTTGTCATAAATACCCCATTTCATCTATGAAAATAGTTCCTTTTCATTCTCATAAGTGCCCCTTTTCATATCTATAGATGACCCTATTCAATTCTGAGAGATATTCGTTTTACTTTGACAAGTGTCCCTTCCCCTCCTGATAAGTGCTCTTTTCATCTCTTATAAATGCCCCTTTTATTTTGACGCGTCCCCCTTTTCTTTCCTAATAAATGCTCTTTTTCCTTCTCACTAAGTGCCCCTTCCCCTTCTTATAATTACCCCATTTCATCTTTGATGAGTGCCCCGTTTGTTTTAACATGTGCCTCTTTTTCTTTTTAATAAGAGCCACTTCCCCCTTCTCATAAAAGCCCCCTTTCACCTCTGATAATTACCCTTTTAACAATGATATGTGCACTTTTTCCCTTCTGATGAGGAACCTATCCCTTTTTCATAAATGCCCCTATAAAAATCTGATGGGTGCCTCTTTTCCGTCGAAAACTGCCCATTTCCCATTCTCATAAAATCCCTTTTCATCCCTGGTGCGTGCCTATTTTTTAAGGTGTAAGAAGTGCCCCATTTTCACCTCTGATAATTAGCCTTGGTACTTTGACACGTACTCTTTTTTCATTTCTAATTAGTGTCTTAACCCTTTCGATAAGTGTCCCCTTTTCCTGTCATCATTAATTGTGTCCCTAATTTTAAGCGACTGAAAGTAATTTCACCCAAAGCTCGCTCGCTACGCTCGCTCGTAGTTATAGATGTTATAATTATGTAATTTATCAAAGGTCTTTTCAGTCTTCCGTTATGAGAATGTGCTTATAACCCCATCAGAATTGGGTTTTTACTCTTTATAAGATGTAATTTTTCGCACTGCGACCTCACAAATCTTAAAAATTGTCCTCGCTCGCAAATGAATTTGATGACCATCACATCCAACTGCAAAGTATAACGCTTGAAGAATATCTTGTATGATGTATAACGAGAAACAGATATTTAAATCATCCCTGATAATGTAATCACAATATAGGGTATATAACATTGTCTAAAATAATTGTATATTTTAGCTTTGAGATTTCCCTTTGAAGGAGCCCCTTTTTTTCCAGAGAATGTCCCTTTTTTGTCCGTGCCCCCCCCCCCCCCCCCGCTTTGGAAGTCGCTCCGCCGCTGCATCTGAGTCTGTGATTATTGGATAGTGATGTTTTCAGATAAACTGAAATTAGTAAAATTTGCATAATATGCTTATCTACATCGGAATCTATTATATTTTTCATATTACTTAAATTTTCCCTCTCAGTTAAGAAATAATTCGAATGCCCTACACATCCCCCAAAGAACCCATGCAAAAGTAAAACTTCTTTTAGTGACATTTTCATCAATGTATGTTTACCCCCCCCCCCCCCCCCCCCATCGCGTGGTTACTGGGGAAAAGGTTAGAAAATACAGAAAGGAAAAGAGAGAAAGTGAAAAGAAAAAGGAAAGAAGACGCCTAGACAATCTCCTTTATAATCAGCAGTCTCATAACATATTCACATTATTATCTTATAGGCCAATGACCAATGTGTATCCCCCTCTCTATCTCTCTCTCTCTCTCTCTCTCTCTCTCTCTCTCTCTATCTATAGTGCCCCTTCATGGGTAATTTGGCACTATCCCACAGCTGATAATGCTTGTATAATATTACAAATAATGTAATAATTTTGAACTTCTAATGTTGTGTACGCACTCAGAAAAAAAAATGTATTTAATACGTGCCACTTGAGAAGGAGAGAAAGAGAGAAAGAGAGAGAGAGAGAGAGAGAGAGAGAGAGAGAGAGAGAGAGAGAGAGAGATGAGAGGGGGCGGGGGAGGGGGGGGGGGGTAAGAAAGGAAGATGGCAAAGTGAAAATTGAAAGAAAGAGATTATCACTTCCAATATAACTATGTCCATACTCTGTGGCCTTGTTTTCTCGCATTTCTTCTATCAAATAATTCCAAGCTCCCCGTCCCCCCCCCCCCCAAAAAAAAATTAAAAGCCGCGTGAGACATATGCTACACCACTCATTGTATATTGTTTTGCTTTGTTTATAGTCATTTATTTTTATTTTGAATTTTTCTTTTTTTTTCTCTCTTCTCCTTTCCTTTTTTTTTCTTTTTCCTTTTTTATTCTGGTCTTTCGTTTTGTTTTGTTCTTGTGTCTATTTTCTTTTCTTTTCCCTCCTTTTGTTCGTTTTATAAAGTTTCTAGATGACTCAATAATTTCAGGCCTATCAAAAAAAATATCTTTATTTCAAAATTTGAAAAAAGTCCAAAATAATATTTGACAGAATGATAATAATATATCTAATATTATGATATATGTTTAGATTTTAACAACCGAAATCAATAGTTTGAGATGACAGCGACCATCTGCCACTTCTTCTATGATCAATTTTGTAATAGCGCCATCATATAAACTTAGGGACAAACACTCATTTTTAATTATTTTCTGGCATGTAATGTTCAGAACTTATAAAATGTTTTGTTTTAAAAGGATTATCATATTTATGTTTTGATAATATTGAATTTTATATAAATTTAACTTTAATTGTTTTGTAACAGATGAAAAGGCCAAATACACGAGTATATTTTTCATGAAGTGAGAAAAATGAAATTGAAGAGATTGTAAGACTATCCCTTATTTTGTACCGAAACCGGAAATCAGCAGCAGTACAGTCCGACGCGACGAGTGTTGGGAGCTCCTATCCCACGGTGTATCTTTGAGCTGAGTTTGACACAACTTCTACAACTTTGATTTATACTGTCTCCAGAAAATAAGAAGTAAGTTAAATTTATCTTCTGGTGCCCTATGTTTGCCAGACATATTAGTCTATATTGCATCATTTTCATGCATGTAATGTAATTTTAAAGACAAGGTTTTACTTGCGAGTGTGTAGCTATGCTGACCAGCTTGATTGTACACATTACATTGGATAGAAATGGGATTGTTTGCGGTTGAATGAGCGAGCGAGTACACATGTCAACAAGGTATGCATTGTGCGTGTATAAAGCGGGGCATTGTTTGTGTTGTGATTCATAGCAAATGAATGCATGGGTCTGAAGTCAACTAGTCAAAGGCTATTTAGAGTTTTCTAATAATTTTTGGTACATTGAGAAGATGAAATAATAATAAGTCCATGAAGATCTTTGTTTATTGAAATAAAATAAAATTTTAAATAAAATGGAGTGGAGAGTGTAGCAATGCCAAACGGCGTTGATTGGGGAGGGGGGAGGGGTCATCAGTTGGGGCTCTGGTCTGAGAATGAGGATCGTCCACATAAACAAGGATATCCTCGTAATTTTTGCAAACATTTTTTTCTTTGGCGGGTGTAGGGTTCACGATTCTTAGTTGTATTTTGATTACCAGTATTGCGGTAATAATAAAGAAAAGAGGACTGGAAAGAGCCAGTGAATAAGAACAAGATATTTGGCATTTGAATGTACAATGTACGTGTACTCGGCTCAGTGCTACCTATTTCCTGTATGCAGAGGTCTAATTATTTCTACTTACAAGAAAAACCTGTATTATTTTTCAGATTTTCCAGTGCAAGGATGGCGGAGAAGGAGAGATTGTAGTATTTGTATAAAGACTGCGATCAGGAGTTCAGAATTCAACAAGCTCTTCATGTATTTTGATGTACATGTATCTGTGTGCAAAGTCAATCTGATGTTCAACATGTGTGTTAGATGATACGCACTGTATTGGGGGAAAGCAAATGAAGTTTAGTCTTGCTTGGTAAACACCCACAAAAAAAGAGACACATTTTTGTCATCATGATGGACTTTGATGAGCTAGCAGCAGATGGGGGCAGTCCTGATGTCATGATCCACAGAGCGGACAGTTTCTATGGCAACCAGGCTCTGCGTACCATGGATGATCTGAGGCAGGTTGGAAAGCTATGTGATGTCATCTTAGATATTGAAGGTAAGATGGTTCATGGATATAAACAGTAGAACAGTCAATGTCCATCTAGTCCAGGTAAAAAATAACTGGTAGATCTACTCTGGTAGTCATTGAAGTAATGTTTACAATTTTTTTCATTTTGTCAAGTTATAATGGTATTGCATTAAGTAGGTCTATGTCTCATATATTTTTTTGAGACACTTCTTGAATTCAAAAGTAGTTTATTTTTGTAGGATACATGTACATACATTATATCCGTCTGTTGGTCTGTATTTTAATCTTCTCTTGACTGAATACGCCAAATCAGAGAGATCACTTGTACAAATGACCCCTAATTATCCACAGATCTTTCCTATTGCTCTCTCTTTCTTTTTTTCTTTTTTTTTCTTTCTTCTTCTTTCTTCTCTCTCTCTTTTACCCCAATTTCCCACTTTTCTGCATATTCCACTCTCTGACTTTAATTGCGTAGGTCGTTTGGGGTCATTCATGGGGTGTTTAGACTTAGAAAATAATTACAAGCTTTTGTTGTGACTTCAAAATGTATAACCAGGGATGCGAGTGAGTGAGTGAGTGAGTGTACTGGGTTTTTTACAGACGTGCATCAACTATCAATCAGATATGATTATTTACGTCTGGGGACCGACCTTTAAACGTCACCATCTGAAAGACGTGACTCAGTTTCGAACCTGCGTTCTCGGCTGAATCAGTTTGTAACTTCCACTGTTAGCTGGATTACAGGCGCACACCACAACGCATAGTTGTGGCGCACGCCACAATGCCAGTTTTCAGGCAATAGCCTGAATTCAGGCCCTGCCGAGTTATTTTCAGACCATAGTTAAGGCTTTTTGTGAACAAATAGCTCATTCTTGGTAATTTTCAGGCCCTCTGATAAATTCTAACTGGCATCCCCGTATAAATCTCCTATTTTCCTTATACCCTGGCAGGAACGCGGATACCTGCGCATCGGATTGTTCTGGCATCCTTCTGCCAGTATTTCTATACCATGTTCACGGGTGAGATGAAAGAGGCCGGTCTAGCAGAGATCACCATGAAGGAGGTCAAACCAAGGGCAATGGAACAACTCATAGACTATGCATACTCAGGTAAGAACATCTTACATCTGATTCATCATGTCAGGGGAAAAAAGGGGATCGCTAGAATTTGTGCAATAATTAAGTTGAATAGGAAAATTGAAAAAGGAAAACACTGCAGAAGGCAATACAACATAGTGCTGTAATTGTACTTTATATTCCATGTATTGAGGGGAGTAAAATGTTTTTTAGATGTTTTTCATTCAATGAAATTCATAAAAATTTAAATCAAGTGTGAATTAAAAAGAATCTTACTTTAAAATTTTATCTTCATGAATATGGAAGTGATTCAATATTTGGTTGGAAAGAAGTAGTTATAATCAGTAACTATTATATTGGGGGGCAAACTGATTATAAACTTATTGAGAATGCCTTATTTAAACACGTTCCTGATTGGTAGTATTGCAGAAAAATATGCATCAACTATTACATGTAGGTAACACAGATAGTCCTATAATAAGAGTGTATTTAATTTGTTTTTAGCTTCAATGCAAAATGAGAAACAAAAACCCCTGAGTGAAGAAGTCTTTCACAAATTTTGTTATTTATCAAGTCGAGGGTTCAGTAACTCAAAGACGTAACTCCATATTTTGCCAAAATGAGTATTTGATATCAAAATGTTCAGAAAAATGTGGGCTTTTCAGGAAACACAAAGACTTAACTCCACTCCACACCCCATTGAAGTCAATGGCAAGTGAAACATAGACTTAACTCCTTAAGGCCCAAGTGCTCAGTGTTACATAAAACCTCTCATTCTCAAAATGGCAAAAATGGAGTTACGTCTTTGTGTCACTGACCCCTCAAAGTATGCTTCTCTGTGGAATCACATATCATATGATATTGCAATGTTTTGCTTGCAGGTGAGTTAATGATTCACATAGACACTGTGCAAGCCTTGCTTAACACGGCATCCATGTTGCAGCTCCCTGACGTACAAGCCTCCTGCTCAGAGTTCCTCAAGAAACAGCTCCATCCTGCAAACTGTCTGGGTAAGACCGTAATCCTTTCTCATGAAACATGCTTCATTTTAGCCATGGTATGATTAGGCACAAATTTAAGAACATTTTCATCTTAGCCTCCACTGTTGGTAAGACTGGGGGCCTTTCTCATGAAACATACCCATTTGTTAGCTAGTGTATGAGTAAGTAAAGATTAGAGTAAAATCTCAACTTAAGCTGTACTGGATTAAATGATTTTTGTAATTTCATGGGGAGACCTTGATGATTGATCCCATCTCATGGTACATCCTCAATTGTTAGTCACTGTACAACTAAGCAAAGATTAGACTACTTTCTCAAAGGATCGATTGAATAGGATGATTCTTAATCCTCGGCTGTCCATTGAATAGAGCTATGCTTGATAACACCTTTGTGGTTGTCTCTAACACACCCTTTTGGGTTTTCTGAAGCAATATCTTTGTATCCATGTTACTTGTCACTGCTTATATCAGAACATTCTGTATTATACTGCTAGTCTGGTGTTTTTATGCCTCCGCAACGAAGTAGCCAGATGCATTATGTTTTCCATTTGTCCGTCCGTCCGTCCGTACGTCCCGTTCTCTCGATCACGTTTTCTCAAGAACCGATTGATGGATTCCCGCCAAAATTGGGTCATGTACAGTATGTATCTTGCAGAGTCAATGTACTGCTTAGATTTTGGAGTCATGAGGTCAAAGGTCACAGGGCTCATTATGTATGCAAAAATAGCACATTATCATTAGAACCGATGGACGGATTATCATCCAACTCAGGACATGTATCTTGCAGAGCCAATGAACTGATTAGATTCAGGCCTGATAATTACCAGATTTAAATGGATTTCCTGATATATATTTTTTTCTCCTGATTTTTTCAGATTTTACCCCTTTTTCCCCTATTTTTCTGAATTTTTCCCAATTTTCTTACTCAAAAAGGGGGGGGGGGGGGAATGTTGTTAGCCTTTTTTCCCCCTGTACCCTACAAAAGAATATTTAAGTCAAGGGGGAGGGTGATTAAGGGAAAAAAAGAAAAAAAAGTTATACTGCTCAGTGCTCACTATCACCCTACTCTAGCATAAGGCATAATGGAAGCCATGATCACATTACATGTTTAATGGCCTAGTCTAAATGTGTGCTCTTTATAACCATCTGTGATTTTTTTTTTTTTTGTCACTGTAGGTATAAGAAACTTTGCAGATGCTCACACGTGTACAGATCTCAAGCTGGCCTCGGGACACTACGCAGTGACGCACTTCAATGAGGTGGCGTATGAAGAAGAGTTCCTACAACTCACCAAGGAGCAACTCTCAGAGCTGCTACAAAGCGAGGATTTAAATGTGGCAAGCGAGGAGGAAGTCTATAATGCAATAATAAGGTATGTAATTGTATGCCCAGTTGTGTTCGTAATCAAATGTGTCGTTGTTAGGTGTCAACGAATCGTCCCTGATGACCAGAGTTACAGATAGACTGCTGATTACTGATCTATATGTAATGATTCTATCACATGGGTTTACCATGAAACAGTCAGTTAAAATTACCACATTAATGACCGTTTTCAAGTTTTCAAGAGATGAGAAGGACCATTTTTATAATACATGACCAGGGAATAATTTTCCTGGTATCGCATCGCAATTTGCTATGCATTTTTGCATGACTGCTATACAAAATATCTTTTGTGTAGCAGTTTTCTTCCATAGAAATGTACAGAATTTCATTTGAAATATTTATCCATCGGCTGAAATTGCTAATCAAAAAATTTGAGGAAAATTATTCCCTGATGACTGTAAAATCATCTGGGTTTATCAATGACAAAGCAGGTTGGGTAACTTTTGTTGAACTTCTTCAAGAAAATATGATTATTGCCTGCGTATTTGTAAAAGAGAAGCCAGTCATAGAGACGAACAAATTATTCCTTTACAATTATTCTATTTCACATGGGTTCAACATGAAAAAACCAGTCAAGGGGACCACATTGGAGAACTCCGTCAAGAGCTGAGAACAACAATTTCTTTAATAGACCAGTTTGTAGATACAATCTGCGCATGCGCAGATAAAGGTCACTTTTACAAAATTGTAAAACCCATGAGACTAATACTGGATATATGCTCACGAAAGTTATGTAATCATTATCCATGCATGCACCTGTGATACATTCTATTGAACAGAGGTGGAAGTAATCCTTTTGAGAGGGCAAACAAAGAATTGCCTCCATGACTTTAGCTGTGATTATTCCAAAAAACACAAAGTGGGATGTATCTATGTTTAAAAGATCTGTGGATATTTGGGGTCATCTGAACCATGTGCTAATGACAAACTGGTCTATTGTAGCTTTTATATCAGACAGGTTCATAACTACAAATAAAAGTGGAAATTATCTTTACTGGATACCTTCAAGAAATGAAAATGCATACATGTTCAAATTACATTCACTCATTTCTTTATACTTTATATTAAGATGGGTTTATCATGACAAAGCCAGCCGAGGTGACCACATTGCTGAACTCCTTCAGGAGATGCGGATGCCTCTGTTGTCTCCAAGGTTCCTTGTGGACATCGTCGAGGCCGAAGATCTTATCAAGCAAGACATGAAGTGTAGGGACCTCCTGGATGAAGCTAAGAACTACTACATGCTACCAGAGAGAAGGAACTCACTGAGGCCCTCACAGATCACTCCTAGGAAGTCAACAGTAGGTGAGTGTTCCACAGGGCCTACATTTTGAGGGGTCAGTGACACAAAGACGTAACTCCATTTTGGCCATTTTGTCTATGTTTCAGTAGCGATTGACTTCAATGGGGTGTTGGGTGGAGTTAAGTCTTTGTGTTTCCTGGAAAGCCCACATTTTTCTGATTATTTTTTGGCAAAATATGGAGTTATGTCTTTGTGTCACTGACCCCTCGATGTATACCACTCCGTCAACTCTATGAAAATTTCTGTTTTATTTTCAATTTTTTTAAAGCAAAGTGATGGACATTTTGTGTGTTGAAGAGCTAATTTTGATCTATGTCTTTTTTTGTATGTTGACTACAATTTTGTAAACATATACATACTTTTGAAAATGTAATAATTACCTATGTCATTTTTGTAAGAGAAGATTTTCATTTTTCATTGTGTTCTATTTCCTGTCTGTATCCTGTATGAGTAGAATTGAGATATAATTAATGAATGAAGTTAAAACATAAAATGAAGAAATAAATAAATGAATGGATAAACATATAAATGAATAAATAACAAGTAGCAAAAAACACTAACAAAGACAACAAGATTGACTAGTTGAGCATTACCTCTGAAAATCATGGATAAAATTATTGAAGGCTAGTTAGCCACATGATGATGTCACGATCATATCTTTTTGTCAGGGGATTACACTCTCAATGATGTATCTTGCATTAAGATATCACATTTTGTAATGTGGCCCGTACACAAATTGCATGTTATTATTTATCTTGTGTGTGTGTATTATATTTTACTAGGATCAATCTATTGTGTTGGAGGGATGGACAGCACAGGACACTCCCTCAGTCATGTAGAGAGACTCAATCTGCTGAGTGGGAGGGTGAGCATTGAAGCAAGTATGAACACCCCTCGGAGTGGAGTGGGAGTGGCTGCCTTAGATGGCAAGCTATATGCAATAGGTGAGTATGCACTTGATAAATACATACACATATCTCCCATGTTTGTTAAAGGTAAAGACCAGTATTGGAAACGCCACAATTTCAAAAAATGAAATGGAAGCTCTTATTACCAATCATGTGAAAGAATATGTTTTGACTAATACATGATGATAAGAATTTTGCTGGGAAACCGCTTACTAATTGATATATTTGGTAAATTAGTTTATCTATTGGACTGTGAGAGATAAACACACGTGTCGCGCATCTGATCAATTCCACAACGTTTCTTTCTCAATGCAATTGCATGACCATAACTGGTCTTTATCTTTAATATACAGGTCCTTTTTGTTGAGCATTGCAAATTAAATTGTGCATATTCAATTTTTCATGTTAAATGTCAACTTCTTTATATTAACTGGAATTAATAAAGTCATGGTATGAATATAAAATGATTTTCTGATGATGTGATTGTGATTGTTTATTTTGCTACAGCATTATGTTAATTTTAAAGGGATGAAGAAGTTGGGACACATTTAACCAACTACCTTGATCTACTCTTAGTCCGGGTTTAAACCTTGACTAATTAGTATGCTCTTTTTGACATGTGAATGTCTCTTGTTATAGTATAATGACCTAGAGCAGAACTGGGTTTGCAGGAACCAAAATATACACTGGAACTCATTATTTCTTTGAAATCTTGCTTTTTTTTTTTTGTCATGTAGGTGGAAACGATGGAGGCAAATACCTGAGCACAGTGGAGATGTTTGACCCAGCCACCAGGATGTGGCATAGAGTAGCATCTATGCACCAGGTCAGACGCTATCACTCGGTGGCTATTCTTGATAGACAGCTGTTTGCAGTGGGTGGCTACGACGGGTCCACTGTCCTTGATACAGTAGAGGCTTATGATCCCCGTACAAACCGCTGGAGTGAGTAGACTATACTTACATTTTATGACTTTTACCTTGTCTGCACTATCTGTTTGTTCTAATATGATTCTTTCTGAAGCTCTTTCAACTAATGTTGCAGAATTATTGCAGAAAGAAGAAAGCAGCATGAAAATCAAATTAGAGGAAAATTCAACCACCATAGCAAAAGATATTTTGATCTTTTATCTTTACTTGTGCGTAACTGGGTATGGGCTTGATTTCTGAGTCATAGAAGTTACTTCGGAGACAAACACACATTAAAATTCAGCAGAATGCATGCTTCTGTTATGTTTATATTTTGAAGCCCCTCTGCACTACTTATAGCTACTTGCGCCCTCTGTATAGCAAACAATGCCTAATCGGTGACCATTGGTCTCCCATGATCCTCTTTTTCTTTTGTTAATTGAGAGCTGATTTGATGAGATAACTACCTGTCAGTGACCATGCAGGGTGGTCTAATCCCTCCTGTAAACTATTACAGATGGGCTTCAAGTGGAAGTTTACCCTGTTATTGAATTGGCAACCTTGTGACGTATCAAAAGATGCCTTTCTTTTTATCTATCTGTTCAAATTATTCACTGTAATTATGTTGTGAATTCAGGAAGGATAGCAAGTCTTGAGGGCAAGCGTCGCCATGCAGGTGTAGCGGCTCTCCATGACTGCATGTATGCTACAGGAGGTAGCAACGGTACTCTCTATCTTCAGGAATGCGAGAAATATGACCTCAGAATGAACAAGGTAAGAACCTGTATGATTGCCTCTGTGACATGACTAGCACATCTCCTTTGAGGCGTACCAATTGGTTTTCCTCTATTTGTAAGCCTAACAATTCAAAGTTATTGTCCTAATGGGGAATCATGAATATAAAAATAAAGGCATCGTTTAACAATGTTAAATCTGAGATGTTCCTATGTATTATCAGTGTCTGTGATATGGTCTAATATTGAAGCCCTAAAAAAATTGTACTACAAAATGATCATGAAGTGCCTCAAAAAAGTACAAATCTTTGAGTGCCCGGTTTTACCATACTCATTTTCCCCAATAGACTGTAGTGTCATAAAAACTGTTATAAAAACAAAAAATAAAATTTTGATTTCCAATCATAAATATCTTGATAATCAGACAGACGATCGGCTTGTAAAAGTCATGGGATTCCTGACTGACCTAAAGGTTTATAATTATGATTGCAGCATGAGCTAAATCCAGGATTTTGTTTCAGAATCTGAGGCAATGTTACCAAGTCACTTTAATAAGTCAGAATGAGTTAGGAGAGCTTGGGTATTTGTTTCTATTCATTGTGACTGTGTCATGGACCAGTGATGGCCTGGTGGTAGAGTCACTGCCCGGCAAGCAGTAGATGGCAGGTTCAATCCTGCTGGCTTCAAGATTTCTTCTGACTTGTTTTCAATTACAATCTTTATCTACTGGGTACAAGCCAAACAGTTCTCTACAGCAATTGAAACTTCTCCCATCATTCAAAAAGAGGTGCAGAAAGTTTGTATCCTCAATAATCGGTTAAATACACTCGAAACAGAGCTGTGACACAACCTGAAATTTGTTGGTAAAAGCCTGAAACTGTTTGAGCAATTTTATACATGCTCTTCATTGCAGAAGGGTATAGATCGATATGTTCAATCATTGTTTTATCTACACACATTATCGGTTGTAGAACACCTACCCCCTGGACATCCACCCCCCGGATAACCACCCCATAGGACAACTACTACCTACGACAATCATCCTCTTGGACACCTACCCCTGGACAACTATCCTAGGGGGTAGTTGTCCTAGGGGGTAGTGGACTGGGGGGTGGTTATCCGGGGGGTGAATGTCCAGGGGGTAGGTGTTCAGATACGCATATTATCATGTCAAGGCAAATCTTACGGAATGCTAAGACTATATGAAACTGTTGTGTGGTTTTGTTGGCAGTGGTTACCCATTGCCAGTTTGAGTTCAAAGAGTGCAGAGGAATACCTTACAGTAGGCCTAATAATTAGCCAATTTAAATAGATTTTTTTCTCCTTTTTTTTTTACTTCCCGATTTTACCCCTGTTTTCCAAATGTTTTCCTTATTTTCCCTATTTTTCCCTATTCTTAACCAAAAGTGGGGGAATGTTTTAAGATGCCTTCTTTTTCCCCAGAATTTTGGGTTGGGTGGTTGAGGAAAAGAAAAAAAAAATATATATTTTTAGTGCTCCCTATCACCCCTCCCTTACAGATTGCTAAGACTATTAATGAAACTGTTGTGTGGTTTTGTTTGCAGTGGTTACCCATCGCCAGTTTGAGTTCCAAGAGAGGTGGAGGAGGCCTGGGAGCAGTAGGGGGCAGACTGTATGCTTCTGGAGGCTACGATGGCCAGGCAAACCTCAACACAGTCGAAAGATACTACCCAGAGGAAGACAGGTGAGAAAAGTGAATGCTCCCCAGGGAGTGGAGAATGTGCATATATTGTGTGCGGGTAAGCCTGAATCCGATGACCGGGGTAATAATATATCTGTAAAGCGCTTTGAGAGGACCTTTGGTCCTGAAAAGTGCTTTATAAGAAATAACTATTATTATTATTATAGGGGAATAGGGGGTCCTGTCTTATAAAGAGTTGTGATTTTGTTCAAATTAATCACAATTGAATTAATCAATTGCAAGTCTGTACTAAAGATTTACATAAATACAGAAGTTTGTAAGTTTTGTGATTGATTGAAAGTCTTGTGATATAGCTGGATCATTTATAACTCCTTTGAGGACAGGGCCCAGGATGACGTTAGTTTTATCAGATGTTTCTTTTATAGACCGGCTACTTTAAAAAACACTGCTTTTAATTGCCACCAGTTGAAAGAACACAATTACCACCAATATTCTAATATATCTGGGTTAGCTTTGGGTTCCTGAACCTGAAATTTACTTCTTTAATGTTTCTAGTATGTAATAGGAATGCCATACCTGCCAACCCTTCCGAATAATCCGGATATTCTGTTTTTCTAGATTTTTAGGACCCCAAAATCCGGAATATTCATTTTTTTTCAAAATTTCGATTTTTTTTTTTGTTTTGTTTTGTTTTTTGTTTTGTTGTTGTTGTTGTTGTTGGGTTGCTTAAGCCAAATTAAGCTTGTTTTATCATATGCCGCGATGTGAGAGTTCACGTATTGCGTGCGTTGAAGGGCTGCATGATTAAGCAGCGAATTTGTATTCGCTTTTTTGCACAGATTTACCGCGTATTGCCAGTTACACTGCCGCTGCATATCCAAACGCCTGTTAAGGGTACAGATTTCTTATTTTCGAAGACATACCGTGCTAAAAATTCTTAATTCTCATTTTCAAATGTTGGCAGGTATGGAATACAGCAATCTACAGTATCGTCTGTGCACAAATTTTGTAACGATTTTGGCACAGTTATGCACATTTTTATCTCCAATCAAAGTTTTTAATTAACTTATAGAAGGAAAATTACTCTGGCAATTCTTCTTCAGATTTGTTCATTTAAAAATTTCTTCCATGATTTTCACCCACTTCAGGTGGACATTTATGGCTCCAATGTTAGAGTGTCGGAGTGGGCATGGCGTCAGCGTCCTGGGCTCTACCATGTATGCGGTAGGGGGTCATGACGGGGTGCACTACCTGAACACGGTGGAGGCGTTCGACGATCATTCGGGGGAGTGGCACCGGAACAAACCCATGGGCACGAGTCGAGCCGTGGTTGGAATCGCAATACTTACCAACATTCCTGTTACGAACGTTTGATTCTACTTGTCTATCATATTGGCTTCTTTGAAATAATTTGTATCTGCAAGGAACAAGATGAAGTTCCAGGAGGGTAGGATATGACCAGACAAATTCTGAGTGCAAGAAACCCTTCACAGAATAGCCAGTGGTCCAGATCCATTAAAACGTCATGTTGTTGGTTGGTTGGTTTTACCTGACTGCTAAGAAAGCATGTGTATGCTTGTAAGTAAGCAACCAGGGGACCGACAGCTTTAAGCCCTCTCCGGGGGACTTGGTAATAAGGATTAATGCCTTACCAAAGGGCACTAGCGCATCAACTTAGTTTTCAGCTCGAGACCTCCCAGTTACAAGACCTTTGATCTACTGCTGAGCCATCACGCCTCACGTGAGGAGATCTGCTATTATCAGGTCCTTTGCACAATTAGCCATTCTACTCACATGCCATCAGAAGGAGAGAAACTGTACAACTTGCACACAGGAAACGTTGCAAAAGTCCGAAGTGTTTCAGATTGTTGAACTTCTTCTCATATACATGTACCATATTGCCACCAGAGTGTACTAACACAGAATTACGACTGCAATCTTTAAGTTGTGTGTATTTCATTCAATGATAGTGGTAACTAGGGCAGTGGCTTGTATACCAGTAGATTGGATGCTATGTTCCTATTTGAGTATTATTGTGGATTGGTCAGTATTCATTTTATTTTTGACCACCCAACATGTCATATATGAATTGTTTGAATATATTATGATAAATGTATGGTGCTCTATTTCTAATATTATTGTGTTATTATATCCTGATGAATATCAGTTTGAGGAAGAGGCGAGATGTCATGTCTTTCACTATTCTTCCATTTGATACCAGTATGCAATTCCTATCTTTGAGGCGATGGTAAAGGCCCATTCACACATAAAGCCGAAACTCACTACCAAAAAAAACACTACTGCAAAATCAAATAAGATGAGCATAGAGCTTAGAAGTTGCTTACAAATTCAAATTTGTTAGCTATTTCAAGGAATGTCCCATACATTACATTCTTACTACCGGTATTGTTTATAGCCATCATGATTTAAAGCTTATCTGGCGTAGTTTACATGAGGGATTAGACTGCCCTGCAAGGTCACTGGACAGATGGTTATCTCATCAACTCAGCTCTCAGTTAACATAAGAAAAAGAGGATCATGGGGGACCAGTGGTCACCGATTGGGCATTGTTTGTTATATAGAGGGCGCAAGTAGCTACAAGTAGTGCAGTGGGCCTTTAACAAGCTATCTTGAATACAAAAAAATTGTTGTTACAGGGTCCCACTGGATGTTGTCTCTTGTTATTCATTTACAGGCAAAGATTTGCTGCAGTGTTTTTTTTAAAATATTTTTTTGTTGTTGATGGGTTTCCACATTGTGTGTGAATGGAGCTTAATTTGTATTAGCTTGTACTTGCCAAGTGGAGTGTATTTTGTAATTAATTTAACTTTGTCTATATTTTGTACATTGAGCATTTTTGTTTTGCTCTCCAACTTGACAACTTGTATTGACGATTGTGTATTGAGGTCTGCCGTGATCATTCATAAGAAGTGTGGAAATACATGTACATGTAGCTCAGTAAGAAGACAAATTCTTTTGAATGATGAATAGACTGATGTTTTCAATATTTAATCTGAAAATTCCCAGAGCTTAACTAAATCTTTCTAAATCAAAAGCAGAACAAAAGTAGATGATCCTTGCAAATGATATGATTTTCCAAGCATCCTTGGAAGATGTTTTATAGAAATTTAATCATTTAGTCTTTCCATCAAGATGACACATGATATTATGCAATTAAGTCATGTTTGCAAGTGCAGTCGTGAATAAGCTTTGCACACACGTCACGGAATAATTTGATAACAAACAAGACTTATCAAGTTCATTATCCAGCTCTCTGTGACTTAACGGACTCCAGTATGAGTATGAAGTCAAGAAATAAGCAACAAACCTGATAAAAAATACACCTAGTGGGCATGGGCACCGAGGCTGTCATTTGCTTTTGTTGAATAACATCACACAAGCGTTATGACTGAATTATAACATTTGGTGTAGAATCCTTAATCACCATACTACATGTCCAGTGCAAATCTTGGGACCAAGGTAATTATCTTGTTATATCAGGGTAAGAAAACAAAGAATATTAACGTTTTATTTACCCAGGGTAGCCACTTCAGTTATGAAACTGTTCTTACAGCGGGCCCTGCATAACATAATATGTTATTACTACCCTTCTTCAATCTAATATGCTGAGCACCTAGCTAGAAGGCAGAAGGTCCCATTGTTATAAGTCTTTGGTATGACTCGGCCAGGGTTCGAACCCAAGACCTCCCGTTCATGAAGCAGGCGCTCTATCCACTGAGCCATCATGTCAGAGCGGGGACCAGCGAAATCACCTTGTTATATTAGAGCTGTTTATACCAAGGTTCCCCTCCCTTATTAGAAATGTTAAGGCTTATCTGGGAACGGTGTTTATCGCTGTTCTGTCTTCGATTGATATCTGTGCAAGAGCATTCCACTTCCCTAGAGAAAGGAGCTTCCTTGAAACAGAGTGAATGTACATGAATATAAAGAGTGCTATTCATCTATCCTCGTCAGCATTATTTCTATTTGGGGGACGTTGAATTGTGTAAAATGTACAATAAAGAACATGTAAATGTATGTTATATGTAATTTATAATCGTCTAGAAATCAAGTTTTATGCAATTTAAAGAGATGTAAAATAAGATGGACAAACTATTGTAAACTACCATTTGCCTCTTTAGTTTGTGTGTCTCCTGATGACTGGCTATTTGTCAAGCTATTTTGTGATAATTTAACATCGTTTGATGCTCCCATTTTTTTTTTATTATGACTGTGTGCTGCTTTAAAAGTATAGTTCATGTGTATTTGTACTATCTTGCATTATGCGAGTACAAAAACATTTTCCAAATATGAAATCATGGATTCATATTAAATTGCTATGAAATTATCATTCAATCATTCTTAAATGTTATGTCTGTCATATTAACATAATTTGTTTAAGTGCTATTAAAATTATTGTTATATTTCAGTATTGAGGAGTCATAATATTTATTACACGTTGGCATAATATAAAAAAAAGATAATGCATTTATCCATGTACATGTCATGTACTGCCTGCATATGTGTATTTCACAGATACCATCGACTTGTTTATTAATTTGTCAAAATGATGAATTAATAAATGTCCCTTTTTTCCGACATAAGTTTTGGTCTTGTATGTCATTTGTCGATTTGCTTTTTGTAATAAAATTTGAGGCAAATTTGTAGAAAATGTTGATGTCTGTAGTCCTTTATTGAGAGTAAATTTCAAGAACGTAGATTTCTTACATCTTTATAATATACTAGTTCTCACTTTGTTCTCACTTTATAATGATGCTCAGTGGCAGAACACTACTTTGAAATTAGAAAAAAAAATCCCCCTCAGCAGCACTTATATCGAGTTCATATTAAAATAACACGAGTCAATCTGAATCGCAGCATTATAAAGATCTTCTAGGGCGAAATATATAAGTTTCAATATACACACCACACACACCAATATATATGAGAGGGACAACTTGCATCAACATTACCTCTAGTTTGCTAATTTCTTTCAAAACCATTGTTTGCTTTAATTTAATTTGTTTGATTATGTATAAAGGCAATATTTCTATTAGGCCTAAAATAAAAACTTGTTGTATTGCCCTTTGGGTGCCAAAACATGGGTCTGTCTGTCAGAACTTTTTTTTTTGTCACCCATTTTGGACCGATATTTTGTAAGATTTGAATAAAAAACGGTTAAAAAAAAAAAACCTTTTTAAAATGACGACCGTAGATTTTCAGATTTTTGGGTCGGTCGCAAAGAGCAATAGAGTGGTGAAGTGTGACGTCATCGAAAATCTAATTTTAGAATTTTTCAATTTTTTCTTCATTTTCCGAAAGAGCATCAAAAATAATGTCCAAATGTTGAAAGCCAATTCAATATGTTAAGTATTGTCCGAGATATGACCATCTGATTAAATATACTCCCCATAGGAGCTCAGTGTTGCATATGCTCTGGCTCCTAACCACTAGGAGCCAGAGTATATAACACTGAGTTCACATAGGACATATATTTATTCAGATGGTCATATCTCAGCCAATACTTAACATATTCAATTGGTTTTCGACATTTGGACATTATTTTTTATGCCCTTTCGGAAAATGAAGAACAAATTGAGAAATTCTAAAAATAGATTCTTATGACGTCACAGCTTCTGTACTCTATACAAGTTTTTATTTTAGGCCTTATTACCAGAGCTCATAACTCCCTTTAGAAGATACACACACACACACACACACACACACACACGCTCATTCTCTCAAACAGAATAGCTTAGCTCAAAGCTACTAATTGATTCATTTGGGTGAAGACAACAGGAATTCAAATGTTCTATCCCCCCCCCCCCCCCATTTTGTTTATAACTGACGGACCATAATGGATATTTTCACACAGAAACTTTTAAACAAAACTTCAATGTTCACAGAGAGAACTCTCAACTGGCTAATGTATTCCTCAGCTTTATAATCAGTTACAAAATGCACAACACAAGGAAATTGTGACTATAAAATACAATATTTTGAGAGATGAATCCTACTGTGTTTTTTCCTTCTAATTATCTTGCTGACCTGAACAATATGGATTGAGCTTGCTTCAGTACCCCACAAATGTTGCTCAGACCCTCTCAAACCATCTCAACGTAATAAGCCACTTCAGAGATAGCAATTCTACAAATGACGTCCAAATATCCACAGATTTTTTTTTACACATGTAGACTTCCTGCTTTTTGCATTTTAGAATAATCACTGCCAAAGTGATGGAGGTGCTTCATCAATACATTTTGTTTGCCCTCTTGAAAAGAATACTTCCACCCGTGTGTCATATAATGTACCGCCAAGGCATATATGAATAATGATTAAATAACTTTTAGAAGTCGTCCTGATGGGTTTTAAAGTTTTGTACTAATGACCTTTATCTACCCATGTATAGATAGTTACTATCTCTGAAGAGGCTAAGCACAAAGAAATAAATGAAAATCAAATACTACAATTTTTTTTGGTGTACTTTCTCATGTATTTTCTCTCTCTTAAACAAGATATCTAACAAAAAATGGCAGACTGTGGTATATACTGTACTGTGACCGTCATTGTCTAATTCATGATGATTTTCTGGGCGATAAAATTCCCACATCCACACAGCTTGTAGTGGCATACTGTACATGTACATGTATTCAAGAATCACGGTAATTGTTCGCTACATTTGCACAAAAAATCCATTGTAGTCTATCTCAATGTACATGAATCCATTTGGAATGAATTTTGGTTTGTGTCTAACACAAATTAAATTAGGCACAGAGATTACATCAAATTGTGCTTTAAACACAACATAACATTCTACAAGTGGAATCATATATTGACAGCAGAATTACATTGAGCACATGATTATCTTTAAATAGTGCAAGTCCTGTGAATGACATTGTGACAGGGAACATAAATTTAACAAGGAATTGTATAGACCAAAGTCCCGTCCTACAAAGAGCTGATATCAATCGCAACTTATTTACGATTGATATCAATCGCAACTATGTAGTTAAGAGATGGGAGACTGCAAAGTTGCGATTGAATGATCAATCACAACTCTTTGTAAGATGGGGCCCAGACGGCATTAGATCTATTCATATACATTTCCCTCGGTGCAGAGTTTGTAGTCCATGACTTCATCTTTCTTGAACCAGAGGTTGATCTCCTTGTCGGCCGACTCCACGCTGTCTGAGCCGTGGCAGATGTTGCGACCGAGGTCGATTGAGTAGTCCCCACGGATGGATCCAGGCTTTGAAAGAAGCTGTTGGAAACAAGGGAAAAAGAAGGAGACATCACAGAAGGCTTGTAATATACAAGTACATGTAATAGGCCATTTTTGTAAGGTAATCAAATTTAAAACACAAGTCTTTGTGAAGTGCCTCGTTACAAATTAAGCTATTACAAATTATCTCATAAACCCGGTATGAATGATTATATTTTACTACTCAGAATGCGAATTGCATAAAGTCCATGTTGTTTGGTAGAACAAGCCATAATGTTTGTCCTACCTGGCAATAATTTAATGTATGCCATTGAGCAACAAATTTCATTCAGTCCCATGAAGGTCAACTTATACAAGGTTGACTGTATATTGAAACTGGGGGGAAAAGTTAAGCATGATTCATTACTACAAGTTCTCTTTATCAATCATTACCAGAATATTAATTTGTGCCCCCTGCCCTCTATACCCAGACACATACAATTTGAACTTTATTTACTTCCTCTCCCTTCAACCAACTTTCTATCTTCGCTTTATGACTTCTTCTGTGATTTCTATGAAAATGATATTAAAAAAAACTGGAAATAATGAAATAGTTTTCTACTCACAGGGTCAGTCTCTCCAAGCATTACACGACCCTGCTTCACGACATTCTTTCCTTCCCATACCTGATCATGAAACAAGAAGTTTTAAATGAAACAGTGAAACATCAGCCAGGTAAACAGAAATTAAACATGAATAATCACAAGTCCAAGGTACATGTATCTGCTCTGTGTATGCCCCTACATCACCAAGTATCATGGAAAATGACATTGATTAATAGTAAAAGCACAGTGTATGATCATTATCCTCAACGTTTCATCTGATGCAAGTCGTAGTAGGACTCATATAATTTATGCAAGCTTCAGAAATACTAATTTCTTTGCCTGCACTAACTCAACATCTGAAAATGGTGGGTGGGGCTGAGTCATAGGGTTTGTAGCCATTGGTCTGCAACCAGTTTGTCTACTACCCAATTAGTTTATTTTCATATGGTCTACACCCAGCCCATCTACAATCCACATGGTCTCATAATATGGTCTGATGACCATTTAGGATTTTAGGCTAATACATGTACTCATTTGGTCTAATCAACAATAAGTCTACTACCCATTTGGTCTATTGCTCATTTCGTCTAATTATCAGTTTGTCTAATGCCCATTTCGTCTTCTTTCCATATAGTCTAATAATCATTTAATCATAAATGATAATAATCATCAGATGATTATTAGACCTTTGTAGCACCTGAGGTTTTCCTTTGAAGAAAAATTAATATTTTCTTCCTATGGGTAATTTAGTTTAAGTCAAATCAATGGTCCGTTTGATACCTATTCAAATAATTTAAACCCTGACCGTGCGTCTAAAATCACTTTAAACAACAAAGGAAATGGATTTCAGTCCATCTTCCTTTGTTAAACCCAATTTTGAACAAAGGTCTTAACCCTGTGTCTAGTTTAGATTTTAGTAGTGCTCCTCACTTAGTTCACTTACGCTAGGCCCCCCTCCTCCCCCCCCCCCCCCCCCCCCCCCCCCCCACTTGCCTCCCTCCTTTTCATTGTAAATACATGTAGTCTATAAAGGTTTTTACCATTGCAAAGACTGGTCCACTGGAGATGAACTTGATAAGTCCAGGGAAGAATTTCTTAGTTTTGAGGTCACCATAGTGAACGTTAAGGAGTTCCTCATCGGGCTGTTGGAAGAAAGAACAATTTTTTAAATAAGTTTTTCAAACAAGTTCATGAACGAAGAAAAAAGGGTTTTTACTTTTGTTCTTACCCTGCTGAAAACTCCAGTATAGTAAAATATCCTCATGACGAGGTAATAGTGGCAGTCTAACTTCTTTGTATTTTATCAGGGATTTTCTTTAGCCCTTTACTGTAAATGCTGTTATTTTCGTGTGATTAATTTTTCGTGCTGAGCGACCCCAAAACATATTCGCTGGTTCTTAAATTCGCAATTGCATACTGTACCGACGGTGGGGTGCGGGTTGGCCTGTGTGAAGTTAGCGACCGCGCCGTAATGATGAATTGCTTTTCAACTTTTAATGAGGATCTAAGCAATTCATCATTACGGGCGCTTACATTACACACACGCGCGTCCATAGGTACGGTATGCAATTGTATTGTGCAGTAGTTTGCAGTGAATCCCACAAGATGAATATTATAAGTCTTCACTTTTAGAAATAATACTCCAAAAAATAGGAGAAATTTGACATAAAACAATATTACAAACACATCAACTTTTAAATCATGGCCATTAACAGCACGTTTTAACAATTGATGAAGATTTAGTAGATATTATATGGACCTGTTTTAGTAGGGTATCTCCACGCCAGATTTACGGGTCAAAGTCTGGATGTGCTTCTGAACTAGCGCCACAAATATCAACGGCATGTTTTCAATAATATGTGAAAAATTATAAATGATCATGATGATAAGCATTGATCAGTTGATTAACTATAGACTACCGTAGACTCTATTAATTTTTCTAAAGTCTATATTCAGTAGGGGCGCGGCGCTGGTTCGAGAATAAGGATCGTCTTCATAAACGAAGATCGTCTTTGTAAACCCGGACTAATGCGTCTTCAAAAACAAGGCTCGTCTGCAAAAAAGCAGATGTTCCATATTTTTGATCGGCACATTGGCGATGCAAAAAATGGATTACAGGATGATTTTCTTGATGTAGACTATTTTACATTGACTTTGTACAGAGACCTTCACATTATGAGCAATAAATGCTTGGAAAGACGGACAACCCATAAAAGTAGACGGTCAACTAGACCTAGAATCTAAGCTTAATTTCCCCTGGGGAATCCAAATTTGGCATTGCCAGCGGGCGGTCCGGTAACCCGAAACCCGCAGGGCGCCGATGAAAAAAAAACGTCGGCGAAAATGCAGACGATCCTTGTTTATGAGGACGCATTTTGTCCGCGTTTATGAGGACGATCCTCATTCTCGGACCAGCGCCCTATTATTAGTGTGGGGTCACTGGGGGGCATTTAAAAATTAGATAAGATGAAAAATCAATTTATACCCAATTGATTTTCTTCATTACTGCCGTTTCTATCATATCACCCAGCCCTTGCTAGTTCCGATTCTACTATTTCTAGCCAAGCGAGAACAGCCGCCAGACTAGCCGGCGAGTCTGGCCACGCGTCACCCCCTTCCTTCCCATGTGATCCCATACCACATGTTATGTATGTAAATTGTATTACCTTCATCATCTTCCCAGCGACCATTTTATATCCACGCTTCTCAAAGCGATGGACGATGTCCCCGACAAGTCCACGCTGTACCCCGTCAGGCTTCACCATTATGAAAGTCCTCTCGCCATTCTTTGGTACTTCAGCCATCGTGTTAAAAAATGCAGAAAATACTGAGAGAAGAGTACAGACCATGTGGAATACGTGGAACATGAAGATCATGAGAAACCCGGAAGAGATCGATAGGTACGTCTTTGTGTGTACGTCGTATGCGTGCGTACGTAGTACACACGTGGAATGCGCTTGTGCATTGAAGTGACGTCATTGCAGATAGTCTTGTAGGGATTTTTGTATAAACGTGACCCCTAATTGGTATTTTTGACCGCCGCAAAGCGACCGGTAGCGCATATTTTATTTACACAACTGTTTAGCCACTTCAGTCAAATATACTGTGCAAACGACTAGAGACAGAGTCTAGCATTATCCTTAGCAGTTTTGTTGGATTGCTGGAGCTGTACATGTGTACATACTCGTTATATTTTGTCTTCTCTTTCATTATGTATTTCTGTGTTCTCCTTTAATGTATTCTCTTCTCTTTTGTCATGTATTTCTTCTTTTTCTTCAATCTATCCTTGTTTTCCTTCGTTATAATTATATTTCTTTGTTTTTTTCTTCAATCTATCCCCCAGTTCTCCTTCGTTATGCGATTTCTTTGTTTTAATCTGATAGATTCCCTTTCTCCTTCTTTATGAATTTCTCTGTTTTTCCTTAGGTTAGATCTATGATCCTCTGAGCTCTTCAATTATGTATTTCTATGTTCTTACTTTGACTAATCTTCTTCTCTTTCCTTATGTATTTCCTTGTTTTTCCTTCTCCATTTCCTCTCCACTATCCTTGTTTTCCCCTTTTCTATCATCTTCCCTTCCCTAGGTACGTGCTTGCACGACGCATACATAATGCGCTGACGATTTAGACTCTTTCACCAGAGCACTTTTTGGAATATTTTCGCAAAACTGCTAAACAGTTGTGTTAAAAAATATGCGCGACCCGGTATATGGAAATTTTTTGAGGCTTAAAGGTAAAGACCAGTATTGGAAACGCTCCAATTTCAAAAAATGAAATGGAAGCTCAATTATTACCAATAATGTGAAAGAATATGTTTTGACTAATACATGATGATAACAATTTTACCGGGAAACCGCCTACTAAGTATTGATATATTTGGTAAATTAGTTTATCTATTGGCCTGTGAGAGATAAACGCACGTTTCGCGCACGTGTGCATAGTCCCATATTACATCTTTCTGTGTACAGTACTTGTAACTTTACGAAGACTGGGCCAAATTTCTTATCATTTTGATGATTCCAGAACCTTGCAGTACACACCAATACTTATATGCTAGATGATCAACCTTTTCTGATCGATTCCACAACGTTCCTTTCACAATGCAATCGCATGACCATAACTGGTCTTTATCTTTAAACAAAACTCTCTTTATGACAATATAATAATGACACCTCGCCTCTTTCCGCACCTTTCACATTTCAGTGGCGGATCCAGCGTTTCAGGGGCCACTTGCCCGAGTCCCTCCGGCCGCCCCCCCCCTCCCGACCGGCAAAAAGAAGGGGAACAAATCTGGGAGAAATAATGACAGAAAAAGGGGGAAGGGAAAGGGGCAGAAAAAGGAGGAAAGAATAAAGTAAGGATATAAAGGGTCATAAAAAAGGAATGAAGAAAAAAAAAAGAAAAGAAAAAAGAAGGAAATAAAGAGGCATCCTTGGACTGATGATTTTTTTTTTTGATGCAGGATATAATACCGATTGTATAGGGTGTTTCTAATTTCGAACGGTGCTATATGATCATTATCTATATGGTATTAACTTTTATATCCTGCATCAAAAATTTGTTGGCTTTTGATTGGTTGAGAGCTCGTCACATGACCAAAAATATTTGACTTATTTTTAGAAAGTACTATATGAGAGTACTATTTTGGTTTACTATTTGAGAGTTGAAAAAAAATGTGATTTTGTTTTGTTTTGAATTGAATCAATTTTTTTTTTCAAATCTTAATTTAATGAAAATAAAATATTTTAATTTTTTTAGAATTGACATTTTTTTGTTCTAATTTTTTTTTCTCCAAAAAATGTTTTTTTTTTTTTAAATAATTTTTTGATGCAGGATATAAAACAAATATACCATGCCTTCTATTCGAGGTACTGGTTAAACTATGGGCCTCGGTGACTCCAAAAGTACCATTTGCTTCGGGGCTGCGCCCCTCAGCAAATAGTGCTATTGGAGTCACCTCTTGCGCATAGTTTTAACCAGAATCTCTCAAGGCAGTGTATATTTATTAACTTCTATAATTTTTTATGTAGGAATCAAAATCAGTCAAACAAGAATAGTCTAGTGTGCTATAAAACTTTTGGGGGGCATATATGACAGAAGTTTGTAATGTTATCATCTTCAGCAATAACACCAGCAATAATACATTTCTCAATACAGAATTATGTTTATGGTAAAATCTTGAACATGTAATTCATGGACAATGATAACATTGATCATCATAACTATAGCACATAATGCTCTACATAACTATACAACTACATCACAGCGTTTACAAAATAAATAATACATCGTCTTGTGATAATTAATTAAACTAAGTACAAATTAAACGAGTGAAAAAAATGGGGGTTTATTCCGGGAAAATATATGTCTCGATAGCATTGTATTTATATGCAAAACATCAGACAAGTTAAGGTGACGAAAGGAGTCAAATAATAGCATATGTAGCTCGTCTACATTGAAAGTCTGCCCTGCCACTTTTCTGATCATACACATATCAGGATGATAATATATATTCAAAAATATAATATCAATAGTATATATAATTTTTATGTGACATAAATCAAACCAAGTAGCACGATGGAAGATGAAATAGAAGAAGATCACAAGCAGACAACATTCTATGAACCTGTAAATGAGAAAATTCAGGGTAGACAATCTCAACAGGCTCATCAGGCTATATCAATACAATATGGGTGCTTTCCTATTAGCATACCGTAACGTCATCATACTGTTTCCCCTCGCTTGTTTGTCACGTATCAGTGGCGGATCCAGGAATTTCTTAACGGGGGGGGGGGCACAAAATCACACGGGCTGAAATATAACGAAAAACGATGGAGCGAAGCGTAAGCGGCGAGGGAGCAGAGCGACCATGCAAGCGGGAATGGGTCTAGGAGGGGGTCAGAATGGTTCCATGACACATGCTCCGCCGACGATCAGGGGCTAGACCTTTTTCAGTGGGGGGGGGGGGGTGTAGAGGCCAACGATTACCGACAAAAGCAGCCACCAATTACCGACAAAATTAAATTTCCAATATCTACAAAGTCAACCCTATAAACCTGGGGCCGAAGGCTAAATTGTTTTTCCTATGGACTATATCTATAGGACTTGCATATGCGCAAAATGGTCATTTTCCTCGACGACATTAATATACGAATTATTTCTTAATTTTAGTCAGCATCATAGCTATATATTTTAATGCAGGCGCGGAGCTAGGATCTTATTTTAGGGAGGGGCGGTAGTGAGCAAGAGAGTCACTTCCCCCTCCCGCGCGAAGCCCGGAAGTTTTGGTTTTATTAAATTATTAGAGAAAGAAGACGATTCGTTGTACCGTTTTCGACTTTTAATAAACCCTATTAATTTTGTCTGAATTCAGTTTCCCCCTCTCGTGCGAAGCGCGGAAGCTTTGACGTTTCCTTAAATTATTAGAGAAAGAACACGATTCGTTGTACCGTTTTCGACTCTAAATAAGCCCTATTAATTTTGTCTGAATTCAGTTTCCCCCTCTCGCGCGAAGCGCGAAAGCTTTGACGTTTCCTCAAGTATTAGAGAAAGAACACGATTCGTTGTAACGTTTTCGACTTTTAGTAAGCCCTATTTGTCTGAATTCAGTTTCCCACTTTCGCGCGAAGCGCGGAAGCTTTGACGTTTCCTTAAATTATTAGAGAAAGAAGACGATTCGTCGTTCCGTTCTCGACTCGTCTAAATGAAGTTTCCCCTTCCGGAATTTTTGGTATTTCATCACAATATAGAGAAAGGAAGACGATTCCTCATACCGTTTTCGAATCTTATTATTATTAAGCCCTATTCATCTGAATTCAGTTTCCCCCTCTCGCGCGAAGCTCGAAAGCTTTGACGTTTCCTCAAGTTATAAGAGAAAGAACACGATTCGTTGTAACGTTTTCGACTTTTAGTAAGCCCTATTTGTCTGAATTCAGTTTCCCACTTTCGCGCGAAGCGCGGAAGCTTTGACGTTTCCTTAAATTATTAGAGAAAGAAGACGATTCGTTGTACCGTTCTCGATTCGTCTAAACGAAGTTTCCCCTTCCGCGCAAAGCGCGGAATTTTTGGCGTTTCATCACAATATAAAGAAAGGAAAATGATTCGTCGTACCGTTGTTGACTCTTAAACCTTGTCTGAATTTAGTTTTCCCGAAAATTTCAATTTCTGATTTCTTTAGCTGATATTATAGGAAAGTGAAACTTCGAGAAAATACAAGTATTGTAGTTGTAGTCACTCTCGAAGTCGTCACAGCGGATAAGAAGTCGCAGTTCGTAGGGAAAAAAACTTGTCGGCCGACCGACAATATTCATCTCACCGACTTCAAACTTATGCATTGATGAGGATCGAGCAAGAATACCGACACAGCTGACCCGACACAGCAACATATTTACCCGTGTCTTTCTTGCTCCCTCGACGAGACGACTCCACCCAACAACCCCCTTTTCTCTTTTACTCCCACTCCTCCTCTCTCAGACTCTTACCTCCCCTCTCTCTCCTCTCTTTCATCCCCCGTTTCTTTTGTTTTCCTTTCACTCTTTTTTCCTTCTTTTTTTCCTTTTCTTTGTTTTCTTTCTTTTCCTTTCTTTCCTCTCCCCCCTCTTTTCTTTTTTCTCTTTCTTTCTTCTCTTTTCTTTCCTTTCTTTTCCTTTATTTCCTTTCTTTTCCTTTCTTTCTTTTCTTTTCCTTTTCTTTTTTTCTTTTCTTTCCCTTCCCCTCTCTTTTTTTCCCTCTCTGTTTTTCCCTCTCTTTTTTTCCCTCTCTTTTTTTCCCTCCCCTTTTCTCTTTTTCCCGACGGCAGCGCAATTTTACCGACAATATCCTGACAGGTGGCGACGCTCCTGCCGACGATTGCTCCGCCGACAAATGCTCCGCAAAAAGCGACAATTGCTCCGCGACATTTGCTACGC